CATCACTGAATCTTTAATGCTTCAGTGTAGTGCATTCGATATTAGTAACATTTATACAACACTCAACTAAAATATTTTGATAAAGATATGACATGATTTAAACATTAAGTTATGTAAAACCCAATGGCTTATACAGTTTGATGCTTCACATCTGCATCAAGTCATCATCAATCTCAGTACAAATGTTTACATAGACACAAACTTTATGGCTTCCCATTTTATATGTTTGTGAATTGACATTCATTAAGCATCAAAACACACACAACCTTCTTGCCATCTTTCTTTGGTTTATGAACTTTAACTTCAAAGCATTCAAGGCATCCTTAGTGAATCCATTGTCTCCATCCATAGAATTTGACCATGATCAAATTAAATAACTCTGGATAGGGCAGACAATAAATCAATTATCTTTACAGCATTATCATTTTTTTAAGACTCTGCATGGTCAATAACATCTTCCAGTCATCTTTACTCCTTGGTCTTCCCTGCATGTTGTCAGCAAATAGAACATAACAAGCTCTGGTCCAAATCATGGGTACTGTTGGGGCTGATCATTTCGTTTTGATACTTACTCACAGAACAAAATGTGTGCAGGGTCTTTTTTGCTTTAAGGAAACTATTTTGCAAATAGATGGGTAAATTTACGACTTCATGCATAAACAAATGACAGAAAAGTATGCAGAATTTTATAAACAAAAACAGGAAAACATCAGTATATTTGGCGTTCAAGTCAGTCTTATAAAATACGATCTTTAATATGTATTTTTATGGCTTTTCAAGTGCATGTATAATTGCTTTTCAATCGTTGACGGACTAACAAAACAAGCAACTATCTCACCTGTGAGAAGCGATATGTTCCTTTTTGTGGAAACTACGACATCCAACAATTGAACGATTGAAGTGTTGGCATTATAAAAGAAATGCCAAAAAAAATATCGTCACAGAATATGGAACTAACGATATCCATATTCTGTGATATCGTGTTTGTTTTTGAAAAATTTTTTATAATTTACTATAGACACCAGGGGGAGGTCGAGAATATTATTTTTCTGCAAAGCGATCATTTCAGCGGAAATACGTCCGTTGGCCGCCATTTTTTTGGCGACCTCGCCCCAGTAAAGATAGCCGCTCCAGTTATTATAGAACTCAATGGTCCAGGCCCCTTTTCCCCTCCAGGTCTTATAGAGCTCAATGGGTCCAGGCCCCTTTTCCCTCCAGTTATTATAGAGCTCAATGACAAAAACACGTAGCCGTCATCAATCTGAGTACGATGTTTTGTAAAAAATTCGTAGTCGCGACTACGATGTCTTTTTAAGCAAAGAAAGTAGATATATTTCTTCATTCTGTAAGAAATTATTTTACAGTACTATTTTCGAGCATCCAGGCTTTAATTTACAACCCTTTTTGAGCGCAGATGTACATTAAAAAGGAAAATATGACCTGCAAAACTTTCATGTATTTCGTACGCAAAGTGAAGGGTAAACAAACAATAAAATAGTACAAATATATCGTACATAAAACTTAGAATAATGAAGATTTTTCAGTCTAAATAGTCCTATATTCTCCCAAAACCAGTATTATCGATTCTTTGATATCATTATTGACAAATAGAGCCGTAGCTGCTTCGCAAACGTCGGTGTTTTACACAATAAAAAGGCTCGTTCTGTTGTTTACAACTAAAGCAAAATTTTGACGAAACGACAACGACAACAAACCTCCTCGTGCCATTCCCTTACACGGTCAAATTTCGTACTCGTACTCTTGCTAAAACTCCCTTGTTATAATTAAAATACGGGCGAAAATATCGCTTTCGAAATATCGTGTAAATTGGTCGTTGGGTTGTCTCGAGTCGTTCGTCCACTAAAATAAACAGATTTTGTCAGCTTTAGCTCCCATACTGGTTTGTTGCGCATTGAAATATATCATATTGACAATTTATAGAAAGATGGGAAAATCAATCTGAACATTTATGATAAAAAAGCAATTTATTTACGAAAGTACTCCCACTGTACTCGTACTGATATGTGAGATTCATCCACAGCTTAGCAAGGCCATTCGACTTTGAATGAATGGAAAGAGGAGCAAGAAGATACACTGTAGCACTATTGTTTTCTGACAAGATCTTATAGAAGCTGTTAATGTTGGCAAACGTAACCGAAGGAAACTTGCCTCACCTCACGTAATTGTATCCAGGAGCATTGGCTATACTGATGAGATATTACAGCTAAGTTGTTATACGAAAGAGAAGAAAACATATGTATGTTCAGTAGCTTGTTATATTACTGTTTATTTCAAAATCTGACATAGTAACATTCAAACGCATAACTCAAGATACTGTTACAATACAATTTTTGGAGAGAGTTATAAAGCTCTGTATAAAGTACTTATTTTTTTTTTACCAGAGCTAAGGTGTTTATTGAATTTATATATTATCTTATGAAATATTTGATATAGATATCATTGATGGCATAGCCATACTGAATATTTTACTGTTGCTATGTAAATTTCACTGCATCATTGTTCATTTCAATAAAAATCTTTTGTTTTTACAGTCAGTGAACACAGCAACATTAGGATAGCATGACCAAATAAAAATGCTGGCTATGGCCAAGATTATTATAAGACATAGGGTTGAATAAAATATATGTGACTTATATGCTCAATATACTTTGTTATAGTATATGTTTTTTTTATGCTATAGCTACAACACCATCCTTGACACCAGTTGTTTCTAAACTGAGGAGGTTATCCTTATTAAATAAATCCAATTATTATTATTATCATGTCACTATTATTATTTGTTTTTCTTCTACAATGCCATTACAATTTTATAACTAAGAATGTCTAATTCTCATTGCATTGTTAACATACAACTAATGACTTGCGAGACAAAAACTGTGTCATACTGTTCAGTTGGTTCATTTTATGACACCTATGTACAAGGATAAGAAAAGAAGATAAAAACTTACGGATATTTCACCATTCAATACATGAAACTTTACGTGTAAAGAAAATTGCCATGCAGTTACAGTTGTCAGTTACATACGTGTACAGTAAAATATTTCTACACCAGTCACCAGTTTTCCAAACTCTACACCGAGAGAATTGTAGAGCGCCATCTAAGCCGCAAAAGCTGACAAACTCATCCTTAATAAAGTAAATGGTTTGAACCCGGGAGTATCGTTACATGTTTGTAAATGATGATCGTCGAGGTTAATAAAGTCCTGAGAAGGACTGTTTTTGTTGTTGTTGACTGACGTTTCGACAACCTTAGCGGTAGTCATCTTCAGAGTCAAATGAGGAGTAAACGTCAGTTTAGCCGTATTTATTATCTGGTTCTTACGTCATTGTGTTGTGTGTACAGGAAATGTGTATTGTCATTGTGAATTAGTGTGAAGTGAAATATTTTTATTTTTAGTTGTGATGTGTGATTTAGGTGTGATGTTTTTAGTTGTAATGTGTGGGTGTCAATTGTGTATTGTCCTTGTGAATTAGTGTGAAGTGTAATGTTTTTAGTTGATCGTTTGTTTGTATTGTGAATAAGTCGTTTGTAAGGTGCCGGTAGTTGCTGTGATCTGTTCAGGGGGGTTTGTTCCAAGTTGGTATACCAACTTTCTAATGTAAGCCGTTGTCTATAGTCAGTGCTGTATGTAATGCATTTTGCCGAGTCCCAGTCAATGTTGTGCTTTGTGATTCGGTGATGCTCGGCAATGTGATTAGTTTTGTCTTGTTTCTTAGTAGCTCGTTTGTGCTCAGTAAGTCTTATGTTTAAGTTCCTGCCAGTTTCCCCGATATAGGAGGCGTGGCAGTCGGAGCAGTTTATTTTCTAAACTGCACCTTGTCGTTCGTTGGGTTGTTCTTTGTCCTTGTGATGATCACACATCACAACTAAAAATAAAATATTTCACTTCACACTAATCCACAATGACAATACACATTTCCTGTACACACAATACAATGACGTAAGAACCAGATAACAAATACGGCTAACCTGACGTTTACTCCTCATTTGACTCTGAAGATGACTACCGCTAAGGTTGTCGAAACGTCAGTCAACAACAACAAAAACAGTCCTTCTCAGGACTTTATTAACCTGGACGATCATCATTTACAAACATGTAAACTCATCCTTTTTGGAAACGATTAAGACTCTGTCTGTTAAGTGCCAACACATATTTGAACAATGAAAGGACGAATATCATCTTGAAGTGAAAGTTATGTAAAAAAAATGAAGATTAATTTTCCCATCTTTTTGTGTGCATTCAATAAGACGTATTTCAACCTGGACGAACCAGTATGGGAGCTAAAGCAGACGAAATCCGTTTATTTTGGTGGACAAACGCCTCGAGACAAGCAAACGACCAATTAACACAACACTTCGCAATCGATATTTTCGCACGTATTCCAATAGTAATTGTCCAATATGTCTTAAAAACATTATTAATAACGCTTTGTTTGTCATGAATGTCATGCTGCCGTCTTAACAAGTCTTGCATGAAGACATGGGATGCGTAATCCTTTTTTTGGAGAGATGACACGGCACATCCCACGCGTGGTCTTTTCATTATTTACTAAAATAGTGAAAGCCATGGAGGGATTTGTTGAGCCGTATGGTTTCAGCAGCAACAACAACAATGCTGAAGTCATTTCCCAGACCACCATTCGGCTAGTGAAAGAGTTAATGCCGTTGTTGACTGGCCTGTCAGGGAAAGAAATTATAAACTATTTTAAGAGAAATATTCCATCTGGAAGTCAAAACGGACATAAAATTTGCTTGATCGTGTCAGATATGAAGAAGTTTAAGTTTAATTATAATTTGACGCTAGGCAAATCGGCTATTTCTTTTTATTTTGGAGAATGGAACTGTCGTGGCTTTCCACAACACGATTAATATTACCTTTGTGGCAACTACACTATCGTTCTTCATGTTTGTTGATGTGCTGCATGCGCAGACGTGAAATTGTAATATTGATGGGTAAATGTTACTTAGTCAATTTAGTCTAGCATTTTTGTCGTTTTCCTGCACATTTAAAATATAACGTTGTGACATTACTAAAAGAGGAAAAGTATTTGGCACTGTTGGAAAGTTCTCTACCTATAAAAGCTAACATTTTCATGTCATTTGGTAGTTCTGATACTCTAAACTTAACTTGAACTGTCTTATCCTTGCATGAAATTTTAAATGCTTTACTCTCAATTCTCTTAATGTCAACTAGCAACTTTTGCAGGAAACGTTTTACAGGGATACAGCTCTCACTGCAATTTGCTCCAAGCAAAAGAAAGTCTTCATTTAAACTTAACTCACCTTGACCAATATTTAAAATGCTAACAAGCCATGCACATGCAGAATCATCTTTATCAAATAGGGCTCGATCTCCACCTAAAGCAACATGAAATGTGTTAAACTCACTAAAAGTTAAGAGTTCATAGAACTTAGTAACTAGGTAGAACTCAGCTAGCCTGATAAGTAACTCTTCAAGATCTTGATAACAACCACTTACACTGTCTTTCTCTTCCAAGCCATTACAAAGTGTATCACGAACATCGTACAGATTTCCTCCCTCAATGCTCTTTACATATTTTGTCAACCTATGATATTGAAGAAGACGAGGGATGGGACAATTGGCAACTGTCATACGCGTATGCTTATTTGTTTGTGCCGAATAACTGTAGGTAGATGCTCTATGTTTTACTTTACCCATTATGCCCTTACTGTAATATATAGCAATAGACCGCAACATATTTTACTAGTGTGATCAAACCCATCTACTGCCTTCTTGTGTAGTTTCGGAAGAACTTTCTCCTTCAACGTCTTGCTCTTATTAATACTTCCCAACCAGATCATCTACAGAACAGCATCTACGAAGTGTGTCAACCAAACCAGTTACTGTAGCCTGCAAACTTCCTTTTTCTCTACCATGAATATTCCTTGCTATTTCTAAGGTTTCTGAGCTACGCCTTCTCTTTGTTCTCTCACTACAACTTCCTGTTTCTACCTTCCTTTAGATGAGCATGATGGACCTTTTTTTTCTATTATCATTGAACTATCTCCTCTATCCTCAATCTCATTCACTGCATTGGCTATCTAAGAATTGCTAATTTTGATTAAACTATGACATTTGTTGAAAACAATAGAAAAACTGTTTCTCCAACTCTTGATATTTTCAGGGCTTCTATGGTTGTTGGTTTTTACAGCCAGTAGTAGTGTAATAGCTAATAAGTTCAATAATATATAAGAGAAAGGAAGCTTAGAAATTGAGCAATTTGCAATGATCTTGAATAGCTGACTTTAAATATATATTTTATTGTAGCCTCACCATTTATCGTTGCTTTAAGCCGGGCAAATATGCACACATGTTTCTAAAACTAAAGCTACGTAAAGACTGTCGGAATCAACAACAATTCCTTATTTTAGTCTTGTATTGAACAATAATTGACCAAGCTGTTGAACTGACCTTTTGTCCAGGCGAGCCAACTGCTGTTTCCAGGGGCCGCGGAAGTATCTCAAAAGTGGGGGGGCACTGACCGAAAAGGGCATGTGAGTTTGCAGCTTACTGTTTTAGTATATTACAGATATGCATTGTTTCATGAATCATGATTAAGTTTCAAAGTCTGCAAAATATTAGTAGACATTCTTAGAATGCGTATTCTCTACTGCTCGGCGTGCACGCTGACAAATTGAACTAAGATGACTACATGAACAATTTTATTAAGTAATGCGATCTCATTAAAATTTCCCAAAAAATCTAACCCTAAGTTGGTTTTTCAGAACAGAGTCCTTAGCTACTAAACGTAAGTCCAGTTCTTCAGTTCTGGCCTTGTTTACATGCATAACAAGATTATTGTAGCGTGCTGCCGTCATTGTACTCCAGAGATGTGTCTTGACAAGCCGCTGGCATGAAAAAGATCGTTCTCCTGAGGCTGCGCTTATTGGAGAAAGAAGGTAAATCTGCAAGAGTCGGACAACATTAGACATTGCCATGACAATCTGCGATGAGTTATTTTCTTCGTTTAAGAATATTGATGTTATGGTGTCAATTGATGTCACCTTCTTTACTTCTGGAAGTCGCTGCGAGATATTTCCTTCAAGAAGCTTTAACTCCGCCTTCAGCTGGTCAAAGTCGAGGTCATTTTCGTAAAGGTGTTCAACTTCATCTTTCAACTCAAACTTACGCCCGTTTGCTGCATTAATGAGCACGGTTTCGATGTTCATCAATACAGAATATGTTTTTGATCGAAGCGCTCCTGTAGTTAAGCCAAGCACGCATCAATTGCCTCAACATACTGGGCACGGTGGGCGTCTTTCGCAGTTTGGAAATGATGTTGCTCGCCATCTCCGTGTTGAAGTCGCCACGGAGCTTTCTTCGGTCTTGGTTGTGTTGGATCGCCTGCAAAGTTGATAGCCTTGCTTGAAGCAACTACTTGGTCGTAAAACAAAGAGAAGTTGTCTCGTTGACGCTGCAAGTTTGTCTTCAAGGCATTTATGCAAGTAACAGTTGAAAAACGAAGACAACCCCAATCGACAAACGCGATTTTTGATCCATCTGGGTAATCAAAATCAAAAACTAAGCTATAGCCGATTTCGTATGATGCTGACAGACTTTGTTCTACTCTCGGGGCTACTTGTATCTAAGAAAAACTTCTTCAGTCCAATTTTACCTAAAACAAGGGCATTTCTATACCATGAAAAAGGGCACATTTTTCCCTGTTGCAAAAAGTGGGGGGCACTTGCCCCCAATGCCCCCCCGGTTCCGCGGCCTCTGGCTGTTTCTTTGCATTAAGCTCTTTACATTCACTAACCAACTTTTCAGATGCCAAGCGACGTTACTTCATGTAGCAACCTACATTGAAGTAAAATAAAAAAAACTAAAAACACAAAAAGGTAAAATATATTTTTGGCTTTCACAATTTGTCCATATTAGCTGCCGATGACTAAAGAATCAATAGTTATTTCAAGACAAATTGTGCACAATATTGCAAAAAATTGCAACAAGCTCCATTTTGAAACGCAAGCCTTCGCGAGCGATCATCAAAGATCTTCATAAGTGCCTAACCAAAACGATATTGATATCAATGTGATCCTTATATGCTCTATTACTCCCTCTTATACAAATTTGCATTTCTATGGAAAGCCATAGCTGTCTTATGTCTTGCAAATTTATTTCAATGGGTGCTTTGGCCATTATACGCTGTGCTTTGAGCATTATACGCGGTCTTTGAGCATTATACGCGGTGCTTTGACTGTTATACGCGGTGCTTTGATTATTATACGTGGTGCTTTGACCATTATACGCGGTGCTTTGACTGTTATACGCGGTGCTTTGATTATTATACGTGCTGCTTTGACCGTTATACGCGGTGCTTTGACTATTATACGCGGTGCTTTGGCTGTTATACGCGGTGCTTTGATTATTATACGCGGTGCTTTGACCGTTATACGCGGTGTTTTGACCAATATGCGCGGTGCTTTGACTGTTATACGCTGCGCTTTGATTATTATACGCGGTGCTTTGACCGTTATACGCAGTGCTTTGACCATTATACGCGGTGCTTTGACCATTATACGCGGTGCTTTAACCATTATACGCGGTGTTTTGACCATTATACGCGGTGCTTTGACCTTTATACGAGGTACTATCACCGTTATACGCGGTGCTTTGACCATTATACGTGGTGCTTTGACCGTTATACGCGTTGCTTTGACCATTATACGCGGTGCTTTGACCATTATACGCGGTGCTTTAAGCATTTTACGCGGTGCTTTGACCATTATACACGTGCTTTGACCATTATACACGGTGCTTTGACCTTTATTCGCGGTGCTTTGACCGTTATACGCGGTGCTTTGACCATTAAACGCGGTGCTTTGACCATTATACGAGGTGCTTTGGCTATTATACGCGGTGCTTTGACCTTTATACGCGGTGCTTTGATGATTATATTCGGTGAGCCGTTATTGTTGGTCAGCGCGGACGCATCAGTTAATAAATTCTTCTTTTTATTTTTTTCATAATTTCAAAATGGAGGCCAAAATGTCTTTTATTTTACAAAAGTTGCGACTAGATCACTTTGTGGATCGATTTACTTCTGAGAAAATAACGCCGGACTTAGTTTGTAAGCCTTCTCTCAATGATTTCAAAGAGTTAGGGATCCAAAACCATTCCGACATTATGTCAATACGAGTATAGTGTATGAAATGTGGATTGAGCGAACCACCAACTAGAACACGGAATGAATACGGAGTCTAACAGTTTAATATACCGAAGCTTCTCCTTGAAGGCTATTTGATTTTTGACTCTGAAGATGACTACTGCTAAGGTTGTCGAAACGTCAGTCAACAACAACAAAAACAGTCCTTCTCAGGACTCTACCAACCTGGACGATCTACATTTACAAGCATGTAACGATGCTCCCGGGTTCAAACCATTTACTTTACCATACATAGGATTGACGAGGAGGGCGTTGCTCGAAGAAAAAGGGGAAGGCGGCAAAGAAAGGTTTATCACGTCTAAGGGCCAAACCACCTTTGGCACATAGACACAACCCACAAACTTATTCGTTGGAATATGATAATTATTGGGGGGATTGATGGTTTTAGGTCGCTTACCTGTCATACTGAAATGCTCAGACAACAATAAGGTACGTAATGCTGTACAGGAATATGGCTTGCCTAGCAGAATTAGGATGGACAAGGGTCTTGAAAATGCTGGGATTGCACAATACATGATTGAGAAAAGAGGGACTGGTCGGGCAAGTGTTATTGCAGGGAAGAGCACACACAACCAGCGAATTGAAACATTATGGAGGGATGTCTATGGTTGTGTGCTCATCTATTTCTATCAACTTTTTTATTTCTTGGAAGGAGGTGTGCTTGATCCATTAATTGAATCACATTTGCCAGCTTTGCATTACGTTTATTTGCCTTTTGTGAATGTAAAGCTAGACACTTGGAGAATGGCTTGGGTTCATCATCGCATGCAAACAACTAGAGCAACCCCTGCACAAATGTGGCTTGCAGGTCAATTTCAAAGTCCAGTTGGCTCAGGAAATTATTCAGACAGAATGGGAAGTAATTTTGATCTTGAAGATGAAGAAGAGGAGCAAATACAAGGAGAACGACCAATTGTTTTGCCTTTGCTATCTTCATTGCCTGCAGCTTGTCTACAGGTACTGAACAGGACTTCTTCAAACTGGACTTTGTTAAACCATGGCATTCAAGATTATCTCGCAGCATTAGATATCATCAAAAGGCATGTTTGAAATTTCATTATATGTGTTACAAGTGGAATTATAAGCAAACGATTGTTAAGCAAACTAATGTACTTTATAATGTATTATTAATTAAATTACACAAACCAACTACCCTTGCTCATGCTTTCTCTTGTCACTTAACAGTTTTTCATGTGCAAGCAATATCTGACTGCAGACCAGCAATCAAAAGCTTGTTAAAATATGTAACCTAAAACGGAGAACACATCAAATGATTTTAATGAAAAATTCTACTGTGTTGTTTACATGTTTTTACATATTTCCAAAGAAGGCATTTGCAAACGCATAGTCATATAATGAGTAAAGTCTATCGTGTAAAGTCTAAAGGTGTAGGTATAGAAATTAGAGTTGTGGCATGTGGAAGACTAAGTGCACAAATACATGTATTAGCTGTTGGAACAAACTTGCCATCTTCTTGTGCAGGAACAAATGTTATGCTTGGTGGTATAGTAAAACCCAGGGGTGGCTCATCATCTGCACATGTCACAAACATCAATATGTGCTACAATGTGATATCTCCCCGTCTTCCACCTAAAGTTGAAATGTCACACAAACCCAAATTTCTTCTATCTCAATTGAATATCACAATTATATAAGTATCAGTATATAATTATGATGTAATTTAAAAACCATCAAAAGTGACTTCCTCTCTTTACTTACTTGCTGCTGGTCTAATATATTTCATGAACTCTGAATATATTTGATTTCCAAAAGTTCTTTTATTTGAGCCTTGATCACTAAAATTTGCTCGTAGCAAGCTTGTCAACTTCCTGATCGTCAAAGTTTCAGTATGACATGGTTGAAGAAAACTCAAAAATTCTTTTAGTTTAAAACCAAGCTAAAAATTTAACAAAAGTAAACTTGCCAAAATAGAAAAAAGTTGTGTTCTTGAAGAAAAAACAAGATAACTGCATGTCTTTGCTTATTTTATCTACAGAAGATGAAACAATCTCTGAAATAATTGAGGCTCATATAATTAGTATTGCAAACATTCTTACTTGAAAGATGCCAACTTTCTTCAAACCTCCTCGTAGCTCTGTGATGCATGGTTCTGATGTTTGCTCAGAAGAGAATATTGTGCCACATAAATCCCCAATGAAAGTTGGTATTTTACCATTCTGAATAATACTCAATCCTTAAATGAACAAAAGTATTGAACAGGTCATTTTTAAGAATGTTTTGCAATAAAAATTTTCCTACTAATTCTTTAGATAATTATTTTCTTGTGAAAGTAATCAGACGTGCATCACCTAGTAATATGCCAACTCTAACATATTGCTCACTCAGCAAATTGCGTAGTCCATTATCAAACAATTTCTCCTTAATTTCTTTTAACACCAGTCAAAAAAATTCTTTCCTTGGTCCACCCTGGTCTACAGCAACCCAATTGAAATATATATTATTGTATAGTATCTCACAAAAAATGTCTCAGATGCAAACAAGACATACTTCCCCATAAAATTCAACTTGCAATGTTTTTCGATAATCTGTTAAGCATAATATTTCATCCAAGGCTGTCTTCAAAACATTGCTACGGTCAATCATTATTAAGTTGATATCGCCTTCATTCACTTCATCTATAGCTTGGACTTCTAAATCTCTGCCAGTTACTATCTTCTTTAGGAAACAGCGCAATATTTCAACAGCACTCAATACATTATATTGTTCACAATAGGCTACTGTATCATCGACAATGTCGTCCACAATCTTATCCATGTGAGTGATCTCTGATTCTTTTACTCTGAGGTCTACGACCTCACTACACATTTCTTGGGTGGTTGGTACACTTACTATTGTCTCTGTTTCGATATGTGACAAAGATGCTTCAGCTGATGCAGGAAGTGACATTAAGTAGTTGCTAGAGGATGGTGCTTGACCAGATATAACAAATTCTTGAATTTCCTCCTGAGCAGACTGACCAGGTTCCGCGTCTTGGTCATCTTTATCACTAGTGTCCAGTCCTTCCATACATGACCATAAATGGCTCCGAAGCCGACGAACAAGAATCTCCTGGTTGCATATTTTGCATCGCTCCTTCACTTAAGACTGGCTTTGCTGGACCAATGGCTCTTTGGACAAAGCCACCCAAATTTGCACGAAGGTCCTTTGCGTTCCATAAGCAATAAAGCACGGTCAAATCACGACAGTTGGGGGCGCAGCGCATCATTTCAAAGCCACCACATGTCTTAAGTTGAGGAAAACCTAAATGACTTCCATTGTCGTCCAGGGAATTTGATGTTATTTTACTGACAACATTTTCTTCATCATCTTCCATGTCGAGTTTTATCTTTTTTATTCCTAACCCAGCCTTAAAAAGGATCTCCTTGTCCAGCGACGATGGTGCTTTGCGAGCGAGATGCTCAGCCAGCAGACAAAAGTCGTTGTCCATGGATGGCTCTTCGATAATGAACGCTTACGAATATTCCCAGTCGTGTTTCTAGATGAGGACGTGTGCTATTGCGACTATTAGACCTTCGTGGGTTGAAATGCTCTTAAAGAATGTCGTTTGCTTGGCTTGTGGAAGGTTCGGTTTCATTTAATTTCTTTTTACAGGTATCACGAAGGTGAATTCGCTCTCCAATTGTGTTAACTCCGAGACGAGACAATTCTGAATCGGACGCAACCAGAACAGCTGGTGGTTCCATTCTTTGTTCGTGGAAACGACTTACTAAATTTCTCATTTGCAATGACTGCAGTAACTCCTCTGTTTTTCGTTAATAGAATTGATTTCCAGTGATGTTTAAGCACGTGTTTAGGATACGACTTTATCAGAATATCAGTCTTTATATCAAAATTGCAATTAGTGACCAACAAACGCTGACCAACAATAGCGGCTCACCGAATATAATGGCCAAAGCATCGCGTATAATGGTCAAAGCACCGCGTATAATGGCCAAAGCATCGCGTATAACGGTCAAAGCACCTCGTATAATGGTCAAAGCACCGCGTATAACGGTCAAAGCACCTCATATAATGGTCAAAGCACCGCGTATAATGGTCAAAGCACCGCGTATAATGGTCAAAGCACCGAGTATGGTGGTCAAAGCACCGCATATAAAGGTCAAAGCACCGCGTTTAATGGTCAAAGCACCGCGTATAATGGTCAAAGTACCGCGTATAATGGTCAAAGCACCGCGTATAATGGTCAAAGCACCCATTGAAATAAATTTGCACGACCTAAGACAGCTATGGCTTTCCATATATTGCTATCACCCCAATATCCTAAAATCAACAAAGAAAAAGGTGCAGTTTTCAGAAATTATTGCCGTTCAAGTCCACCAATTTTGTTCGGGCGGCCTCGGAAAAAGTTGAATAATATAAGAATTGTGTGATAATTAAAGTGTTGACAGCTCTATGATTTTATAGATACATCGAATTTATATAAAGTTAAAGTCGATCTATTCAAAACCTTTTTCATACATCTCGTACACAAACGGGAGATTTATTTTGTAAGTAAGTGTATGCAAAAGAAATAATTATTACACTCGTTAAACATATCACTATACAAATGATACAAAAATTCATGTTAACAATGCCAAACTAGAAACAGAAATTTGGGCCTTAAGAACATGGAAGTATTTTTCAAAATGTTAAATTTGTGTTGAACACATAAGAAATGAAATAAGCATTTAATTAGTCGTTTTAAAATAAACATAGAACAATTATACAAAAACAGATCTGTATTCTCTTCTATACGTTATTATACAGTGCGAACAAGACTAAGGTCACGTTTAGTGCAACTCCTTAGATCCTCAGACTTTGAAAGGGCTCCAATAAATCCATAATAACGTAATCATAGTAGTCAGGTTTGAAGCTTTATCCCTCCATGCTCTTGTGAAGGCGCGTATATGAATCACGCAATTGATGCAATTATTTGAACCAGCCCTTGACGATGTGAACAGGTTTGTTAGTTTGCTGTGCTTGTTCTTCTCAGAACCAGATCATTTGCTTTTTGTGTTTCCTCATATAATGTGCCATCTTAGCATCAGCTCCTTGTCTGTGTTGTTAAGATTTCAGGGATATTTTTGCATCTGTTCTCCTTCCTTTCCTCATTGTCGGCCAGTCAGAAAAATTGAAACATCAAGACAATGAAGACAATGCAGACAATGAAGCCGAGGATTCATATAAACAATCACGCAATTGAGTTAATAACTTTGCATTCTCAAGCACTTTGTAATCACGCACTTTTGTTTGCGAAGATAGAAATAAATGGCATGATCTTCATATGCGACTCAAGGCTACTCATACGTTTTTGTCGTACGAGCCGTGCAACTGGCCTTTAGATCAGCTCCTAATTTTAAACTTTTAACAAAGTCTCGCATATACACCGAAGGATAATAGCGAGTATATGTGGGAGTTTTATGACAAAAATGTATCTTTATTTTTCATACCATCCATAAAAAATTTTAATTTCAAATAACTAATTATCAGTGAAATAATTACTCTCTCTGAACCAACGTCAGTAGTGGTACGCCCTATATGTTCTAAATAAGTGCTGGTCTTCTCCTAATTTTCCATCTTTAGTAAAATCGTTTAACAATTAAAGTAAGATCATATTAGCTTGGTTCCCTGTGTTTTACTAACCAGTCTATACTCCCTAACAATGAATCCTATATCCAAACTGTTGATTGACATTATGTATTTAATGCTTTTTTTAAAGGAAACGAAGATGGAAAAGTTCGTTGAATATCTACCAATAAAAAGTTTTCCTTGGTATGAAACTCTGTTGCTTATTCTATTTGGCGTATTTGGCACTATCGTGATTGGTTTTTCAGTAATCTTAAACAGTCATAATTCATTTCATTGTTTTAATGAGATTATATCAAAGACTAAAGAAACCTCTCTTATAAAGAATATTGAATCAAGTTGTTGGAGACAATACAAAAATGATCTACTGTACAGCCAGCATATTGCTCTGATGGTGACTCTGAATGTGGGTGTTGTCTTACTTTTGAGTGTCGTCTATGGATATTTTATGAAGCATCGAGTTAAAAGGCTTGAAAACATTGATCCATCAATCAACAATAATAGTGATAGAGAAAATTTAATGGCACAATATCCTCAAGACGCTCACTTCAGAAACGCTTCATTTCATAGTCCATTTTGCCTTTATTCAACATACATGTTTTATTTAACTATTCGGCTTATCAGTTTGATCATATTTGTTACCATGTTTTTCAAAGCAAAATTTCCCTACAACTTCTCATGTTCGCTGCATGAAACGTCAGCTTTCACTTCGTTCAACGTCACAATTGTAAATTGTAAAAATGATGGTGGGGATGAAAGTGAAACCATATTCTGTATTGTTGCAACTGTTGATGTTGTTGTGATGATACTGACAATTTTTGAGTTGATATATTTGGCTTATATGTTCTACAATTTCAGATGTTTTGCATCAGAAAACGAATTTTTCACGGTTTTCATCTTGCAAAAACGTAGCGTGTTTCCAAAATGGTTGGAAAAAATGAAAAAAACCTACGAAGAATTTGAAATGTCTGAAGACTTTGGTGGTGATAAAAAGGACTGGCGCAAGCTTGACGATATTTATGTGAACGTCATAATGCAAACAGGAAGGCAACGTACGAACGCTTACCCAGAAGCTTTTAGAAGGCATGAAATTTTTGATTTTCATCTCAACGTTCAAAGCAATGCCCAAAAGTTGACAAAAGTGACTGAAATTTTTAAGCCAATCAAGGGTGAGCAAGAGTCGTTATATCCACGTTCTATTTTGGTTATTGGTAGGCCAGGAATTGGTAAAACTATGTTAGCAAACAAAATTATGCATGAATGGAAAAATAATAAAGATGCATTTTGGCATGACAAAATAGTCTTGTTATTGCGATGTCATGCTCTAAAAACTGGATCAATAACACTGAAAAATATGTTAATTGATTGCGATGGATTGCCAAGCGAGATGTTTCCTCAAATTTACGAAAATATTCTTAACTATCCAGAAAAAGCTGTCTTTATCATTGATGGTCTTGATGAATTGTCTATAGAAAATGAAGGTGTAAGAACTGCTGGCCCTGCACACCACAACGCTGAAATGCCAGCATTTCAACTTTTAAGTATGTTGCTAAAAGGAAATCTGCTACATGGTAGCACTGTTCTTATAACATCACGACCTACAGCAGAATATGCGTTTGATAAGCTAAAATATGGTAGGACTGTCGAAATTTTGGGCTTTTTTGAGGATCAGATTAAGGAATATGTCGACAAATTTTGCCAGGAAGATAAGCGTAGCAGAGATTTGATTTTGAATTGTATCGATAGTTCTAATGAAATTCGTAGCTTGTGTTACATCCCCGTCAATACATATATTGTCTGTCTGACGCTAAAAGAATGCTTTATAAATGATGCAAAGGATATTCCAAAAACTACCACTGAATTGTACAAAAGAGCAGTCAAAATCTTAATTTGGAGGCACCATCCACGTTGTAAAGATGGATCAATACCAAAGCCTAACAAAGGATATCTTGTTAAAAAATTGCCGAAAGAACTTGACAATGACATGAAGATATTGAAAAATCTGGCAAAAAAAGGAATTGAGACCGGGAGTTTGATTTTTGATGAACCAAATTTAGCAGATAATAAAAATTTAGCCGATTGCGGCTTGTTTCATCAATTACCAGATAAACGACGTGATTTTTATTGTTTTCTACATTTGACTCTTCAAGAATTTCTTACTGCATGGTGTGTTGTTGACAATTGGCGAAACATTGAAATATTTTTGGATGATCATGCTGAAGATTCAAAATGGTACATGGTGATAGAATTTATTGCTGGTTTAGTCGGAGATACAAAGAAAAGAAAAAAGATTGAAGACATCAGTGTTGTTACAAAGAGGTATGATATTTATTTTTAAGTGCTTGAAATACCTGTATATGGAAGTATGTTTTACTTCTCTTTGACTTTAATTTTTTAAACAAATTTACTTCGTTCAAATCAAAAAATTTCTTAATTTCGTGGCGAAATACTTAATTTTAAGTTTTCTACACTAGGAGTATGACGTGAAAATCTGTTCTCTTTCATACGCACTCATCTAATATACGAGTGTAATAAACGCAAACACCAATCACTTGTTAAACGTGAGTCACGTACATCAACACCACATGAATAAATTATGCAATACAAAATTTCATTCTGACACAGTTACCAAACTTTGCAAAGCTGTGTAGCACCGGATCGATGAGAGTGAAGTGGTCAACCGTCAAATTTAGTCCAGTTATGCATATGTTTTCGAGTTTATTAAATGCAAACACAATAGACTTCAAAAATAATTAAAAACAAAAATACTCTAAAATCTACATCGCAAGACTAAAACTTGCAGTTCGCTACGTATCTTATCAAAGATTTTGGTTTGCAAAGTTGGCCTTTTGTAAAGAAGCAAACTCTTAGAGCCTTGCATGTTACTGCACATGTTAATAATGTTTTACTTAAACCTCGTATATTAATGAATATATCAGTAACATGTACTTTCTTGAAACCTAGCATGTTTTTGAGTATAACATATTTCACTCAAATTTTAAATAACTTTTCTGTGTAAAGCCTTGTTCCCATATAGTTGTAATTGTAATTTAATCGCAGAAAAAGCAATCACTGATGTAAAACAATTGATATGGGATAGGGTTGTATTGCTAAAATTTTAACAAGGGGGGCTCTCTGATATATATCACCAGCAGGACGAAAAATATCAAAGTCAATTTTAACGAAAAATCTTAACAAAGGGGCTGACTCACCCGAGCCCCCCCTCCAGTACACCCGTGATATGGGAACGCTAATCGGCGATAGCAATTGCCAACAAATTTAATTAATCTAATCAGCAGATAGAAATTAGTTGCTACGCAACTGGGACTGATCTGGTTAGCACTATTTTCCACCCAGCAAACCGCCCTTTACTTTACAAAATCCGAAATAAATTGAAGATGGCGGCTAATGGGAAAGAAGCAAAAGCTAAAAGGAAACCATGCATGCACTGGTGCTAGGTCGTTTTGAGATGGCAAGTAATTTTATATTTTTATAATACAGTTTTTAATATCAATATATGAAAATATTTACAGATAAATGTTGCAGTATAAATTTTCATGCAACCACCTTAAGTTATAAACTTATAATCCAGGCTGGAAAATATGTCGTTTTTCGATGATTGTTTAAAATATTATATAAAATATTATATTGTGTAAAATATTAGATTGTGTAAAATATTATATTGTGTAAAATATTATATTTCAAAGTAAAGGGCGGTTTGCTGGGTGGAAAATAGTCCTAACCGACTGATCTAGGACTTTTGAAACGTAATTCAAGGAACGCCAAAAGCGTTAGCCATTTTAGGTTGTCTGGGGATATATACTCCAGGAAAATTTTGGTTTGTAGCATCTCGGAAATGCAATTTCCAGCATTTTACATCAAGGTCAAGTGCTAATCATATTTTGTAGACATCTTTGTGCGTAAAACTAACAGTTTAGTAGCAAATTTAATTGAAATGGTGAACGATACTTACTTAATTGGCCGTTTTGCCTAATTTTGGGCTACGTAGCATGCCTAGGAAACACATATTGCTATAAGCCTGACAAAAAAGGCAAAATCAGCAGAATTTTTAGTGACCAAAATCATGATGTTCTTAGTAGATAATTGTATTTTAAAACAAATAAGGATTTAAATAATAAAAAAATCAAGCAATTTCTAAAAAGTTGCTTGTTGGCTCAGAATTTTCATCATTATGCTCTTTGGCTGCCTTTGGGGCTCATATTATTTTGTTGAGTTTATGTTGATACTCACAGAAGAAGCATGTGCAAAATTTTAGGAAAAAATTCACTGGATAAAAAATTCGCATACATAAAAAAACTCATTCTCCAGACCCAAAGCTCATTCTCCCTTTTTAATTCAATCGATTTTTTACGCGTTTGCGGCAAAGCATAAGAAGCCTTCGTTGTGCACGAAGAAAAGCAGTTAACTAATTATCACCATTAAGAGCACTAAACACGATAGGCTAACGCATGTACGTGTTTTTTGTAAATATCAGCTTGAGAACCGGGAAGAATCTTTGTACTTATGGGTGTATATCCCATTTATATACAACAATTACAACTATATGGAAACTAAGCTTATGTATTATGCGAGCATTAATCTTTTGTGAAAACATGTTGGTGCATGTTGCCGATAAGCTGAAATGACGAGTTGAACTTTTTGTGAACACTTATACAAACCATTTTCCTTTTAGAATTATAAAATGATAATACTTTGTTATAGTTGGAGTTTTCTCAAAAACTAACGAACCGCCAACAACTGTATTTTGACTGACAATAGCACGATACATGCATGAAACGATTTTTGTGACATCAAATACTCTTTTCAATATTGTGATAACATCGATTCAACAATAGCATGACATCAACACTATTGTTGCTCCTTCTTAAATGTTATTGCTCTTTCAGTTGAGATTAAATGTGAGATTAAAGTTATTGTTGATGATTGTTAACAGTACGTTTTTATTTCATATGTTCATAATCAATCCTCCGAATATAGAGGCCCAAACACAAACCTTAAACGATAAGTTTACATACGGGACGGACACTTTTTCCAAATTTGTAGCTTAAAGGCACATATTTCAAAAATGATTTTTTAATAAAAAAGGATTTCAAAGGAGAGAAAAATGTGTTTATAGATTCCTGCAAAAACGATCAAGATAAAAAGAAGCCATATTTTTACATGACAAATAATCTTTCTTATATGTATACATAAGTAAAGTTACAAACATTTTATGTCTTATAAACTTGCTCAGTGGCGTTAGGAATTCCTGCAGAGTATGTAGGAATAGATATTCCAACATACTTGACATACATGCAGATATAATTTGTTTTTGAAGTGAAAGTTTTTGGCGAATTAATTAATTAAAACATGCCTAAATGAATTTTGACCCCTCTCACTTCTTCCAGTTAACTATCACGCTGCCAACGCTACTGAACTGGTTGTTCTCACAAGCAGCATTGAGTTTTTACTTTCATGTAGTAATATTCATTTGCACTTGGCTTTGGTAAAATTTGAGTGAATTATTTGATTTACTTTACTTTGCTACTAAAAGTAGCGCTATTGTTACCATAGTAGTTTTACAAAAACTTCTTACTATTTTAAGATGCTTTTCTGATGTGCTTTTTTTTTTAACAAATTAAACCAAACTCTTAAAAGTTTCACAATACGATATTTTTTATAATTACAGGTTACAAAATTGGATCTCAAATTTATTTCTCTCTGATGGTAATAAAGCACTTGGTTTTCTTGGAATGAAGTGCTTATACGAATTACAAGATGATGATGAGATGAGATCAGCTTGCAAATCAAATAATTTTTCCGAAAGAATATCCATTGATAAGGTTTCTTTCACGCCTCTTGATTCAAACGCCCTCTTCGAATTTCTCTCTGAGTGCCGACAATTAAAAGAACTCAAGTTTTCTTCATGCCAATTTCTTGATAATCATAGCGTCGTTAGATTGTCAAAATATTTGTCAAATGCAACAGCATGCAATGTAATCTCTTTGAAAATTTACTCGTGTGGTGTTAATAATAAATCAAAACATCTTAGTGAAGCTTTGAAAACTGAGCATTGTAAACTTACTGAATTGGTTCTTTTTGGTAGCAATATAGGTGATGAAGATGCGAAATATCTTAGTGAAGCTATGAAAACTGAGAATTGTAAACTTACTAAATTGGATCTTAGTTGTAACAATATAGGTGTTAAAGGTGCTAAATCTCTTAGGGAAGCTTTGAAAACTAACAATTGCAAACTTACTGAATTGTATCTTGATGATAACAATATAGGTGATGAAGGCGCAAAATATTTTAGTGAAGCATTGAAAAGTGAGAATTTTAAACTTACTAAATTTGACCTTAGTAGTAACTATATAGGTGATAAAGGTGCAGTATATCTTAGTGAAGCTGTGAGAACTGAGAATTGTAAACTTACTGAATTGTATCTTTATAGTAACAAAATAGGTGATAAAGGTGCAAAATGTCTTAGTTTAGCTTTGCCAAGTGAGGATTGTAAACATACTGACATTAGATATTAACTTTAACCATTTATAATATAGTTTAATTTGTAAATAACATTAAATATGCTTAAAGAATATATATTTGAGCTTACAGTGGGAATAGCCGGTAAAAATATTTTGATAAAATTAATTATACTGTCTTATTTTATTTGCGTGTAAAAAGCACTTGTCTTTATATCAATTTATGATCTTTTTTCTAGCATGATTTCAATGCTGAATCAATGTTCTACATAATAAATATTTTAATCAAATTATTTGTCACATTCTTACACCGACGGAAATATGTTTTTTGCTTCTGTCTGTTTGAATCAATGTATTGGCTAGCATGCTGTCCTTGCAGAATTAGTGTTCTGCAAGTATGATAACACGTTTGAAAACTTCTGCAAATGTTTCAGAAGTTTCGTTTTAAGATTTTTTGCAGAAGAAAATGTCCATCAGGACATAAAGATAGGTGATAAATAAATATATATTTTCAATTAAAATTAACTCAACATTATAGCGAACGTGTTTGCCTCAGAGACGTGGCTAGCCTGCAAGTGTATTTTTGCAATGTTCATTCTAAAATCTGTTCACTTTGGAAATCTTCTGGATAAAAGGATGTTTAAAAGAACTTATTTTATTCCAAAACTAAATAATCATGGCTTGTTATGTCAATGTGAGGTCAGGTTTTATTTTTTCGAAGATTGGCAAGCGACAATTGGTAACATAGTAATCCCTGAAAAGGCAGTAAAAACATATGCATTGACCTTTGTGTTACGTTTTTGCCAGTAAACATCGATCACAAAAAACTCATTTCAATATATTATATAAATGATTAACTGAATTAAAGCATTATGAAGTGTATGTAGCAATGTATTTCATTGCAAAATTTCAAGTATTTGCAGTGTTGAAAAATAGAAAAATTCTATAAGTTGTTAAAACTACGATAGTTGCTGCAAACCGCGGGAAGTTAACAAACAATTAATAATGTTCATAAATAAAGTTATGAATAAAATTTTATAATTATTAAGTACAGGTCTCATCTTTTCTTCACATTACTTATGATCACATGCCATATGAACTCGCAAGTGTCTTATACACACTTACAAATGCTCACGAAAACTGTCTACTTTTAAAAATTTAGCTACTACGCTACTCACTGCATTTAATTATATTTTCATCTTTTCTGTATTTCCTCCTAAAAATCTCATTGAATTAAAACAACTATCAAGACTACACATCTCTTTAACAACTTATTTACGTGCACGGCAACGGCACGCTTATTTTTGTTTTTTTTTTGGACTATTTTCGGAATAGTTTCTATTATTGCATACATTGAAAAACACGCAATCATTAAAATATTCTATTAACTGAAGAAAAACATATTTCACGAAAACTTTAGAAAATAGACATTTTATTCAATGATTTTACTCAACATTTTACTCAGATATAGTTCTGTGGCATGTAACTTTGCACAGAAACGTTGCTCGTGTAGATTAGCTACGTTTAATTGTTACTGGTCAATGCGCAAGTGCTACAGATAATATTAGTGGTATGTAAAGACTGGCTCACATATAGTTGTAATTGTTGTAATTCTATCGGTGATGAAGTCTACAATAATTAAAACAGTAAGCGTTCACATATTGTTGTAAAAAGGCACGTTAGTACCGAGGTCTCGTGCGTTATGATGCCGGCGAGTTTTGTTAGATTTACGGATGCGTTGGGACATCCTAACTGGAAAGGAGAAATACGGCACGTGTTAATCAAAGAGTATTATTAATGTAACAATGTATGTTGCTGTTGACCTTAACACGATTACGCTTACAGACTGCAATAAAAAAAGGAAAGAAAATTTTGGATTGCTTTTAATTGAAGTTGCGTAGCAAAGATTCCCGTTCACTCATTGGTTAATGCAGGTAGAGTTGTAATCAATACTGCCAAAAAGCGTTACATAAAATTTTGGCATGTTTGTGAGTGTTGCAATTATTGTAAAAGTTGAATCTGCTGCTCCCGATTTGTCTGCGATTAAATTACAACAATTACAACTATATGTGAACTAGGCTTAAGTGAACATAGGTAACTTCTGCGAAATAACTGTTTATCTGTTGAAACTATCTATAATTTCATGGCACAGGTAATAGATTCAAAAATAAATGTTTGGGCATCAATTCTTATTGAGTGAAATAAATGCTTGCACATCAAAATGAAGAAGTCACATACTGATAAAAAATGTCGCTTACAGACAATTTTATTTCATGAATTGCTGCAATAGATTGGTGAAGCCAGTCGAAATTTTACAAAATAAGAATATTTTTAAATTCGTTTGCCTTAATGCAACTAGGAACAAAAGAGAATAAGCATTTCAGGCCGTTCTTCAGTTATTTTATTCGTGCTTTAAAAAAGTGGGTGCAATGAGCGCAAAAGAGTTTATGAGTCAGGGGTGTACCAGGAAAGATCCCGGCAATGTTATAATGGTCACTGAATGGTCCTTATAGGCCAGTCTGCCTCTGGTACATTTATTATTGTACATCGTTCATTTAGTATTAGTAGACAAGGAGATGTTATCTTATCTAGTCTCTTCCCATCATTCGCTTTCGATCCCACCATACACTATATTGGCAATGCAGTTAACCCTTTACTGGGCAGTGTCGCACATCTGCAACGAAATGTTTAATGTGTGCAAACTTTTCGAAAAATTCGCCATGGACTGAGTGCCACTGCACCTTACTTGTTCGGAATGTGATGGATGGGAATAAGTAAAACGACAACAACATGGCGGCGCATCATGTAAAATTTGTGTCGTTCACTTCTATATTCACTCCAAGCTTTCAAAAATGTTTTTTGCCGATGTTTCGCATTTCTACCCATCAAAACCTTCCTTTGAATAATTTATATTCATACCTTTCACATGTTAGAGGCTATGCAAGCAAAAAAGGTGAGGATTTATTTATAATATGTTAATTGGTAACTGTTTTTCAGTTTTTGCCATTTGATTCACAATTTAACTCTTGTATGTTCAATCCATTAACAAGACCAAATGACCATTAACAAGACCAAATGACCATTAACATTTTTACGTCTTTTGTTGCTTTTATCAGGCAATAAAAAGAAGATCATGGCCGCATCATTTGACAGCAATGTTGCTGAGGGGATTGTTGATGTCGAAAAACTAACGTCTAGCATGGAGACAGAGTTAGATAAATTACGTCATGCATTTAAAAATTCGATAACAACGAGAATTTCAACAGGTATGGCCAATAAAAGAGCCAGATCTTCATCACATAAAAGATCTCACTCCCTCCTACCACCTTACTTACTCACTAACTGTTTTGCTTATTTGATCACTATTACAATTATTAATTAATTCACTCAATAACAAACATCCTTGCTCACTCACTCCAACCCTTTTCTCACTCCCTTAGTCTCTTGTTTCTTACTCCAAGCTTTCCTTCCATTTATTTTATTCCATTCACCCTTCTCCTGTTTTATTTCTTTCCTTCATTCCACATTCTTCCATTCCATTCTTCATTCCATTCCATTCCTTCATTCATTCCTTCATTCCACCTTCCATTCCATTCCTCCTTCCATTCCATTCCATTCCTTCCTTTTCCACCCCTCCTCCCTCCCTTCCCTTCCATTCCTTCCATTCCTTCCCTTCCTCCCTTGTTCCATCCTTCCCACCTTTCCCTCCTCCTTCTTCATTCACTTCCCTTTTCCCTTGTTCACTCACATACTCCTTATCTCGTTCATTGATGCGTTACCTCTGTACGTCCTTCTCTTACTTACTCTCTCCCTTTGCTCGTTTTATTTGAAAATGGCTTATTTTTCTCACTCACCTTCTTTGGACAAATTTTGTATTTTCAGCATTTTTCGACAATATCAAAATAATGTCTGGAAAACGTAAAACATCTCTTGGAAATGTAGCCATCATTCAAAATAACGATGACAAGTATATTTTGGATCTTGCTTCATCACCAAATGTAAGGTATTGTGGGACATGATTGAATTGGTATCAATTAAATCATTGTTATTTAAGAGCTTTTCCTTATTTTGGTAGCTGACTCTATCTGTAATGAAGACTTTGAATGACAAATCTATCTTCAGTCCAACACTGGAAGGAAATAAAATCACAGTTACTGTACCAAGGTAAATTTTTCTTAAACAAGGAGTGAAGTATTGTGAATGGTCACACTTCATTAAGAATCATGCGAAAACTTTAGTTCTTAATTTTGTATTGTTTTGTTTAATGTCTTATCACGAGTCACCTTTATCACTTGCGAATTGAGTTGTTAGCTATTCATATGTAGCTTAGTCTAAAGTCGTTCGTACAAATGTAAATTGTTTACTGTAATTTTTCGACAATCTGTTGCATACTCAAAGGCTAACGATAGAAGTGCGCCAGGATTTAGTAAAATCAGCAAAAAGTTTGAGTGAAGAGGCGAAGATTGGGATAAGAAAAGTGCGTCAAAAAGGAATGAATGATATACGTAAACAAAGGAAAGAAATCTCTCAAGATGATGCTAGGATGCTTGAGAATCATGTGAGAAATATTTTATTTAAAAAAATCTCTCTTCTTCTTTGTCTTGATCAAAAACTTTTAATTTATTCAGATTCAGTTCTTAACTGATAACTATGTTAAACAAGTTGACGACCTTTTACAAGAGAAATCTAAAGAGTTATTGCTGAGGTGAAAGAACATTAACAAACCAGTGAAACATGTCATGAACGACTCTATTAATAGTATCCGTAAAGCAAGAGCCATTTATGGGAAGTGCTAGATAAAATAGCGCGCTTTCATTGGCTCAGAAGCATTTTTGGCGGTCTATTTAAACGTAATTTCACCGAAAGAGAATTTAGAATTTCGACAAAAATGGCAGAAGTTTTTTAAAACGCCAATTGCAAGATAAAAAATCCTGTGAGTACGAATGTGATTCGGAGTAGCTAAGAACACCGGCATCTGAGTTTTCATTTATAATGCAAGCATTTCAAAAAATAATAAATGCATGTCCTGTTTTTTCAAGTAGCTAAAACGTTTTAAATCATATTAAACTCTTTATAAACATCGCTTGCTTGCTCTTTACCGTGAAATATCGAACCTCTGTCTTTTGGTGAATATCTCACCCTTTGTGTTCGATCTTTACAAATGGAGATGAGTAAGATATTTCTCCAAGCATATGGTAAGTAATGGCTTAAAAGGACTAATATATGTTATTGGTTGTCTCAAATAATGAAGCCAATTGTTATAGTTCTAGCCATCGAGTTTATTTTCTATGTTGACTATCGGCGTTCACAAGTCTCAAGATTAAATATCTATAATGATTATCCGTACCCACAGTTATTTACATCAAGTATCTCCAATGATCATTATTATCCACAATTATCTTCATCGAATATCCATAGTGATCATCAGCATCAGGAATGGTCTGCATTTATTTATATCTACGGTTATCATCGCTATCCACAATTCTCTACATGAAGTATCTATATTGATCATCATTATCCACAATCATTTCAAGATGCTCTAATCTGCTTTCCAAAGCATTTAAACATTCCTGAATATCAAAGCTTTCATAGCTTGTCAACATCCTAAAAAATATTTGAAGGATATTTCATCGGTTGAATATTCAAAATATTAAATATCCATTCTGTTCCTGACCTGACGTCCATGTCATTTCTTCTATTGTATTTAGTTGAGGTTATTGAATATTGTTTTAACCGCTTGTTTAAGTCTTTCTCGATTGCATAACGTTGATAAAGTGAGCAAACATTTTCTTCTGAAATTTTCAATTTTCTTTCCAGATTTGTGACAAGTCTTGATGATTTCTCAAGTTCTAGTTTTAGTTCGTCACATTGTCTAAAAAATTAATGAATTTGTGTCCCTTTGTGGCGTAGCTACGCGCCACTGGGGTAGTTTTTGTCTTGTCGCGAAAATTTTTGCTAGTAATTCTAGTTTGTATTTTTTTGTTTTTGTCCCTGCTGAAACTGAACAGAAAACTTACGAAGCAAAACTTCACAAGACATCTATCAGGCGTTCACTCGGACTAAAATGTTTTGTTATATTTGCGTATTAGCTATATTGGTTGCCTAATAATAAACATGAAAAAATTTCTTAATTAGCTAATTGTACTTTTTCCTAAAATACCAATGCAATAATACGGAACACCCGTGTAAAAAAGCGAAACACCAGTGCCAGTTTCTTTCTGTTAGTTTTTGAAAAACCGAGTCGTGCATGTTTTCCCCAAATTGCACTCGAAACTATGCTATTTCCTATACAAATAGCATAACGAAGGTCATGGCTATGCATTCTCACATTTGGCAATATATTATGTCAATTATATGTTTTTGTACTCGTCATTACAGACACTCGCGCGTGAAACGATGCAAGAAAGGTTTGATTGGTTAAAGGGCCTCGTGTCAGTCGCGCGTGACTTATGCAATCGCTAGGCACGACAGAAAAAAACGCATTTCAACTCGGCCGTTCTTTTCGGCTGTCCGAGTAAAACATGGATGGCTATGTCATTAGTTTTTCACGAAATAAAATTTTCAACTTTCTAATACTGAGTTCCAAGAAAAATGCTCCTAATACAAGCCTCCGTTGGTGTCTGCGACTCAGTGCATGGTGAAACTGCAGTCTCTAGACATACTCATAAAAGCATTCAGTACTTACGAAAATAATGGTCGACAACTAGTAAAATACTTTCAACAGTCTCAAGCGTTTGTTCTACTTGAATTTCACAAGATTAGAGTTACATATTTATGTAGAAATCCATTGCTTTTACAGCGATTGAACACCAAAATAGTTACGTAGTGTAAACAAACTTGTGGGCTGGCTACGTCACTGATAACGGTCTGTTTAGAATAGCAATGGTTCGTCGTGTATCTTAAATGGATATTGAATACCTATTACTATCCTCGTACTGTTTCTTGTAATCATTTCTTTCATTTATAAAGCTCTGTAAAATTATTTCCAGTTCTGACCTTCAAAACAATAAAAAATTGTAATTTTCCCATTTTGCCTACTTGTTGATGGTGATATGATTCCTTACCTGGTGTCGGGTGGCGTGTTTTTCTTTTTACTTTGACACTTTCCCATTGGCTCATTTGAATTGATTATAACAGTTTTGCAGCTTTTTGTTTTCTTAGGCGTTTTGTGATGTCATAATCGCTTTTAATGACGTCATAATTAGGTTTGATGCTATGGAAAGAAGCCGTTCAACCGAACAAGCAGACACTATTTGTCGATTTGTAGATTGACCATTTTGAAAGCGATAGTTCCCAAGTACAAAGACAGTTATTACGTTTCAAGTTAATGGCTCTTACGTTGCTTTTTGGCTTGAAAGAAACATTTTGGGTGTTCTAATCTATAATCGTTTCGATGCATGGGTAGTCTTGAAAAAACAACTGTTTCACTTTCAAGCGAAATCGATTTGATTATAAATCAGATGATACTGGGTGGTGAAGATTGGCTTCCGCGCAGCAGTGCAGAGACAGAGGGGGAAAGGGGCATCTTACCCTTGGCTCCCAACCTTTCAGCGGCATGTATATCTTATAGAGGAGCAAAAATTAATGCTCAACATTACTGAGTTCAGTAAAAGAGTTCATGTCTTTTGAATGTTTTGCCTCGAGCTCCACAATTTCTCTCGACGGCCCTTTTTCCATGAGGTACACTTACTTTGATAAAGGCAGTGGATTCTGAGTTTCATGCTGGAAGCTTAGTGTTTTTACTTTTCATAACAGCAAAACAAGCTTTGAGCTTTTCAGTATAAAAATCAGTCCGCAGTATAAAAATCAGTTCTTTGATTTAACCATGTGCCCATATGCCCTCCCGGTTATCACCATTTATCAAAGTGCAATGGTGCCTTCTACGCATTGGCTGTTTGGCTCCTGACATACACTGACCTACTCACCTGACATATTCATTGTTAGATTGCATCGGGTTCTCGTGTAAAAAAATGACAACCTTACCGCCCGTCTTCCCAACCAAATGGTAAGCGTATAATCATTCAATTGTAATTACATGAAGTAAAGCATTTATGCTACTGATCTCTATAAGCAACGATTTTTCTCCGATCGTTCCTTTACGATTCCGTTAATGGTGGTAGATTTTGAACGAAGAAGACAATCTCTTTGAATCTGGGCCGAGCGAAGGCTTAAAACGATTACAAATATGTTTAGCTACGTGAAAAAACTAATTTTCCTCCTATTGCTAGCCTTTCCTGCAGTCATGTTCATTTCAGATCAAGGTAAGAGGACGACTAGGAAAGTGATATTTCTTCAACTGTGATCCACTTAGAAATGTTTAATTCACTCTAGTTTCGCTCTGTCCTGTGATGTTTAGGCATTTGGACTGATTCAAACCAGGCAGCAAAGCGTCAAAGGGTATAAGTTGTACGTTTGTAAATGCCGTTGAAATTTGAAAGAATGTTTTATTCTTTTCACTCGACTTTCATTTACAACACGTCAGCTTAGCGCGTTTTTAACAAACGACCTTTGTCGACTTGTTGCTCTGATTTGTGATTATCTTTTCTATCTGAGGACAGTTGCGTGAAATTTTAGTAAATATGCAGTGAACTTTTTCATCAAAAATAGTAAATGATACGCATTTTACTATGGCGCGAATCTCGGAGTTAAAGCATAATGAAAGATCATTATATTGATGATTTATCTCCGGCTAAATTGCAGAATACCCTTCCACTCGGTTTTAGTTGTAGTGTTAGGGTTAGAAAAGTCAAGTTTATATTATACATGTTTTCTGCAATTGCTTCTTATCTCCTGCCTAAGGCTTGTGCTAGCAAGACTATTATTTTAGGATAGTGATGGTTAATTGTGAATGCTGTTGTATTGCTAGGGTTAGCGGTTTCTGCTGAAGAAGATGAAATCATTGAAAATGAGAGTGACGATGAAATCAATAATGAGCGTGAAGAAGAAGAGGATGATGGAAAAGTGGAAACAGATGAGGAGGAAAATGAAGAGAGTGATGATGCTCCACAAACCACCCAACCTGGCACTGTAAGTGTTCATCCCCTAAAGTAAAGTTTTCATTTTTTGTGAACTGTTGTGTGAGCTGTTTTTTTGTTGGTTACCTATTCCATGTTTTGATTGGATATTTTGTTTAACATTGGCAACTGGGTTGAACAAATAGTAAGTTTTTCTCAATAATGGATTCTTTCCTCAAGCAACCGTATGCAAGATGTCTGTTCCACATCAAGTCTGCCATGTCTGTTTTTACTTTCCCACAATGTCAGGCAACAAAACTCTCATGTTCCATGGAAAATCTTCTGGATATGAGAGTTTTCTCAGATACCAATATCCTCATCAGGCAGATTATTCCATCTCAAAATTGATATTATTTATATTTATTTAAACAGAGACTTTGCCATTGTAAAAAATTTAAGTATTGCCTTAAAATGCTGATTGCCTTTGGGTTTTACGCCATTCACCATGGCAATTGCACTTTTTATAGCAATATTTCTATTTTTGCTCAATGGATATCTTTTTATCTTAATAAAGTGATATGCATTTGAAATCAATGTTTCTTCAGGCTGGAGACCAAGAAGTAACTGGGGAGGAAGAGGAACAAGAAATCCCCACTCTTACAGCTTCTCCAGATGCTGAGACAACCATATTGTTTACCAGTCATCCCGAGCAAGGTGTGTTTACTTAAAGGTTGTTTCTATGTCAATCTACCATCAACAATAATATTTGCATACATTTTCTTTAGAAATTGCTGCCGGTAGCATTGTTGATTGTCTTGTTGGTTTTACCAATAATGGCAAGGAGGATTTTGTCATAAATGCATTAGATGCTTCACTTCGATATCCTCAGGACTATTCCTATTTCATTCAAAATGTAAGTTAAACAACTAAATCATGCTACGTAGAGCTGTGGGAAAGTCAGTTTTCAATCTTAGCCTTTATTGTACTTGCTCAAGGGGCTCATCAATGCTCAATTGAGAGGAGGGGTGCAGGTTTTCTAGGTGGGGTGCATCACTGACCTAGCTACCCAAAGGTGCCAGGGCCTCGGGCTATTGTATACTTTAGGCTGACAGATGAGTGAACATTTTGAAATAAAGTGTTAGCTTTTTAAGAATTTTTTATAAAGTTAAGTAAATTATAAATCCTAGTTATGTAACTTAGCAGTACTTCCTCGAATAATCAGCCAAGCTTCATAAATTCTGCATCCAAATAATTCCAACAATGAGTCAAACACAAATACAAATGTTGCTTTCACACATAACAAACAGTGGACAAGAAAATAAAGGGCAATTGGAGTTAACATGATAAAGTAACAGCTTACTTTGCAATTGGTGATTTGATTCCATTTTCACACCTTGATGAAAACAGGCAGAAACTAAAATAATATTTTATTGCATTTGAAATGATGAATTCCATTTTTTACTCAGTCTTATTGTACAATTTCATAGCCTCTGTGACTATAATAACCATTTTGGAATTTTTCTTGGCATGGTGGGCACCCATCTGAAAATCCACCCCTGCTTGCTGAGGCTTTATAATATAGCATCTTATAATGATCAAAATCTTTCACACTTCCTTGACATTTTGTTAACAAAAAAACTGTGCGTACAACTTTTGTGTGAACAAGATCACAACTGTGCAGGAATAAAGTGAGATTATGTTATACATCCTACTTATTTGCCTTCACAAACTTTACTCCTCAACCAAACATAATGCGTCCCAACATCAAATCTTGCAGGCGAAAATTTCTGGAGCTTGTGGTACTTCGTTTTGCTCATCATTATTTCTAGTGTTGATTTTAGGCTGCAAGGCTGCTAATTTGTACTCTCCTTTTTTGATTTTAAATTATTCATCGTTTCTTCTACATGCTTTCTGTTTAGTTCACATCCAGAACATTGAAAACGATTGTTAAACCAGGAGAACAGGCTACCTTTGATTATGCTTTCAAACCTCACGAAAACCTTGGTGGACGTCCTTTTGGCATTGTTGTTGCATTATATTACAAGGACAGCGATGGCAAAGATTGGATGGATTCTGTCTTCAACGAAACTGTCACATTCAAGGAACATGATGAAGGCTTTGATGGCGAGACGTTCTTCTTGTATGTCTTTGTCGCAGCCATGGCCATTCTTGTCATCATGGGAGCACAATATATCTTGTCTTCACTTGGAGTATGTGTCTACGTACTTTTTAATTATGTTGAATATTTCATATTTTCATGTGATAATTATTCAGCTGGGGCCGGTTGTATAATACTCTGAACTACTTTTTAACTACACTTTTTGAAGTCAAAAAGTAGTTAAATTAACCCACCCAGTTGTTGTTGGTTGTTTAAAAAAGTAGTTAGCGCTAACTGTAATTTAAGTTAACTACGCTTTTATACAACCGAGTAGACATGGAAACCTAAGAGAAATCAACTTTTTAATTATGTTAAATATTTCAAATTTCCAATGATAATCATCCAATTGATCTTTAGAAGAAAAAGTCGTCAAAACCATATGTAGAGATGGGAACCCAACACAAATCTGATGTAGATATTGACTGGTTGCCCAAAGAAACTACAACGGAATTTGGTATGTTTATTCGAAATCTTGACTACATATTTGCAAAGTGGAAATAGTATTTTCAATGTTAACATGATAGCTCCATATAAAATTTTTAACACGGCCAATACCTATAAATAATTGTGAAAAGAGGCGTATGAATTTATGACGTTTTGTCTTCAACCGAAGACATCTTGTACATATGCAAGATATTTGTACATTCACTAAGTACATATTAACCGAGCTCAACGTCTTTATGGAGAAATATCAGACCGAGATCTTTTTGTAGGGTTGGCTTTGCTTCTCTAGTGAAATTGCGTCGTCTGGATAACGAAACTCACTTTCCGATTGTTTTTCTTTCGACTCACATTCGTTTATCGTTTTTTTGTTTCGTATTTATGCGTTTGGCTGCTTTCTGTTTGCTTTAGGACGTTAGTTTACATAATGCTAAATTACTTGAAACTGGACTAGCAAAAACGTTTCTAAGCCAATCAAAGCTTTTCATTTTGACGGAAGTGACGCTTGCATGTAATAAATGGTGTTAAATTACACATAAAAAAATGATGAATAAAGTAAGGGAAATATGTTGAAGCAGATGAAAGGGAATAGAGTTACTTTGGGTGTGTTAAGAGAATATCAAAGCTTGAATATGAGATGGCTTTCGTTGGCCATAAGCTGAGAGTTAACAGAGGAAGAAGAGAGAATCAAGCAGACATCAAAATTAGCAGAATAAGATGTATTGTTTGTATGAGAAGAAATACGTAGTGAACAAGGAAATGGTTTTACTGTAAAGTGTCTATTATGGTCAGGGTGAGGGGATAACTTCTCCAGATAGATAAATCGATTTCAAGAATATTTGCAGTATATTTGTTGGATCGAAAATTTCATCTTCATGGGTTTTCGTGGCCTAGAAGGATGTGACTCTGCACCAAATGTGACGTAAAAAGGAGAACGCGTGCCTTGAAGATATAGCTTTTTTTACGGAATAAAGCTGTTATAACTGCATTACAAATTTGACTTGCAACGTAGGTTCATTAGCAAATTTTTAACGAATAATCAAAGAAAACGTTTAAAAGTAGAACTGCGTTTCTCCTTTTTACGTACGTCACTTGTGGCGCGAAGTCACCTACTTCTGGGCGCAGAAATTTCACGAAGGTAACATTTTCGTTCTATCAATTATATTGCAAATGTTCTTAAAGTGGTACTATGACGAAAATTTTGCCTCTCGTTTTTTTTTCATAGATTAATAGTGTATGTTAAAAAATCTCTTCTGGCGAAATTTTAGCGCAATGTATTTCATGCTGCTCGAGTTACGCAGCGATAAAACTTGAACTTTAAGAGCCGCCATTAAAATGCGCCATATTTGAATTTTCAAGAAGGAAGGTGCTTGTGACGTCATAGTCTTAACTCGCGGCTGTTTACAATATAACACTATATACAAATAGAGATTTAAAAGGTTGTATAACTCAATTTTTTTAACATGCCTTCAACACGCTGTGACGTGCAAGATTGCAGTAATAAGTCTGATAGACATACAGGCATTTCATTACATAAAAGCGCAAACGGCGAGTCTTTGAGAAGAATTTGGGTTAAATTTGTTCAGACGAAGCGCGCAAACTTTAATCCGAGTTCGCGCAAAATTCGATTTATGATTTGTTCGAATCACATCTCGGATGATTGTTTTGAGCGTTTATTCCATTTGGGTGGTATGACTAGACGGCTCAAACCTGGTGCCGTACCTACTATTTGGAAGAAACCACAAACACCAACAACGTCAAGAGAGCGGCGTCAGGTTAGCACAAGTTGCAATTATTATATACTTACACATATTGCAGATAATAAATTTTCACAATTTGAGAGAACCAATAATACATCCAGGCAAACTTTCAATATATAATATACATTTATACTAAGGTTTTAAAGGAAATACAAAATGAAGTGTCTGTATCATGCGATGACCTTTGGTCTTTAAACCTAACGAAGCTGCTTGAAGAACAAATTCGTTCAGGCAAACTTCGTTAAAGCCAGGGTGATCCCAAATGCATTTCCTTTCATCGATTTCGAACTGATACATTTTACCACGGCATTGCTCTATTTCCATGCAGCATCGGCACTCTTGAGGGTTGACAACAAGATCCAACGAACAATGGCCACATTCACACCTTTAATATTGGCCAAATTGTATGTTTCCATAAAGTTATCATAGCTAACGGCAGACGATTCAGATCAAAGTAAAACACTAAGAATGACATCTTACCATGAAGTAACATCAACACGGGCATCAAAACGATCTTGCAGCATGTCTTCAACCCGCCGTTCTTCTGCGACTGCAGCTTCGTACTCAGCAATTTCATCGGGCGAAGCAAGCGGTTCAATATTATCGGCAAATGGCAAAATTTCCGAATTAGATTCGTCCGAATTTGCCGTCATGAATACCGATGAAGAAATCGATGCGTTTGTCTCGATCGAAGACTCAGAAAGTTAGCTAGATCTCGATGAATTTGACATTTTTTTGCTCTATTTATGTATTACTTTGTATGCGTAAGACTATGACGTCACAGACCTTTGCTGATTGCAAATATTCAAAATGGCCGATTTTAATGGCGGACATGAAAATTAGACATTTCAAATGTTCATAACTCCCTCGTTATATTATTATTTTTGCTTACATTTTACGAAAGCAATAATTGATATGTGTTTAAACTATTGAATGCTAAAATCGATGATTTTTTAACGTTAAGTTTTCGTCATAGTACCACTTTAAAAGGGAAATATCTCAAGAGCCTACTTCCGCCACTTTAAGGTAAAGACGAAACGTCATCAATCGAAAAACGCTCTTTTCCACAATTCGTTTGTAATGGCTGCATTAGAAATTTTATATCGAGCCACCATATTCATACTGGAACTTGGTTTGTTCGTCCAATGTTAAACATCTCTTAAAATGCAATTTTCCTCGGTTGATGTGAGTGTATTATTTAGGAAAAAATTCCCCGCGTCGTTCACCTCGCAATCGTAGACAGAAACGAAGTGCTGGTGCGGGAGAAGAGTGAAAAATCATCTTGAAATAATTCAACGATGCAATCTGAAAGCTGAAAGAAATTTACTTGGGAAGCAAGGATATTTTCAAACAATTGTTTTTGCATCAGAAATGAAATGCCAATTGCACTCTCACATAAAATGAATTTCTTCTTAAAAAATAAGTTATGAATTTTAGAAATTTTTACTTTTTGATGGTAGCAAAACTAGGAATTATATTTAGTTTAGTCTTCGTGAAATGAAAACAAGTGCGGTGGTTTTCATCGCTCAAATTCCGGTAAATACTGTTAACATATTATTGACAAATCTAATTGGCTATATTGGTTTTCCTTATAGTTTAGGAATTGACCAATCAATGACAGCTATCCTATGATCACGTGCATTGGCATAGACGTTTGTTGCATTAACGCATTCAGATAGAACTGTAAACTCTTCATATTTGTTGGAAAATTCGTTCACTTTGTTAGGGTCTTGTTATCTTTTTTAATTAACTGCGTATGAGGGTTTTATTTTTAGCCAATCAGTGTATTTGTGTGTGTTATCTTAATTTACCAATGAGAACGCGTTATCGCAAAAATAATGTAAAAAAGGACTGAAAATTTGAGAAAATGGCTCTTTCTTTTATTCCTTTAACGTGCTTTTTTTCGAGTTTATGACTCTTCTAAAGCTTTCATACTAAGCTTTAAGCAAATTATGAAGAATAGTTTGCGTGCTAAGCGGTCGTTGTTCAAAAAGCTGTAATTTAGGTTCGCGGAAGAAATTTACAAAGCAGCACACGAGTGAGTGAAAAAAATCTGTTGCTGAACATGAATTTTTCGGTTTTCAAGTAAATGTCACAAAATCAAAGCACGTCGGCAAATTTTAAGCAACGTGCATATTCGCACATTTTTTTGCTTACATTTTTGCGTTCTGATTGGATTTTGAAACTGCAAACAAGTGTACCGATTGGCTCCTAATGAAATTCCTCTTGTTTTTCAAATACAGGCTGTCAGATACAATTTAAATATGTGATAGGTAAGTATGTACCGTTGTCTGCAGAGTTTAGTCATGAGCGCATCGACAATGAAGGAATTATTCAACTATTCTAACTACAGGATGGTCACTGCTTGACCTGAATGTCGATGCACGTGTTTTTGGTAATTACCACGCGTGTGGTCCACGCTGTAGTGTTTACCATCATTGATATGGTGATTGTCTGATAGACAGTATCGTTCACAACGAATTTCGACAAGTAAGTACGATTTAAGGATTAATTTTTGCTAGGATTACGTATTAGTAACTATACTTCCTAAGGCATAGCATTTTGTTGCTGCATAGAGTTATATGCCGTGAATATTCACATGAAATTGAGGTATGTTCTCGCAATGAAGAACTTATTGTGATTTGCGAAGATTTTCTTCCCAAACAACTTAAACTTTTATTTGGTAAATTACATATCTATAACCAACAGAACTGATCATACTTAAGGTCTGTCTTTTTGTTTGATTTAGAAGATATCTTTAGACTTTAGGTGTTCCAATCAAAGATTTATGGTACTTTACCTAATGGCTGACACGCGCTGTTCATACCATACTCCAGGAATTGGTAAACTTCCTCAGGAACTTAGGACATCTCGTGTGATACGTCGGTCTCCTGTTCAAGAAGTTTTGGAGTTCACTAGACAGAGCTTATCTGCCATAGCATTTAATAGTCAGGTGATAAAATTTAAAAAATGCAGTATTGACATCTACAACAACTATATCTTGCAAAACTTTTCAAGTGTTTTTTATTTTTCAGAAAAGATCTCATGCTTCATTGCATCTTCCCAGAGCGGTCAGGTATCCCTTTGATGACATTAATTTTCCTATTTTAAGTTAATCTTTGTCACGTGACATATTTTGGTCACGTGACAATGCTCAATCACGTGAGATAGCTTGGATCTGTGAAAATGTTGTTGCATGACAGATATTTTGTCGATGACTTTTATGACATATCTAAGATATTTTAGTCATGTGACGTATCTTCTTCAGTGCACCTCCAGGGCTTTCTGTGAAATTGAGTGCATCTGAGAAAAACAAACAAGGGGAAAGATTGTTGCAAAGAAAGCAGCATCTTGCTTATTCTCGCTCAGCAAAAAATAAATCCAATGTGAGTACATATGTTTTCTCATGTATTTGCAAACAGAGGAACATTAGAAGTTAATCATTTGATGGCTTCATCACCGATGAATGTATTGCTATTTCAAAAATACATCTAAAATAATCCCTTGGTCTCATTTTGGATTTTGTAGATGGAAGTTCATGTCCAGTAGTGTACTGTAGTTAAGGTAGCACAATTTTGGGTTTCATTTTTCAATTGGTGGAAAGCTATGTTGGACTGCAGATTGGAAATTGATGAGAAACAAACCTTCAGAATCACTGAATGTATCTAACTTTTTGCTTACACCAAGTATTTCATTACTACTTTGCAGATCATACCCCATCGCCAGGACTATGGTTATTACATTGCTGGATCAAGTATGACACTTTCTTATAGGTGAGCCAAAATCATGCCTGCAAACGACAACATGTTGAAGAATAGGAAATTCCATTTTCTACCCGGATATTTTTTAGATATGATATTGATGATGAAGAATTGATTAGATTACAATTATTAGCACAGAGAAGAATTGGAGGAAGCAGTAGAGCAAGTTCAGTGAACAGCTCCCTGGTGAATTACAGGTAAACATCTTTTAAGTCGTGCTCATTTAAACAGAGTTGTATTTCCATTAGAAAAAAGTGAAATTTCTCTAGAAACTTAAACACCAAAGCCATACAAGAATTCATAGTCTTTAACTGTCAAAACAATATTGTTTGTGTTTATTTCATCTTGTTCAATATTTATGTCATTAATGAAGACGTGTTACGTCTAATGGTGTACGCCCTGGATTCCTGAGTTCTGTTGGTGAGACTGCCACACCATTAACACCAAGTGCAGCTCAACTTGCCACACCATTAACACCAAGTGCAGCTCAACTTGCCACACCATTAACACCAAGTGCAGCTCAACTTGCCTCACCATTAACACCAAGTGCAGCTCAACTTGCCACACCATTAACACCAAGTGCAGCTCAATTTGCCACACCATTAACACCAAGTGCAGCTCAACTTGCCAAACCATTAACACCAAGTGCAGCTCAACTTGCCTCACCATTAACACCAAGTGCAGCTCAACTTGCCACACCATTAACACCAAGTGCAGCTCAACTTGCCACACCATTAACACCAAGTGCAGCTGTGTTAGCAGAAAAGGTAACTTTTTGATTCATGAATTTCTTTTTACCACTCATTTTTGAAGGTGTATTACATCATTGCGTCATGTACAAATTACATCATTCTGGCCGTAGACATTTTTCAACATATTGCCGGTACTGATGACTTATAACAGATTTTTATGAAAGCTCTTTGCATTTGGTTGAAGACTTGAAGTAAAGCAAAAAATGCTTTATTATCAAGTAGCCCCACGACTTATAATTTACTTCATAACAGCAACACGAACATGTTTTGCAAAATGTGAATGGTTTAAACTATCAAAATTGCGGGGTTCAGTGAAAAACATCGTTCAACATAATAATTGCAATAACACGGACGTCCATACGACGTTCTCTGCTAAAATCAATTTTCTTGTTTACAGAGAAAGAATATTTTAGAGCGAAGACAGCAACTAGAAGATGGTCGTTTGAGGCGCAAAGAACTACGTAAGAAGGGAAAAAACGCTCAAAAAATACGTTTAGAGGAGAGAATGAAGTTCGAAAAGGAAATGGAGGAGAGATATCGACCCAAAATCCCGGAAAAGAAAAGGTTTGGATAGAATTTCAGCTCGTTTGTTGCACATCAAAGTTTTGATGTCGACCGTTCTTTTTTACTTCAAAATAGTTTGATTTTTCTCGCTGACCAAGAGGATATGAAAGCAACTGTTAAGGAGAGGTAAAATATGGCGAAAAGCCGTGTTTATGAACTTTATACAACTCAAATGTCAAACGAATAACTGTCTGCCTGAAATTTTTCTTTCCTAAAGTCTTGCGAAAAGTCGAAAAGTCTATACTCTTTCATTTTTTATATAATAAACGCTGTTTTATTTAGAATACTTTTGAAATACTTCACCAATGATGATGATAGCGAGGTTAGTGTCTATTTTTTAGTCTTTATTGTATCCAACGAGTGGCGTCGGTGGGATTTTCTTTTTAGGGAGCCAAACACCCCTAAAATGTCCCTTACATATATTACGACGACATTTTCAAGTTAGATGTATAAAGACCGTAGTATTCGAAGAATTGGGGGCATTCGCCCTCTTTTTCCCTCCCTTGCTGCCACCAGTAGCTGTTGGCATTTTCTTGTAATAGTATGTCCTCTGTTTTGGCCATAAATTTCTCGTTAAAATATCATTAAATTTGTTTTTTGAGACAACATTCTTGAAAGTGGGCTTGGATTGACGATTGAAATCTTTCTGATCATGCGCAGATTATTATCATAGTTTTACAAAAAAATTTTAGGAGTCGGTTAAACCACTTGTAAACGATGAACAGAGAGCGGTTTTCGCAAATATTTTTGACGAAATAGACCTCAACCGAGATGGCTGGATTGACATGAAAGAATTCAAAGGGAAACTTTGCTCTATGGCTACTAAAGATCAACTGAAACAATTACTCCAGGTACCTTTGAACAGCTGCGAAATTCACCCTCTTATTTTCAGAATAGCGTCGCTAACATTGTATTCATGAACAAAAACAAGTCTTGGTGCGTAGCATAGACTCCACTTTGGAAAGTCTGTGCAAATTACATCCTAACCGATTTTATAAAGAACAAATTTCATTCTGGGACTGAGCTTAAATTAAGCTCTCAAGAGGCCCGGAGACAATCTTTTGGTGGGTCACCCGGTGGCCTTCGTTGCCTTCTATTCAATTTTATGTTCTCTACAAAATGTCTATTGTCATACTTGATATTTTATGAAACCAAAACTGCGAGTGCATTGGCAAATTATATTGAAAACAAAAGATGCGACCTTTTGCATGCAACAAAAAACAGAAACAATCTTTAATTACAAATTTCCCATCGTTGGTTAGTAAATAAAGAAAGGCCTGCGTCATTAGGCTGTCCTATGGCTTCTGTCATTGCTAGGTTGTTCAATCAAAAAGATTGACACCATTTCTTTACCACATTGTTGAACATCCTTTGCACCTTTAGAAAGCCAGTAATGCTATGTTTTACTTGGGATTATAACTGACCTGAATCCAATGTGATTAACGTATGGAACTCGGTCATAAGCTCATTATCAATATTGGCATTAGTTCTGTAGTCGTCGCTTGTATAAGCAGTTTTAAGAAATTTCAATGATTGAGGTGGGTGGCCCCTCCTAGCTTCTTTTAGTGGGTGGTCGTCATAAGTTCCTTGCCCCTTGGGTCCACCCCTTAATACGTCCTTGATAACGGGTTGAGTTCATGAGTCCATTCGTGTTTTGAACTCTGTATCTTTATGAGACAAATTTAGCTCAAAAAGTATAAGAGTTACATGACTTTGTTTTTGATTTATTTGTTAGGTATTTGACGTGAATCGCGACAGTTTTGTAGATAAGAGAGAATTCGTCGTAATTTGTGCACTGAACGACAAACTTCGCGGCTCAAGGTAACCGAAAGCTTGTGTACTGCGGTCTCAACCACATCACCATTGATGTTTTTCTGTACATTTTAACAGAACTGAAAGTGGCACGACTTCGTTAGAACTTAACATACAAAGACTAGCAAATTTTCTTATTATTTACAAGGTAAATCAATACAATATTCACGAAAACACGTGAAAACTTGTAGCATTTGAATGCGCTCATATTGTATAGGAGTTATTTGATATCATCGATGAAGATGGAGACGGGAAAGTTCAAGTAGACGAAGTAGTGCTTTTGGTGAAAACCGCTGTGCAAGCAGATAACAGTCTCTGCGAAGAGAAAATCATGATGGAGTTGGGTATCATGGAGAAAGATGAGAAAGGTAAAATTTTTGTATGGATTTTTTTATTGGTTTGTAGTGAAAAATTTTTCTTGCAGAGTAAATTCTTACTTCGTTCTCGAAAAAATATTTTTCCAGGTTGCATCGACTTCATTACCTTTATATACAATGTCTCGCTCTTTTCGCGATTATTTCGTGTTGTGATGGATTCGCCACTTTCCGTTAGCAATCTTGAAGATGTACGAGATCGTGTTCTTCGCAAACACTCCAGAAAAGCAAGTGGAAACACATAGTAAAGAAACAAATAGTTTAAAAAGGCAAGTGGGAACAGAGAATAATGAAAAAATACTCCAAAAAATATATAGGGGAAGCGTAGGCCATTGAAACCATGGAAACTAGTTGCGCGTTAGCCTGCGTCATGTGGTTTATGGCGTTGGCTAGTTACGCGTTTGTTCATGAAAAAAGTGGTTAGGATCTAGTAAACCACATGGTCCATTGTCAAAGAATTTTGTGAAGACAAGTTTTTCACCAGGTGAAAAATGCTGTCGGAAAATGAAAAATGAAACCTTTTTACAAACGATTTAGCACACTTGAAAAATTTCCTAGTTTCTGCGCAAACCTTGTTGTGACAGCTTTGTCTACTGCGTAGAAACAATTGTTTGTATTCTGAAAAGCAAATTTTTGGTCGTAAATCAGGCATTTCTTGTTGCGCAAATTATTTAGATATGAAGCCAATATCTAAATTTACATCGTTGGCGAATTCAGATGAATTGAAATGCTTGAAATTACAAAAGCTTAAAATTCCTCGTGATTTAATGCATAAAAAATTCATTACTTTTACATATTTAACAACAGTTTTTCAAACGTACATTTGTGTGAGAATTATTAAATTAATAAAATTACGGATGACGTAGCCAGCTCGTTTGTTTCCTCGTGCTATGTAAACATTTCTATATTCACTCACTGTAAATTCGAGTCAATAGATTTCTCGCGAAATAAATGACAATGATCAGAATTTTACATAGCATTAACAAACCTTCGGGCTAGCTACTCTAATCTTTGCAAATTTTTGTGCGGGTCAACCAAGATGCACTTAACGCTTTTGGGTATGTTTATATCCAATGTTTATATCTTAGCTTTATGCCTGCGACACGTCTAATGGGGAACTTCGTGTAGTTTTTCTGAAAATTCACTTTACTCAAGTTAATACAATAGCAATTAGCAAAGAAGCCTCTACGCTTTGGAAAAGAAGCTTTTTTAAATCAGAAGTTGTCAAAATCACTTGAAAACAATGTTTTAAATTAATAAAAGTCCGCCTTCACTACATAATGAATAAATATCGCGAGAATTTTTACGGCGTCAAACAATTACAAAATCACCCATTTTATCGACCAAAAAATGGCCTTAACACTGTGATTTGCACGCAATGAATCTTGGTCAACACACATTCTTTAAAGCTTGTCTCATAGAGAAAAAAATATCAACATTATGTTACAATACGATCATTAATTTCATTCGCTATTCCTAGTTTCGCTTAGTCAGATTAGTCAGAGTAAACCATCCAGCAAACTCGTTCTTAAAATCGTAATCCGACGGATCAATGACCACACCACCCATAAGTTCATTCTCTGTAAATGCGTCATAATCCCAAACCGTAATCTTTATCTTACGTTTTCGTACCATATCCTCCGATATTTCCCACGTGAATCTCTCGTTGTAAGTCGGATTTAACGTCTTTCGCGCGATTTTCGTCTTGCGCTTAGTAGATTTTGTTGGATCGGGGGTTAAATAAATCTTCACGTACGGATCGGATAAACTTCCCGCGCTTTTCGGTAATAAGTTCCTGGCATGCATAACCATAATATTGAGCTGGAATGATGTATGCTGGATGGAAACCTTTATCTCTCCCCCGATAGGTCTGTCTCTCCGGTATCTTTCCTCCGGTAATGGTCTTATCGCATATTTTTTGACATCAAACTCGTCCGATGGTAAAGAGTGTAGAAACGTGTAGAAAAGATCACATTCGTTGATTCCTCGCAACTCGAAGAGTTGTTGTAAATATTGATCAAATTCCAGTCGACGTTTCTCGGCGACTAGTCTGATTTGCGACCGACCAAGATAGATTTTAGCTGGTAGCAAAACGTAGAAAAAAAAATTAAAATGGAATACATTAAAAAAAAAACACGGAAACTGAATGCTCCATATCAAGAGCCAAAGACTCATGTTACAATTATAATTGTACCGTAAACATTTGTAACTGCAGTGTAAAAATGTGTAATTGTAGTGTAGAAATATCAATTCAAAACGGTAGGGCGGCAATTGTAATTAAACCAAGATTTTAGATACTGTCTTTTGAATGAATATTTATAAAAGTTGGACACGTAGCGAGGCTTTTCTTCAGCTTAAGAGAGTTATGGCATAGTTTGAAGTCAGAACATTCACTCGTGAGTTTTTCAAAAACTGCATGTAACGATAAAGTGGACAATCTGATGCTAACAATTTGTCTTGGATGTGCACCGGTGCATCATAAACTTCCATTTTTACACCATTATACAAATAATCTTTCTGTGAAATTTTGATAGGAACTTCGGAAGGGTTAAGTATTCACTCGGTTTATCAACAAAAATTTATCATAATAAAATATTACCTGGTAGTTTCGGTAAAGTGTGTTGAGGAAACTCATCGGCAAGTTTTGCATTGAATTCGTGAAAATGGCTGTATCTTCTGAAGACGAACGTCGGTTTTTCAAGATTTTTACGGCAAACGTTGATTAAATACACATAATATCTCTCGGGCGTATAGAGTTTCTGATAGTCGACGACTCTCGCCGAAATTATCTCACCGTCACTCGCAAGTGTGAACGTGTTGGGTGAAAACGAAAGCAATGGTATCATCGATTCTTGCTCTTCTTTCGCCGGATTTGAATTTCTTAACTGTGCAACGTTGTGAATAAAGAAGTTCATTTGTGTAAACCTAAAGATCGAAATGGGTAAATATGGACTTTTAAAAATATAATCGAAAGAATAAACTACAAACTTAAGTCTTCACAGCAAATTTTGTGTAAAGAACATGAATCGTTGCCTTAGTCAGCTCCTTCGACAATAATAATTTTGCGGCGTTATTTCGCTGCGAGAACAATGTTTAAAATTTACACTAGAGAACCTAAACTTGCAAACTGGCCATGCTACATCGTAGAATCATATTGTGATAGTTCTGTGCTCTATAATACGTGAAATTGATTCCTAATTCAAGCAATATTTCGCAAAAAAGAAATGCAATCTTTCGCGATTTCATCACGATGAACAAGCTAGGACGAAAGGCTATAAACGATCAACATTTCTGAAGACATGCAAAGCAAACCTTGAAGATAAGCTGGACGAAATTTGTCTGGTAAACATGGTGGTCGCTTCATCATCCGTTGCCCGTGGTAACAAAACATCATAGACATATTTCAGGTCGTTGGTTTGACTTAAATAAGGTATCCCAGAATTCAACATCAGAGAAAGAAGATTGAGGAACAGGTCGCTATGATGACGTATAATGTTAAACGCGCGACAACATAGGTCCACAAAATCTTGGAAACGACTGGTCGGCGTACAGCCACCATTGATGACGTAAGCCATATCCGAGGTTAAAACGAATGGTGAACGATCTCGACGAAAGCTTCCGAACATTTCCGAACGACCAAGGAACTTTGAGAAATCGATATGAAAGAGATGACCTGCGATTAAAAAAGATGATAAAAATTTTCAATCAATTTAATTTTCCATCCAGTGCATTTTCCACTTTCGTTTCTCTACCCAGGCTCACCACAGAACTACAATTGTATCTGTACATCCATCACAAAGGTACCAATCCACCAAGATCCATAAATCACCTACCTGTTTTCTTGACCATTATATTGTCGTTATGCCGGTCACAAATCCCGATAACATAAGTAGCAACGCAGTAGCCAGCACAAGACGCGACGAAATTGTTGACTGCCTCACCATATTCCTTCTCCACGGGATTGTGTTTGAGTAACCATCTGGCCAATGGCTCATCTTTGAATGAACCTAAGAAGACAAAAAAATAGGAAAACTGTCGTGAAATATGATGAAGTAACATAAGGAGAGAAGAATGGGGAAACTGTCGTGAAATATGATGAAGAAACGTAAGGAGAAAAAATTGAGAAGAATGTCATGAACTACGATGGAGTACATGAGAAGGTTAACGTCAGAGAGGCGATTAAAAAAATTGAGAGCGATGAAAGAAGACTGGGTCCAGTTACATACCAGTTAGACCATATTCAGTTTGAATCTGACGTAATGTTTGAGCGTCTTGGACTAATTCCACCATACCCATATCTGCGCCCGTGGGTAAGCAGCGGTATGTCACCATCTTTAGATCAAGTCCCTCTTTAAGCCAGAGTTTATTCATAATCCCGATCATTTGCATTGTCAGCGCGTCTTGCCTTAGATCGTCACCAACTTTGTACATTGTATCAATATTGAAACCATGCATGTCCGAATTCCTGAATTGTATGCGCAGTGGCACCGAGTTGGAATTGTAGAATGAGCACTCCTCCGTCACGATATCACTGACCTCAACTCCTGGATTGAGAGGAAGTCGAAGCAGTTCCAGGGATTCTTGTTGAATTTTTCCCAGTTCGCGATGAAGTATATCATCTCGTTGATTATCTTTGGCTTTTTTCACCTAAAAAATAAACAAATTTTTGAGATATGGTCATTTTTTCCAAAAAGCAAGGGTATCCTTCAACCTTCACAGCAACTTCGGTAAGCTTCGTCACGAGTTCGTCTTGCTTCGTAAACTGATCGCGCTGTAGACTGCCGCATATACTAAGCAATCCTCCGAGTAAAACCTGATACCGCTGACCGAACAGTGGGTCCGTAATGTTAAGCTTCAAGTACCAAAAGAGGTAATGAATGAGACGTGAACTGCGAAGTGCTCTTTCAATAAGGAATCTAAAACAAAGATTGAGTACGTTAATGAATCATGAATCCTCTCCCCCCGGAAGTATAATAGAGAGCTTTATCAAAGACTACGAGTATGAATTACGTCATTTTGGCGCATAAACATTGTTGCGACAACAACACGTAGCCGTCATCTATCTGAGTACAATGTTTTGTAAAAAATTCGTAGTAGCGAGTAAGATTACCTTGAAAACTTTCATGTATTTCGTACGCAAAGTGAAAAGTAAACAAACAATAAAATAGTGCAAATATATCGTACATAAAACTTAAAGAAGTGAAGATTTTTCAGTCTAAAGAGTCCTATGTTCTCGCAAAATCAGTATTACCGATTAGTAATATCGGTAATCATTGACAAATATAGCCGTAGTTGCTTCGCAAACTTCGGTGTTTTTCACAATAAAAAAGCTCGTTCTGTTGTTTACAACTAAACCTAAATTTTGACGAAGCGACAACGACAAGAAACTTCCTCGCGCCATTCCCTTACACGGTCAAACTTCGTACTCGTTGTCGTAGTCGTACTCTTGCTAAAGCTCTCTAATATAAAGCTTTTAAAACTAGGGGAGACATTACCTGGCCAGTGGAGAATTGTGGTAAGTCTCATACTTCAGTGTCTGCACCAATTGCGGGAGATAATCACAGAGTTCGTCATCGGAGAACGACTCCATCCATTTGACAGCGGTCGCACGAACCATCTGGTCTGGGAATTCAATCTTCAGTAAGTCCAACGCGTTAACTGGTGACATTGGTTCCCAGTTTGCCAACAGTTGGTAGATTTCCGGGAGACTTTGGTAGGTCCAGTCTGGTGCGCTAGACAACACCAGTCGTAACATGCGGCTGTCCTAATGAATTAAGTGGAAAAAAAGCGGATGAGCATTGTGTAAAAGGATTATGTGTTTATAAATATGTAAAAATATCAAAGTACCTTGGATGCCAAATGGCGGTTCTCCCAAATCATATATTTTTCTTCGGGACGCAATTCTTCAAAGATGTCCTTTGACAATACAGTTGAAAACAAGTCAGTAGACTGATCCTCGCTGTAGTCCAATTTCGCTTCCGGTATGACGAGCTGCGGGAAAACGATATCCGAGAGATGGGAGGTGAAGTCAACCTGTAAAATGGCACTGCGTTTATCGACGAGATTGGAAGTGCAAGAGCCCATAGGATTAGCGGCTTCGTTCGGCCACAATCCGAATAACTGACTACCGGAGATGAGAACGCCATTGAAATCAAACAACTGCACGGCGGTCCAACCTAGCGGTGTGCGGGTGCGGGCCGCGGTCAACGAGCCGCTCTTTGTGGCAGGAGACAGGCCGTACAACGTAAGACAGAGCCTCGACTCTCGCGGTAATTTGCATATCTCGATAGAGAACTCCATCCAACATTGCCATGCAATTTGCGGGAAGAAATTCGTGCTAATCTCGGCAAGAATGGTTGTCTCCGGGACGACGAGAAGATTCTTACCGTAATATATCTTTCCTTCGACAAGGTACGTGTCGAATCTTTCTTTCCACTCTGTCGGAATGCGATACGCTGCGGGTATGAAGAAATTCAACTTATCCGTCATCTGCGTAACTTCGATAGATCCATTTATGATCTTTTCGCTGATTCGTATCTTACCGAAGTCCGTGTTAAACGTATTGCAATACAACTCCATCATCAAATAAACGTTTCTATAAAGATTTTGTAAAATGGTTCGAAGCTCTGTCAAATCAATGGGGACCATTGTTCCTGGCGAGTCTGAGCAAAGATTATCGTATTTCGCCTTCAATTTTCTCAGCGAGTCCACGCATCTAATTATTCCTTTCGTCTCGATTTTACCAAGAGTCATGCAAACTGCCCTCACACTTTGTAAGAGCGGACCAGGTTGCAAGCAAGGTGGAAAGCCTCCCGCTCCATCTATAAGACGTTTTAGTTCCAAGTCGAAGGCCTCGCTCAGTACAATTAGACCATCACGTGATACGGATGTGACTAGTGATCTCTCAAAAAACTGGTTGTAAATACGCGGTTCGCAGTCCGCTATGTCGTCTTGATCACTACGGATTAAACTACGAGGGACGAGTTCGCTGTCAAGTAAAAAAAGTCGAACGTTCCGTCTTTCCATAACACAATGATGCATGTACTCGTACTCGCAGAGTAACTTTGAGTTGCTAAGATACTCTTGATAACCGCAGACTTTCAGGGTATATACGCTGCTCATGACGTCACTCGAGGTAACCTTATCATGCCACAGTTTACCTAAAACCTCTGCTATCACCTGACTTACGGGAATCTTCGAACTGCATTTAAGAGGAATGGGTGAAGATTTTCCTTCCACGAGAACCTCCACGTTCAAAAGAATATCTTCGAAGATCTCGGTGAAACTATCAGAGTTTTGGGTGATGGTTGGGCTGAGTAGATAGCCAAGGTTTAACTCCTGTTTTCCTCGGACATTCGAGCGGACGTCGCCCATAACTTTGCTGAACGATACCGCTTCTTCATTTCTCTCTTCTGTAAAATCAAACAAACCATCACCAAAGAATACCAATCCCGGGTTCACAGTTCTTCTTTCTTCAGTTGCCTCCAAGGCACGACGGTCGGGACTCTTTGTCGAGAATAAAGTCGAGACACGTGACTGGGGGGAGCGTAGGAATTTCGACTTTTGAGGTGATGTCCCTAAGACACTGATGTGTTTGGATCGAGCAGGAATAGGCCTCGTGTTGTATTTACGGTTTAGTTGAGCAACGTCTACGGTCACGCGCTTGGAATTGTTGCTTGGTTTATTTTGAAAGACATTAGGTTCAAATACTAGGGAATCATCTTGGGAAGATTCATCAACTGCATTCAACTGTGAAGGCAAGCTCTGCGCATGTGCTGATAGTGTGCTAAATGAATGGTCAAACATGCCACCTACCTCTGACTCAGGCTTGTTCAATTCATCGTCATCACCGACATAACCACTTGCATCAAATCGTAACTGCACATATCCCTTTGTAAAGTCCAAAGTATTCAGTCCATTTTGTTTGTTTTCAGATTTTCTTGACTTTTTTATCTTCTTGGATGGAGTATGACCTTATGATCTCATGACGCAACATCACAGATTCCTTACGAGAAGGAATCTCATCCTCATCAAGTAGTTCTTCCTCCAGTTCGTCCTCGCTGAGCACATGATATGGAAGATGGAAAGCTTCTCCAACCTCTGTAACCAGCTGTTGTTTATCTGACAAGTTATTGTCATCATTTTGTTCCAAATCAAACATTAGTGACTTGTCTGGATATGAAAATTCTGCTCCTGAATGATGTTCTGAGTTGAACATATCACCATTTAACTCTGACTTAAGAAAATTTGATTGAGGCTTTTTCATACTGTCAGCTGTTGCAAGCCTAACCCTTGGTTGAGGGAATGTTAAAGACTTTGATTCTGATTTCATTATAGGTAGTGAGTTTGTCGACTTTGTCATTGGACTGTCTCTTTCTCTTATATCAAAAGACTTTTTTACATTGTTTAAAATATCTTCGAATGGGTCTGGTTTGTGACTGTTTGCAGTCAATAATTTCTCATCTTTTGAAGAGCTATGCCCATTTGAATCACCGAATGAGTTTAAAGCATCCTGATGAAGTTCAATAGTTGAATGCGGTCGTAATTTGGTGACATCTGCATTTTGTTCAAGAGAGGGATTTTCCAAAAATTCATTAAAAATATAAGTCTCTGATACAGCGTGTCTTAGGCTCCGACCAGTTTCATCAAGCACTCGTATTGAGGAGTATTTGTCATTGTTTGTGTGAGCACTTGAATAAAGCATTATATTACTCGTAGAGATTTTGAATTATCTTAAAATAAGTGAACGAGAAATTCTTAGTTGATATATTTATGACACACTCTGTATTAAACTCAATCTGGATACACAATCTAAAATGAAAGTGAGGGATGTTATTCTATTTGGAATTAAAAATATTGCAAACAAACAAAATTACAGATTGTTCGAACGAGTATATGATGAAATATGAAACAAAGTCCTCGGATGCTCATACAAAAAGCTCAACGGCTGAAATTTATAGCTAAAAACCAATGCCAACTGACAGTACTTTGTCGAACTATCGGATTGTGTTCAAGCGGAAAAGCAAGGAAACAATACTGGCACAAACCTCGACACGTATAGCAAATTACGAATGTTGAACAATGTTGAAGTTACGTAAACCAACTCTCATAATTCATCAAGTAAACAGAGCATTGACGTGAGCAAGTATCACAAAAGATATGATAAAGCATCCTTGAGGAAGCTCGATGAGGAACCAAATCAGCTATTTGGCTATAAAGGTAATATAACGTCTGTTATTATTTTTATAGGTTATGCGCATGCGTATCTATATATTTACAATTTCAATCGATCGATGCATGTTTCCAACAGATTTATACGTCATAAGTCATTTATTGTCAGTCGTTCGGTTTGATAATACAATCCAATTCCAGAATAGCTCTCGGTCAATGTCGTGTGCGCTTATATAATTCTAAAACCTTTAAAGAATACAATTTTTTGTTCATATTTATCATAAATCCTATTATCCCAAAATGCCAAAACCATTGGACATCGGCAATCAGCAATGGCAGTTGGGTATTTCGTTATTTATTGTTTCGTTAATCACTTTCGTAAGCCCGCGCTATTTCCACTGATCTCGAACTAAGACTGGAATCAAGCATCTAGCAGAAAAGTTGAAGACAAAAAACAAGGAGTGCCGCCATTACTAAGGCACCAACTTTCGAAAATGAGGAGCAAATATATTGTGCATTTATACGAGAATAAAGAAGAATTGCAACATGTAACTACATGAACATAACTAAGAGATAAATCAGTTTATAGATAAGCTAAAAATACGATGATAAAATATGGTCAAAATGCAGCGATTTTTGTCATCGGTAACTCTACTGTGGGATGGAAAAACTGTGGAAAATTGCCCACAACTGCATGGAAATACCTAAAGTTGTTGGAATCGTAGTTCAGAAGTACAAACTGATTAAATAATCTCATTTACGATCATAAACTGATCAATCCTTTAAAATTACAAGCCTTTTTTACGAGTGATTCGGAGTGAAACCTGTATGCGTTTTGTTTTATACGGCCGATTATTCCTTCTTACTCGCTTTACTATCGCCACAAAGGTTGTTTTTCATCTTCTGCGTTATCTTAAAGCATAATTTGACCATGTGTTGCTATATTTTCCATAGTTTTGTTAAAAAATCTTTCGATGTGTTGGTCACTTAGTAACGGCGGCGGTGGTTTCAAAATTTGCTAACTACAAATAAAGAGTTGCTTGATCCAGACTTTTTTCGAGATCAGTGGCTATTTCCTGCTGGAGATTGAGATACGTGTGGTGATATCGTGAACTATCAACAGCGTGAAAAACAAATTTTATGTATTTTTTAAATTTGTTGAAAATTTCACCAAATAATACTCTGTATTTTATGTTATATATTGTTTTGAACATGAGTACGTATTCTTGGAGTTATAAAACGCCTGTAAGTCGCACAGTTCCCGAAAAACAAGACGAAAACGAAGACGAAGAAGAGGATAAAGAAAAAGAAATTGAAATTGTTAAAGATGAAAAATCGGATGCACACATCAAAGAAAGTGAAGTAAAAATTCTTCCTCCAAAAAGACGTAAGCATTTCAGAATGCAAGCTACATAGTTATGAAATTGATTGTTAGATTCATGTCATCCTATTAAGAATTTGCTCAAGATCCGACTGTAGCCTAACCAGTCGGCCACAACCTTACTCATGCAATGTAGAAAATTTAGTTTTCATATACTGTAAAAGACTCTGGGTTTTTAAAGAAATCCATAATGCTAGGAATCTGAAAATTAACGTAGCATGACCAAATTATGGCCATATCAGGGGGGACTAGAATGGCAATTGGAAAGGGGGGAATCAGTTGAGCACAGCTGAATTTATGAATATACACTGCCAATAAGCATTCTAGTCACCCCTCCTCATGTACCAACTGAAATTGACCAGTGTGAAAATTTGGTAGGTTCACACTTCATACTTTTATTTTCATAAAGAATTTCTTGCTTGACTCATAGCTGTCCCTAGTCCCAATGATTATTTGGCAGTTTCAAACTGTGAGAACAACAGTGTGCATGGACATTCAAGTGTACTTGCCACACTTGCACACTGCACACTTGAATTTTCTTTTGTGCTCACTTAAGATATCATCGAAAATTGCAATACTTTCCATTCTTCGACATAATAGGATTTTCCCAGGTTAGCAAGAACAAAAATAAAATGTTGTGGGGTATAAGAAATCTTTTTGTACTCAAGCCCCTATCCTGTGTAATTTCTGTGACATCAATACTTGTGTTTTTGCCAATTATATTACATCATGTGCAGTGAGTACAAGTACTTTTGTGATCAATGATGGACATTTGACAATGAAGTCTTGGCTTGCAGTACGTACGAGCCACTAAAATTTCATATTCATTTTTATTTCAGTGAACTGGAGAGCAAAGATATATGTTGGCAATTTGGATCGTAAAACCAATGAAGCATCACTTGCGTATTATTTCTCTGTTTTTGGAGACATTGAAGATATTAAGGTGAAGTTTACTGAATTGAGAATGTGAAACCATCTTTTGCTGACCATGAGGACTGTGGGCATGCATGACAATAATAGTGGGAGAATATTACAGTGCCTAGGAAATAAAAATCTTGCTTATTAAATTATGTTTACATTGAGCAGAACTTTTAAAATGACAATGCACTTTCTAAAACAGTACATACCTCATTCTCAACATATTGAAGTTTTTGTTATCGCCAATTTTTGTAACCTGTGATGTCATATTGCATAATGAGTCTCAGCAATGTTTCAAATTTTATTCAGTTTTCTGACAACTTTAGGTTCAAAGTAGTACAAGTTAGAATTTTATACCATTAATTCTTCACAACAAAGGAACTTATGCCTGTTGAAGTGACATATCAGCAAAAATAACTGATACTTCTAGTTCTCATTATGTAATGTGGTGTCACAAGTTAGATAAATCAGAAATAACAAAAACCTACGGTACCTTGAGAATGAAAGGAGACACACATAAACTGGTATAGAATGTCCAGATGTCATTTTCATGTATCTTTTCAACAAAAGTATGACTTAAATTACAAAATTTTCATTGCATAGGCACTTAATGACAATACAACAACATTAAAAAATATGACAACAAAAAATGTTTTCAATTGGTAAAGTTTTGAAATGAACATGTGTTGAAATACAAAATAAATAAAAACTATGTAATTTGTGGTCAGAGGTTGAGTGTTAAAGATTTCCATTTTTGAGTTGAATTTTTGTCAATAACTTTGTTTTATGAGCCTGCCATTCTTTCCTTCATTGAACAGCAGTTGAAGATGCGAAGCTTGAAGTTGCAGTGTGCGAATTAGTTCAGAAAAAACGATGTGCAATTTTTTTCACAAAAGTGTTTCTTTAGAGGCATAATCAAATCGATATTACGTTATTTATTATATAGCGCTAATTGCTAAATTAATATTTTTAAATGTGAACAAATTCATATGATTTACGACAGTGTTTTTCATTAAAACCGCTGATTTTTGCACATCGTTTGAAAAAGTGTGTAATTGTTTTCATTTTAGCTAAAACGATGTGCAAATTGCACATTGCACACCGTTAATTCGCACACTGTGAAGTTGTATTTAATTTTTTTCATTTCATCAGTTAATCCGTGATCATAATACAAACGAGTCGCGTGGGTTTGCTTTTATAACATTTGAAAAGTTGAGGCAGGTAAGTAGTTGTCAAAGATTTTGTATGTTTCTTTCAGCAATTTAATTTATTTTTATCTCTATCTCAGCTGAAAAAGCAAAGAAATGGTGTTCATTTAATTATCCGGTAAGTACAAGGAATTTTGCTTTAATGTATGCAGGATATAAAATATCCCATATCCTGAATGATATCCACAAGATTGTGGTGAAATTTTGTGTTGCATACCAAGCTTATTTTACTTTTATCTCAATGTGATGACATTTGTTTTTAAAATAGTGAAATAATAATAAATGTGTTTACAGGTCTTTTATTTTTGTTTGTTAAATGGTGCTGTCTACCACATTGTCTAGTATTTTTAAAAACCATAACTGCCTAAAAGCACTATTGATATTGCGCATTTAATAAAAGCGACAAGTTTTTTAATATAAACATGTTTCAACATCTCATGATGCCATCTTCAGTATTATAAGGAATATTATGTATGTGATGAATATAAGAGTAATATGATACTGTGATACAATTTATACATTTATGAATAGATTATTAAATTACAATGAAATAGTGGTTAGAATTAATGATGAAAGTATTTACAGGCTGAATATAGTGTTAAAACGAAAAACTTGAACGTTGAGATTAGGCTTAGTTTTGTTAATGTGAAGTGCTTCTTTGATTTTGAGTGCGAATGTAGTATCTGCAGTGTCGATGATTTTCCAGCAAGAGGGTGAATAGTTAGTTTTGCATGAAGGTGATTTTAAAAGGTGTCGAACGATATGTGAGTTTTTGTCAGAAGTGGTGTGTTCCCTGATTCTGGTGGATAAGTGACGAGAAGTTTCGCCAATGTGTCGGGAATTACATCCCGCACAATCGAATGGTATACCACAATAGATTTAATAGAATCAGGGAAAGGATATTTGAATGAGAAGTAGTTCTTCATTTTGAAGGAAGTAAAAATTAGTCGAATGTTAATGTCAGTGCAGAAGAGTTTGATGATGTTTGTAAGTCTGTGTTGTGTGTGTCGTAAATAATGTCCGATGTACGATAGTTTAAAGTAAAGAGTTTTTATGGACTGTTCGTTATTGTTGGTCGTGATCATGTACTACCGTATACCAATTCGATTGTGCGGGATGTAATTCCCGATACATTCGCGAAACTTCCCGTCACTTATCCACCAGAATCAGGGAACACACCACAACTGACAAAAACTTACATGTTATTCGATACCTTTTAAAATCACGTTCATGCAAAACTAACTATTCACCCTTTTGCTTTAAAATTATCGACACTGCAGATACTACATTCGCACTCAAAATCAAAGAAGCACTTCACATTAACAAAACTAACCCTAATCTCAACGTTCAAGTTTTCGTTTTAGCACTATTTTCAGCCTGTAAATACTTTCATCATTAATTCTAACCACTATTTCATTGTAATATAATTATTCATAAATGTATAAATTGTATCACAGTATCATATTACTCTTATATATATTCATCACATACATAATATTCCTTATAATACTGAAGATGGCATCACGAGATGTTGAAACATGTTTATTTTAAAAAAACTTGTCGTTTTTATTAAATGCGTAATTCTTAAAAACATTGTATCCCATCCACTCGTGGTTGAATTAAGGATTTACTATTTTGAGTGGTTTTAAATTTTTCCACGTTGAAACAACTCTCCCGTTCGGACTTTGATGAACCAAATGTTAAATTCAGGAAAAATTGAAGGAAAGCCTTACAGCTAGTGACAAATTTTTTTCGAACTCCATCATTGTGTTTCTATATAAAATCCATGATAGGTTTTTGAATAACCTTATAGTAGTAGTATCATCAGGGATCATCATCTATCCATAAATGGACATATTTCCACTTTACCATTAATGTTATTCATTATGGGATGTACGTAATTTCCACGATAGATAACAATGTTGGAATTTTTGATAATTTTCTTGTAATGGGGATTAATATTGAAAACAGTGGAAGTACGATTGCGTTTAGAAATGTTTAATTTTTCAGGTGCTTGATGACACTAGGATTACAGTGGCAAGCGCTGAACGAAAGTCAAAGAAGGTATGACACATAACACAAATGGAACAAAAACGTCGTCACTCAAAGCAAATCTTTTTCAGATCAACCTCCCCGAAAAGGAAAAGAAGCTTCATCCGTCGTTGACATTATTTTGGGAGTTTAAATGGATCAATAAACATGATGCACCGGTCAGTAGCTATATGGCGCGATTCTCCGTCACGGGGGGATGGGAATTGTTGTTTTTCGTCGCTCCAAAAGACACGAATTAAGACCTTGCAAATCATGACAAGTTTTTCATTGCGTCTTTGGGTAACTTTATCTGAAAACGTGTGATGTTAAAGTTTTTCACTTCTCTTCTCAGAGATACAAAGGCGAATCTGCCGCTAGAAAAATAGATGTTTCCTTAGGCCTTGAGAAAATTGATATGGCAAATTATTGGAAAATAACATGAAATATTTCATCCAATAATCTTAATTTAAACTTCAGCAGACTTACACACTCTATGTAACACATCTAACTGATACTTAGTTTTAAAATGTTTCAATTTCAAAGTCAACACTTTATTCCAATTTAGTTTAATGCTTGTAGAGCGACAAGTTACAAGGTAAATATTTTATTTGGCCCTGAAATACAATCATTTGAAGAATAAAAAAATTGAAACTTGCCCGATTAAGTCCGTGTGCGCGTCTCCAATCGCGAATCACTTTTTTATAACAAATTCTAACTCTGTTGAATTGTAGATCTTTGGTCCATATGAAACAAGTGCAATGCGATCTTGGAAGAATCAGGTTGGTCCAGGTTTCATTACATATTTATATCAGTAAATAAACACCTGCATCAGATAAATATGATGCAGGTGTTTAAATCATGAGAGAGAGTTGATTTTTTACACGGCGGGGTGTGACTCTAGTAGGGGATTACGTGGAAAGGTAAGGTTGTTTGGTCTAGTTTGATATAGGTTTCAGTCGCTCTATGGTCTCCTATTTGTGATTGTCAGCATGTCAGTGTGTCAGACTTAAGTATCCTTGTACCACCTCACCGAGATTAGTAGATCTTAGTCGCCACTTGTATTGTTCTTGCTGGGATTTACAGGGTTTTTTGGTTGGAAAATTTTCGCATTCTAGAGAAAAAAGTCGCATGTTTTTGATTATATCGTGCCAAAGTGTCGTTATAAAAATAGCGCGATATTTTCTAGGGTTATTTTGATCGTGGCTGTTGGGCAAGGCAGGTACCTCAGCGTGTGGAAGAGAAAAAATCTAAAACGAATCTTGACGATGTCACTCGTGGTTCACTCTTGACAGGAGAGAAAAATATAAAAGTTTCTGAAACAATAGACGAATCGCCTTTATCTAAAAAACCTAAACTGGTTATTGATTACTCTGATTCCGAAGATGAGGAGAATGAGGGATCAATGTGGATAATAAAGAAACATATGGTGGTAATGATGACCCGATTCATAATGATCGTGTAGAACCAGCATTTGATTGTAAAGGGATTGAAGAGAATAAAGGAGAACAAACATCTGATATTAAGGGGACTGAAGATCATAATGGGGGACAAAAATCATCTGATAATACGGGGATTCAAGATGGTAATGAAAAACAAAAGATATCTAATACAAAAGGGATTCTAGCTGATAATGGAGAAAATATGAGATTTGAAGTGGATAGCAGAGTAAGAAATTGTGACGTGGAAAATGAAACTGCCATTCGACGTAATGATTTTCGTTCGTCCAAAGAAGATCGTGAAAAAATCACTGAAGAACAAGATCAAAATGATTTTAAAGAATCTGTAAAAGAAGGCAAAGCACTAGAAAATAAGTTGAGAGAGGTTATAGGCCAAAACGGTAATGAAAATGGTGTTATTTTAGCCAAAGACAACGTTGATTTGACCTCAAAACATGACCACTGCTCAACACAAACTCAACTGTTGGAGGATGGGAAAATGGCCAACACTTCTAACGGTGTGCAAAAAGGTAGTTTTGATCTTCTTGAGCTTTATGAGCGACAAGAAACCACCGGCCACGATGAAAATAAAACGGAAAGTACCGAAACAGTATCACGTGATATTAATGATGATTCAAGTAGTGACGATGACGTCATTGATGACGACGATGACGACATAACGACTGAGTTTGTTTCCATTTCAGAGATAGATTTCGATTTCTACCCGTGAGAAAACACGATGCAACATAAATATGTTAACGTTTCATGCAACGAATAAATTTTAATATTTATAATCCTTGTCAGTTGTGAATCCAGTGTTTGTCAAAATAAATTATAATTGCTCGAGTTGAAATTCAAAGAACCGTTGTACAAATTTAGTCCTACTTTGTAAATTTCACTCTGTTCACTGACTTTGAATACAATATATTTCTTAAGAAACAAACAACAGTAGTCATCATCTTAATGATACACTGCACGATCAAAATTTGCGGGTTCTCTACGTCGCTTCCTTCACGAAAACTCTATTGTTGATGAGTTTTTAAAGAATAAAATTTCACCGATACTTCTAAGGTGTTTGGGGGGGGTGGGGAGGGAAGGAAGATTTGGTGTTTGCATTCCCTTGTAATTTGTAAATTTGTTCGTGAAGTTTAACGTGACGCTGGGCCACTGACCCACTTTTTCCTGCGTCCTTTGAAATGTAGTTACGTATTTGTACGCACTGTGAATATATACATTTGAGACTGGATAACGAATCTTGTAGAAAAATAGAAACCGGAAGTTACTTCATTTGCATGCTTTTTATCGTTCCCACATGCCTATAAATTTGCCGATTTGAATTCTCTTCGTTCAATAGTAATTTTTGTGTATCAGAAATGTGTTAAAGGATAAATACGTAAAAAGTGTGACTTTGTAATGCAATATTGTTGTGAAGTGAGACCGATAAAACGTACGCAAATGAATCAATGTCACGTATTATATTTTTTATGTGGACGCATTATCCAGTTTAATATACAGATCAGCCATTTTGTATTTTCATACCTTACCCCCCTCCCTTCCACCTATACATACAGGCATAAATCAATTTGCTTCCGATGGTCCTGCCTTAAAGAGTTTCTCAGTAGAATTATGAAGCGATGCCAATATTACGGTCATAGCTTACAACACGCGATGGCACCAGACGCTTGCACGTGATCATGTAAGGTGATGGTGCTCTCGTTTTGTAAATCACGTGATATCCGATCGTTCTTGCGCAATTGGCGTCGTGTTTGCTGCGTCAATTCCTGAGCAAGAGTACGAAACGTTCGGTCGACATTATCGGCGTCCTTTGCCGAAGCCTCTAAGAAGATCATTTCTTCAAATTCAGCGAAGACTTCACCAGCAGAGCAGGAAACCTGACGTTCATTCAAGTCATTTTTGTTGCCTACCAAAACTTTGATGATATTTTTTTTGCGCGAGTGCTTTTTCACATCATTCAACCACTGCGGTATGGAAGCGAAACTTTTTCTGTCACTCAAGTCATAAACTAGGACAACTGCGTCGGCCTGACCGTAATAGCTCCTTGTGAGCGATCTGAACGTCTCCATTCCAGCGGTATCCCAACATTGAAGCTTGATCATCTCACCGTCGATCTCTATACTTTTCACGCAGAAATCCACGCCGATCGTGGATCCGATCGTTTCCGAGTAATATCCTCTCGTGAATCGTCGTATCAGCGAGGTTTTTCCAACGCCAGAATCCCCAACTAAAAGAACCTTGAAGATGTAGTCATAATTCATTGTAGGCGATGATTATTAAAGCATTTTTATTCGCGATGTGATGGCGTTTTCTTTTTTTATAATTAGTTTTTCTCTTCTTGATGTAAATTTACTGATGTGTTCGCTTCTATGTCTTTTCCACCTTTTTCTTTTAAAGCTTTTCCATTGAAATTAATTAAATTGCTCGAGTGAAATTAGTTTTACAAACGATTTGTGAGTAGTCGACTTGAGTTGATAACTTGCCGAACAATGGCTTGCAAATCGTTCCTTTATTGCAAAAATGACAATTTCCCAGACAGATGGAATAAATTTAATTGAAACAATTACCAGTTTACGACTATTTTGCGCCTTATTTGATTTCCCTCCGTCTCGACTTAATGAATATTCTTTTGATTATGTCTTCAAGTTTCCCCGATTTGATAATTAAGCTTTTCCTTTTGTCATCTTTCCATTCTCTTTATAGGTATGTTTTACGTTTTCTTATTTTTTTCCGTACAATGTTGTTAACCAAACTATATTCCTTTTGTTCATGCGCGTCTCTTTTATCTTTTCAAAGTCAAACCCTAGCGAAGCAGCTGGCTTTATAAATGAAATTTAAAACTTACAATGGAAATAATGAACTTCTCAAACGACGTCTGTTTGCTTTTCAGCTATCGTTCAGATTTACTCGTTCAGAAAAAAGTCTTTATTTTTCAACCGTTGTATCATAGACAACACGAATCAATTTACGTAGTTCTAACCAAGAATATTTTCCTCCTTCAACATGACATATGTGGCCAGCTTTTTTCGTTTCTCTCGATGCGATGACGCGAACCAATTATATTCAGGAGAGCCAAGCTCATTGTTTACGAAAAGCAAACAAACGCAGCGGTAAAGTTTAGTTAAGCACTCATTTTTCTTTTAAATACTTTAAAAGTATTTGCGGAATACACCGACCTACAAGCTCATGCGTATATGTAAATTTTGTATTGGAATTTTAACATGCAAGAAAATTAAAGATGGAAATAAGTTTGGTATGAAATATTCATCGCCGCACAAATTAATGAAATGAAAGCGCCGAAAATATTTTTCGGTTGACCACTAAATGCACGCGTTGCTTATTAAATTGCCTCAAGCCCATTGAAAATACGATGTTTATGTTTTGTAACATTTTTTTGGACGTGTTGAAGCGATGATAAGACTCCACAATACCTCATTTATACACTGAAAATCAAATTTTGTATGCATACCATAAATAAGAAAAAAGTTGAGATTATCAGATTATGAAATTGACAAAGAAATGCTTGTCACATAAGTCCGCGCGTAGTTCTATATGCTCCTTGATGCAGAGACAATTTTGGTTTAACAGGGTTACTTGGATGCTTTTGTGAACATTTTTGAAAAATCGTTCATATTAATTGTTAGCAGTGGAAACTTGCACAAATGAAGTGTCCATTATTCAAAATTCATTCTACGAACGAGGTTTTTGGCTTCGTAATCTGCAGCAACTTTTTGTTTGTTTTGGCGTCCATTAAAACTTTCTACAGTGATATTTCATTTATGGAGCTTTATTTGTTCAAAGTTTCGCATGCTAACAATTATATGAACGATTTTTCAAATATTCTCACATATACGTCCAATTATACCCCTGAATTAGCATATTATGAAAACATCTGTGTTCTAAGTGCTTGGGTGCTTTTCTCACTCAAAGAAACCGAATTTTTTAGTGGCATATAGAAGACCATCGATTGGGCAAACTTTATTCTTTTGGAAATTGAGAGAACTAATGAAATTGCTGTAAAGGTAAATTGGATATTAAATTAGCGGCGATTAATTATCATCCTTGACCTTTGTTCCGAGTTGTTTTCTCCTATTTGTGCATGCATATCATTACAACTTGAACGAGGTTAAACTTCGTATTTCTTTATCGAATCTAATTCAATATTATTGTAACGCGCATGCGTCAAATGAAAGATTTACATACTTTTGTGGTAATTGTCTTTTCTGTTTTCTTCAACATGCATGTGTCTGTGGTGTTGTCTTGAAACACGCTCTGCTATAATGGTGAGCGTCAATTGAAAGGTTACTCGACTTCGTTGTTCCATGTTTTGTCGATGCTACGTCATCATCAGTGACGTCACCATAGTCATCGTGTCCGTTTACCGAGTATTCCTGTGGGACTTTCTCATTCTCACTATGCCGCATGTCATACTTTGATACTGCACTATGCTGCGAATCATTGACTACTGTCCAATCAAAACTTGTACTGGCGAAGTTAGGATCTTTAAACACAAGAAATCGTACGTCACCTTCTCTTTCCCATTGGTTCATGCAAGGGTTCACTTCCTCTTGAATCTTTACGTCATCCTCTTCTACTTTGGAGCTGCGGGGGCTGTTTGAAGACGATGTAGTTCGATCTATTCCCGAATCGTTTTGTGATGACGATATTTCGTGTTTTACCACCGTCTGTGACGTCATATGTTCATCACGTGTTTCCAAAGTTGCTCGAATGGCTTTCTCCATATTTGTGGTCTCCAGTCCCTCTGAGTAACCGTTTGAATTATGCCATTTGATGTAGACGACAACGATAATGGCCACTAGTAGGAAAAACACCATTGACAAAAATAGATACACCAGAAAGTGATATTTACCCAAACCAATCTTCGTCACAGTATTCGACCTCTCGAGGATGAAAACGTGTGTATTATTACTCGGGTTAGAGGCCTTAGTTGTTCGTTCTTTCGTGGGTATTTTTGTGGTAGCCCTGGGATATGCTGGTTCCTCGTTATAATTTATCCTCAACGTCCTCGATTGGTTCTTTAAAGATGAAATCGTTTTCTTTGTAATCATTGTCGTATTAACGTTAAATAATCTTGTCTTCTGCGAATTGATCTTCGTTTTTGTCGTGAAAAGTAGTTTTGGCTTTGTTGGATCATAAATGATGTTTTTACTACCCTCCGTTGTCCTTGGTAACTTTTCCTTGGATTCTGTTTTCAACTCAGTACATTTCGGTCCCAACTTTCCCAAGACGGTGACAAGTTTCGACTTCTCGTTCACTGCTCGGAAAATATCGACGTCGTTTACTTTAAGTTCGGACATGCATCCTTTGAAAGCTCTGTTTGCAAGACTCACCTTGGGAAATGAGGGATGCGTAGGGGCATCACTTTTTAAAGAGATGTTTTGGGGATCGTTCCTGATAGATGGAGGTAATGTGGCGACTGTAATATCCTTATTGATGTCTACGTATTTTAGGTGTTTATCGGCCGACAGCTTTTTTCGCGTCACATCCACTATAATTTTTAAACTGTGCCCGTTTCGATCTATGTCGATTTGATGCCATTCGTTGTCTGAGAGCTTATCTTCAATGGTGACGTCGTTCGTGCCAGTCCTTTGTCCGTCGCGACCGCTAAACACCGATGCATATCTGCAAAGCATGTGTCGTAGATGCGTCAATTTTGATTGTTCACTAATTTAACGTCTGGGTTTTTTGATTTTATTTTGATTAAACACTCACAATCAGTGCTATTTGCGTCATTTTATTTGATTCGAAATTCAGTTTGCATTCAAGTAAAGCTAAGAAAAATAGGGAGTATGTTTCTTTAGGCGGGAATTCCACAAGTAAAATGTTCCAGCCAATCGACTGTTTTCGAATCAATTAAACATCTTTTCTAATGCGTTTAATGGAGCTGACGTAAGAATTAGAATTTTGAGAAAAAATAGATAAAAAACATTCACAGAACAATTTAGTAAAGAGGAAATTGCTTTATTGCTTTCTTTGGTCGTTTGCTTTACTTCGGGAAAATTTTCACGCTGATTTCATTCGCGCCATTTAATGTTCAAATTTTTCTTCCATCTTCCAGATAGCTTAGTAGAAACAATTTTTTCATGTTCTGTGGCAGGTGATAAAGACAACATGAAAATTAGGTAGCTAATGAATGTAAATCATCAACATTACTTTTTCCAATTGAAAAAATTTTGTTTGTCTATTTCTTATATTTGCCTCATTAAATTGTTTTCGATATGCTTATGCGAAATACGACGAACTTTTTTTTCGTCATTAGTGTTGTCTTCATCATTTTTAAAATCATTTTTCATCTTTAATGTAGTCATTGCTATCAATGATTGCCACTCGACCACACAGACTGAAAGGCGTATTATCGAAGTTATCTTCAACCTCGAATATTTTAATCCCATTTTAAAAAGTTTTGATGAAAATCGCTTGCTTTACCATCCGTGAATAATCGTCCTTAAAGTCTAAAATTTTTTATTCGGCTCAACTCAATAAAATTTTCATTTGCGTCGATGCAAGAGATATTTTAAACAAGTCTAGATTTCCATTTCAAATTCCGATCTGTTTATGATATGTCTTTGTTCTACGTTTTTGTTGTTGATTTAATGAAAAGGTTTGTATCGCGTTGCGTTCAGACTTTATTGTTGATTTGCTTAGTCGTGCTTTTTGTTAGCCTTAGCTTAATAATTCTGTATTCGCTTACTGCAAAAATGAATATAATGATAGCTAATATTTTTAAATTTAAATGTCAGGACTAAAAATTGCGGTGCTGGCTTTGCAGCGATCAGGAAACGTATCTTGGATTAACCGCCTGCGAATATACGATTGAATACGAGCCAGCCCATCTTTGAAAAAATTTCGCTCCTTTGTTTGTGATAATGCAAACGAGGAGATAAAGATCTTCAAAGAGGAAGGAGTTCATGAGTTTAATGATTGTGTATATGTTTGATTTTTACTTTTTAATATGTTTTCGAGTGGCCCTGCGACATCGTAAAAAAATTCGTCGCCTCGTTTTCAAACATTGGGTTTTGCAACTTTCGTGTTCTGTTATTCCTTGCATATATTTGTTATATTGCTCGTCTCAGATTCTAGCTATAAGCTATAGTGATAATCTCTAACAATAGATCCCCGTTAGTCGCGTTTTCTATTAAGTTGATCAAAACCGCAGCAAAACGGTGTGCTCACGCGATGCCTTGACAAAAAATTCGATTTTTTTCATAAAATTCACCTCACAAATTTATGTCCCAGATAGTTATTTCAAGAAACTTGATCCGAGTTATAAAAACGGGTGAGAAATATTTGTTACAAATACCTGAATCGTCCTCCAACGATTTCCAAAGTAATGAAATCTTTATTCTCCCCTCTTATATGAAGTAAAACAGTCGACGTTAGCCTTGTTCGAAACAGTAAGTGAATTTTGGTGTAGTTCCTAGTGAACTCGCCTCTGCTCGTATATGTGATGTAGGAATTTCCGTCAAAATGGTAGTCGAGAGCTCTTGAAAAGCTTAGTTGCAATAAGACCAATAGAGACGCTACACCGTGCATCGTTTCTGCGGAGTTAAAGCAGTGTTTCTGTCCTGCTGACTACAGCTGCAAAGTTTGGAATGTCCTTGACTAATTTCTATGTTATCTACATGGCCCGAATTTGCATTTCCTTTCAAATGTACTTGTCAATTTTCAGATTGCCATCGAACACACGCTGCTAAATCATACTTCCACTTGCACAAACACTATAGGAAAAACAGGTTGACAAATTTTAAATAAACACGCCCCAAGTCCACTGTATATTTATGCAACATTGTATCTCTTTCGGCATGATTAAAAATGACAAATTTTTCGTCATTAGACGATGCTGCAAGGAAAAAGCTTTCTTCCTTTTAAGTCAAACTAAACAAAGCAAATAGCAACATATCAGACAGATCAAGTACGTTGACGAGTGATATAATTTCTCGGACGCACGCATTAGATGAGTTCGTTGAGTACTATATACACGAAGCAGCTGCGATATAATATAATTTCGCCAGCTGTACTTAAGTTTTGATATCGCTTGCAATTAGACATGATAGTATACAATAGGTGCTATTTTTTTGTTTATTTCGAAACTCGAAATCTCCTCGACGTATATTTAGGAGCATGTATTTCATAAGAGTTTTTTTTTTCAACGCTGTGACGATGTATTATTAATGTTTGCAATCGAAAATGATTCTCTGTATAGCATTGTTCTCAAACAATGTGTGAAAACTGAGGGCTTCATTCGCTGTTTGAAATTTTTAATTAAGCAAAAACAGCAGTAATTCCCCCAGTTGATATTAATTTAACTCCAATTTTCATGTTGAAACAACTTTAGATTATTTTACTCCACAAAAAGCAGATATTTTTACCCCCTTTGGAGATACACTAACTTCAAATTAGCAGCGCTTCGAAATAGACCAAGAGGTTGATCAATGCATGGGTTTTTATCATTCGAGTTTGATAGAGATGTTTTAGGTTTTGATAAATATTTTTCTATTGACTGCCACGTTTTGTTTATGCTGTAGAATATAAAGACAAACGCCTGCATTATGTAAAAATCTCACTCTTACTGCATGTGACATAGGAATCGTACTAATCAGTGACAAACTCGTTTCTGATAGCATATTTTAAATCAACCAATCTGCGCAGTAAAAGTACCGTCTTCATTTGATTATGATGTGTTTGTGAAGCCCCATTCAGTGAGTACGAGTAAGAACGAGCTTTTAGAATACAAGCGTTGGATTTCCCTGTGCGGTTGGATACTTTATAGCAGTTGTTTGCGACCCATCTGTCTTAAGAAAATTATGTGATTAACAATGTTGTTTGAAAGGTTTCTATCATGTCTAAATTGTTTCCTATTATTCCAGTATCAGGGTGATCAATTATAGCAAATAGCGGCTAAGAAAAAGTTTGTTTGAAATCCACAATAAAATTCATTATTTGAACGTCCTGAATTAATGAACTGAACTAAGTAAGGTTCTCCCCATTCATTGTTGATTGTGTATACGTACTTGTGATAATTGAAAATTATTTGCCGTTTCTATGCAGATGGCGTTTGCTAAACATTAGTATTAGTCATTCAAAGAAGAGACGATCACGGTTATTTATTGTAATTACTATTTTATAGTTTCTGTGTATTGACAGGGCGTTTAATAATATCACTATATAAGCGGTATTTACCATTGCAAAGAAAACGTTTTCTTCAAACCGAGTTTATTTTTATTTGTAGGAAAAGTGTTGAACAAAAAACCGGTGATTATCAACGAAGCTAAACTCCTGTGTATATTATATGTGCTCTATTGCCCAAAGAATGGATGTTTTTACATGAAATGATCTCTTTCACCATGCTATAAACATCATCACTTTTGATTTGTTTTATATTGTCTGTTCTTGGTTCTAAACTTGTGCGATAAAACATTTCTTACGCGACAAGCTCTCGAGTTTTTAATATTCCCTCAATTTACGTAAAGATAATGAGAATATGTATTATATAGCATTGTAAAAATTTCTGCCCATCCCTTAGTATTTTTGTCACATAACACAACCCAGGTCTCTGAATCTTCAAGAGAATTCTTAGCTTACAACTTTAAGTCTCAGATTATAAATCAAGTTGAATTTCTTCTGAAACATAAATGATGATACATTATGAGTCAATTCTTGCAAAAAACGTGGACAATTTTAAAATGTCCTAAATTTCAGTGGACTTGCATTAAAAAGTTAGTTAAAAACATTTTTAAAACAAGGTGTCACGGTACGTAGTTGAGCAACAGACAGTTAGTGAATCATTGAGTGCATCTTGTGAAAAAGCTTCAAAATTTTCCTTATCTTAGAAAATCTTTCCTTTGGTAAAACTATACGAGAATCTATACAAGGTGTGACTAACTTGAGTTCATAGGCTGAATGCATGGCATAGTAGAACTTTTGTTCAATGCTGATGTCGAATGTCAGAATTATTCATTTCTTTGGAAATCTTTTGTCTACGCAGTGAGTGAACAAAGACAAATCATTAAAATAGCATGACTAAATAAGCTGTTGGGCTGTTCTTCTTTTACAATATTTTTCAACAAAGAGTTTGAAATCGCTTTGACTCAGAAATACGTACTGAAAAGTTCATTATATTCATTCGAGACTTCTAAGAAACAAAAGACTTAATTGTCTTCATTACTTTGGCAACGCTGTCGATAAACAATGATTTGGATTTTAAGATGATACAATAAAAAAAACATCTACCCATCAATCAAGAATGTAGCTGTAGTTATTCGAACTTAAATTTTGTTGTTTGCTGGGCGTATGCGACTACAAGATTTTAAAAATTGTATTTCATTTCTAATTCCTCTTTACAATTCTCACGGCGTCAAATTCCAACGCTATCCGATAGCAAGCAAACATACTTCGATTTTTTTGTTCCTAAGCCCTGAGAGCTGTTTTCTTCGCCATAGTTCAGTGTTGGAGTGGCCAAAACTATTCTTACTTTCAAATGTATGTCACGCTTGTTTAGACTTTAAACACAATTGTCCGTGAAATTTATCAGACCTTCACAGTGATAAGTGTGATGGTAGATTTCTATAGTTTACTAAAAATAGTACCTTTCTTACCTTTCAAAGCGACTTTGTCAAATTGTATTTACAAATAAAAGTGGCGAGTTCATCAAACAAGACAACCAAGACGCTCACTTTACTCTGTTTTCTCACCGTCTTCAATACTCACCTTGGTCTCAACGTACCTCAAGATTGTTTTGGAGCGATAATGTCAAGGATGGAGCATTTAAACGTTTTTGAATGACAAGAAAATAGGCCAGATCAATGCGATAAAGTTATTTGAAATAAATTTGGAAATATTTTATTAAAAAGATTAAATTCCATTAGTCTATTGACCTTATCTGTTCAGTCGGCTCGATGTTTCTTGATTTTGCGAGGGCGAGTTGACATTTTCGTGATCTTATTCGAAGAAAATGTGTTTGTTTTATTCTCATTTTGGGGTTTTGGGAAGGGGGATTAATTAATTCATTTTAGGGTTTTCTTGTCTGGGAAAGACAAGACACCATTACCGAGGTCATACTCATCTTTCTTATCTTCAATTGAACCGTTTACTCATAAGTCACAACAATAAAAATTTCCAACATTGGCCTGCATTGTGCATAGCTTTAAGTTGCATTGATTGGCATCTTTAACACGAATATACTTGTAGATATACATGAATACTTTCATTATATATGGATACATTATGTACAAAGTAATATTGCTCTAGTCTTTGATTTATTACTAATTAGCATAAAGTGCGTTCGAGCCACGTGATTAATCAAATAAAATCTCCTTATCTCGATCCTAAATGAAGTACGCCTAAAAGTGGAAGCGTGCCCTCTCCACACGTGTATTGTGTTGGAGACGAATATTGCAATATTTTTTCAAAAAAATGTAATTTTTTCTGTATTTTCCGCTAATTTACTCTGAATTGTGCCAATATGCTGGAGGTTGAGATCTACAAGGTTTGTGTAGTTAGCGTTTTGAACGAGTTTGTGTTCCTCTTGTCAATATAATAATCATTAATTTAATAATTTGCTAGGAACTCGACTTTCTACTTTCTTTTGGTCCACATGTTTGTTTGTGTGATTGCTTGATATTGTAGTTATCCTATTACCATAGATAGTGGACGCAGGCCACTTCTGGTGTAAGCCTTCTTTACGAAATACAACCGAGGCAGAAAAATACTTCACATTGAACGGAAAGATCAACGATTATTGTGCAAAGTTTGAAGATGTACCTGGCAATCAGAGCTCCGTTATACCGAAGAAGGGAATAGTATGTGGCGATTATTTTGAGCTGTAATCAATGCTTTGTATTGTCAAATCGGCAAGATTATAGAATACCCGTCCACTCACTATCCACTTATATAATATGCCTCGTTCTTTAAACTTCGTTCTTTAAACTTCGTTCTTTACATTGAATTTTTTATGTTTCATTTAAAATGGTGCTGCTTTTTTGAATATAGACATGCTTAGTGAAGAGGACTTCTGACCGATGCTGGTATCGTGGGAAAGTTCTTGGTGTTTTTCATACTATGAATGGCCCTCAAGTTCGGTATGACATTCTTATTTTAGAGTAACTTTTTTGTATTAGTGTAGCAATTTATTTTATTACATGTTTGTAGATGTAGATCGTCCAGGTTAGTATAGTTTTAAGAAGGGCTGTTTTTGTTGTTGTTGACTGACATTTCGACAACCTTAGCGGTAGTTATCATTTTGACTCTGAAGAGGACTACCGCTAAGGTTGTCAAACGCCAGTCAAACAACAAACAGTCCTTCTCAGGACTATACTAACCTGGACAATCTACATCTACAGACATGTAAAAATACTCCCTGGTTCAAACCATTTACTTTAATTTATTTTATAATATAGTTAACCATTTAATATGGCCACCTTACTAATATCCCCTTCGTGAAGTCCCCAATTAAAGAAATCTCCCTGTTTACATGGTCAATGAAAGTAATAACAAATTTAAATCCAAGAGCACATTAATTGTCATTTGACGTAAGGGGTGAAGATTTTCCAAAGGCTCATGCTGTTGTAGATTTATAAGATTAAAGATGAGTGAACTTTGTGTGATGAAAGTGTGTTAGCTTTTGAAGAATTTTTTATAAAGTTACACCAACAACTTCTTTACAATTATCGACACTGACAATTATTCTTCCAACCTCAGAATTAAAGAAGCTTTACACATTAACAAACTTAAACCCGATCTCAATAAGCAAGTTCGTATGTTTGCATTTTGGAAGCTGATGACACTTAATGAGTTTGTCTGCTGAAATGCATTGTTCACTAGCTACTCCTACGGTGGATGAGTCATCATTATATGATGATAACAATGTAATAAAAACTATAGTAAAAACTATAACAGAAATTAGATAATTTAAGAAACTTGTTGTGGAAAACAACATCCTAATTGAAATCATATCACTGATTATTTTCTTATAAAGTGTACAATGGGCGAGTGTTAGCTTGAGTTTTTTTTTTTAAGTCAGCTTTTTTGTCTTAATTATTCTACTGTGGTTTGATGTGTATTTTTTTTTGATACAGTATGATGCTCTTTATTGATGTCATATTATTTATTTATTTTTTTTACCATGACACTCTTAAATGTTTCCACTGTAGTTTGATGTGTTTATTTTTTTCAGTATAACATTGTCTTTCCTTTAGCCTCTTAAGGCTTGTTTATTTTATAATAGAAGAAACAGTTACAATTTTTATTTAAAAGCTTGAGTGCTTACCCTAAAACTTCATTGCTTTACTAATTTATATTCTGATTGCTCTCAAATTCTAGAGTTCTTCTCGTTGATGTTGGTGAAAGGACCTTTGTTCCTGGAATTTGGTGAGCATAAATGCCCCTACCCTACCTTATGCTATCCATGAATTTTCCCAACAACATAAATGTCCCATCTTCACCATCACTATAAATGCATCCACCATCACTATAAATGCATCCACCATCACTATAAATGCATCCACCATCATTATAAATGCATCCACCATCACTATAAATGCATCCACCATCACTATAAATGCTTCACCATCACTATAAATGCATCCACCATCACTATAAATGCATCCACCATCACTATAAATGCTTCACCATCACTATAAATGCATCCACCATCACTATAGATGTTTCACCATCACTATAGATGTTTCACCATCACTATAAATGCTTCACCATCACTATAGATGTTTCACCGTCACTATAAATGTTTCACCATCACTATAAATGTCTCCCTCTTTAAAATATCCACCCCATATCACCAGCAAAGATGACTTCTCTCTCTGCACCATTTCTTTGTGTTTGAATTGCTTTTTATGTATGAAATTATCAGGGTTCAAGAAATCCCTAAAGAATTTCTCAACGTTCCACATCAAACAATGGAGTGTTTTTTGTTTGAAGTGAAACCTCTGACAATGGTGACGTCCTACTTTGATCTTACCACTCAGAAACGGTACATTTTAGTAAAATTTTCAAACTTTTTTGCCTGTTGTCATACATACATATCCAGAGGTCTGTGGTATAAAGAGTTTGCAAATTCTATTCATACTTGCATTTCATGATTTAGTATAAACTTTGTAAACACGTAAGCCTTCCTTTTAGCTCTATGGAAAGCTTATTTTACTCCTTTTTGATTTGCCATTGTACATAATTGTATTTGTACAAAAACATGCAATTGTCGAAATCAACTTTGATTGAGTTGTCGAAATAAAGATTTTTTCATTCATTTATTAATTAATTCATTCATTCATGGCATGAAAAAGTATTGAAATATTCTAATCAAATTCAGAATGCTGTGTTATAAAGAAACTGCAAATGTTTCTTGATAAACTTGCTAATTAATATGATCATTTTAGCCCCGGAGACTTGTGGGATTTGTCTGCGACGGAGTGGATGAAAAACAAAATCAAAAGTAGGCTATTAAGTGATAATTTTGACAATAAACGGACGTCACAGCTTATCTCTGTCATCTCTTCAGATTGTCTCCTTCAGGTGGATGTAAAACAGGTGGACAATGACGGTATTCATCACGTGACGTTGTTTGCAACGGATTCAGAACAAATGGTCAGTATGATATCTCAGGTTCAGCTTTTATTTTATCCACTTTCATTCTGCTTTTAAATCAAGTTTTTCGTGTAATCGGGTCCTGTTGATCTAATCCAATCTTCATTTTACAAATGTTTTGGTACGGATTCTGTTGATCTAATCCAGTTTTCATGTCACAAGTGTTTTATTACTGATCTTGTTGATCTGATCCAGTCTTCATGTCAAAAAAGTTTTCTTACGGATCCTGTTAATCTAATCCAATCCTCACCTCACAAGTAAAGGGCTTTAAGTGGGTTTGGGGTGGGTTTGCTCTATCACTCGCCCTAAGTAAACTAAGCGCAGTTGATCGCAGGCATTTTCAGTATAAAAGCCTAGCTACATTGTGTAATTTTAGCGATAATCAATATTTTTGTAGTTCTGTATAAATGATGAGCTTGTCAACCAGGATTATGCTGTTGTAACAAAGTCTATTGAAGATCCAAAGAGAGGTAAGAGGGTGATCCCCGTCACCTACATGATATTCGTGCTGTAATTTTGTTGTTATTTCCGGCTCCAAGCGTAGACAATAATTAAGACCTCACAAAGTATTGCATACGTATTGTGTCTTCGGGAACTTTATATGAAAACATGTGCCTTTATGGTTTTTTCACTTTCCTCCTCAGAGTTACAAAGGCAAATGCGCTGCGTCACGTGCGTGACCTATGAAAATTGAAATTTGCTAAGGCCTGTTTCAAACGTCGTATTTTTCACGTGTCGAATAAAATAGTTTGAATTAAGTGCATGCAAAATTTGCGTATGAAACATTTAAATTCGACTGCTTTTATTGAGGTCGACCTTAACTTTAAATTCTACCGGTTTGGTCGCATTATGCGACGAAAGTGCGACGTCGTTTCAAACCCTGAATTTTGCATGTGTCGAATACAATTTGGCTCTCGCGTTTTACTCACAACTGGAACGAGATAAAGCGAAGACGTCGTGTAATAATTGCATTCGACGCATGCAAAATTTGACGTTTGAAACAGGCCTAAGTTCCTTTTGATTAACTTAGTGTCACACTCTGTAAACTTTGTCATGAAAAAGTATGTGGAAAATACATGACATACTACTACCAATAATCCTAATTTGGACTAAAATAGACACACGTATTATAATTGACACATCGTAGAAATAGTTTTGAAATGTTTGCATGCAGGTCGATACTTCTTTTTTATCGTCCAGGAAATTCGTAGAGACGAAACTGTGGTGTAGCCATTCCGTATAATTAGTCTTGAAATGCTGAATTTTGTCTCTTTTTCTCTCAATATTTTGTTAAGCGAAAGCGAATAGAAACTATTTCTCTCGTTTCACTTACTTTCAAAACAACAAATGTCCACAAAAATGATTAGTGAAAATGTTAATTGATAAAGCAGGACACAACCTTGCGGAATGGCCTCGCTAATGAGTAAGGGATCGGTTTGACAAGTATTTGCGAACTCTTGATCACCTCCAGCTCCAGCTTCTAAAACTCGACCTTCGGATAAAAAAGTCTGGCTTCTTCTTAAAAAACGCTCCGGCTCTTGTTAGAACATAGTGGACCATACACTGTTTCTCATAAACTATTGCTCCCGCCAAAAAAGTCCCTTTGACATCATTGATGATGTAGGACAAGATAAAGAAGATATTGCAACAGGTGTAGGCCATTTTTCCTTGTGGTGACACAAATATTGACTGGTTTTTCATTTTTTTAAACAGCCAAGTTTGCAATATTTGCTTTGAACGGCTTGTTTCAGAGTTGCTATAGTGAAAGTTTTAACTTTTTTCCGTTGACAATAACTTTGTTTGCTTTATTTTTTGTTTGAGTTTGGACATTTATTTAGTTAAATGTTTACGAAAATCTCACTTATTGAGTTTTTGTTTTCACCTCAACTCCGACACCAACACTTCCGCTCTGATTCACAGCAATTGGGTCAGTCAATGGGAAGTAGAATAACTTAAGGAAATCACAGAAATTTAATGTTTGTAATGTGTAAAATCAACTTGGATATTTTTTAAATGTGTTCAACTCATGAATAGAAATTTAGTTTGTTATTTACGGTAAACGGGAAACCTCAACTACTCGCTTGCCGTTTCGAAAAACTGATTTCAGCATGAAGTTTGGCATTTGTATTTTACAATTCGCATTGTCCCGAGCTAAATTTCATGTTTTGTTTAACAGTTCGTCAATAAAAGGCATTTTCATGTAGTATTCATTAAATGTACTAAAATCCTGCTGTAAATCCCCCACCTGTCTCTTGCCGCTTAAACCAAAACAATTAACTGCAAAGCCATGATCACGTGACTTTTTACCGTTTGCCGTTAACCCGAAACTAAAACTCTCTAAAGTCTCAAAAAAAGCATGTCGTTAACAAAAACAAAATTTTGTAATATGTTAGAAAAATGGTCTTGAATCGAGCTCAAATGATATGCATTTGATGTGCGATGTTACGTATGTTTCAGAAAAAGGTCGTGTTTTGAACCATGATGACGACGAATTTGCGAAAGATCTCAGAGTGATGCGAGAGAAATATCACACTTCGATTGAACGCGAAAGCATCTCGGAAGCGAGCGATGTCGGCGAATGTAAGCAGTCCGAAAGGAAGAATGGAACGAGTAGATATCAACCATTAAATTGGTCAGAAGATAGCGATGGTAGTGCTTACGAAATATCTCCAACAAAATTCAAACAATACAACAGGCAATCTAATCGCAAGCATTCTCGAAGCGGAATTTATGGTCAGCAAGGCATCGCATTATCCAGTAAAAGCGTGTCTTCACCTACTTCGAATGACCAGTACTACAGATATAGTTCACAGTCCCCTGGGTCAGAATCGTGTCAAGAAATATCTCCCAATAAACAAATTCCTTTCATTAGTTATTCAAACAATCAAAATCTCAAAACCTTCCCTAATACTCGTCGATTAAACTCCCAAGACAAAGCTTACAATGCTCCTAATGATCTATCGTTGAGCAATGTCTCGCGTGATTTCCGTAATGTGTCCACTAAAGCCTCGCCAAATGCAACGTCTAGTTTTGGTCGCATGGAAAATGCATTGAATACTAGCCAGTTTCCTGGCGATCATTTTTATCCATCCAATCAGAGATCACCATCCAATCAAGGAGAAACTTGTTCGAGACCTCATCCAAATTTAGAAGAAACTGGTTTTGGTCGACGATCAAATTACAGTGAAACTGGTGTAGATCAGCAGTCTATTAGGGAACAAAGCGGGTTTAGACAACCATCAATCTTCAACAACCTGGACTTGGACAACAATCCTTTCAGGGACCAACAGCTTTAGTCAACACTCTGGTCATGCGCAAATGTGTCAAAAGTCTATACAGGGAGAAATAAGTTATGATCAACAGTATAATAAAGGATGCAATAATTTTAATCGACTACCCAATCAAGCACCAACTGGTTTTCATCAAAAGTTTGATTTTGCACAAACTGGTTTTGGTCAGCAGTCTAATAAGGGAAAGGTTGCTTTTGGTGAGCCCCCCTATTCAAGGACTCGTCGGTTTTGATCAGCTGTCTAATCAAGGGAAAACTGGTTATAATGAGCAGCCTAGTCAAGGACAAGGTAGATTTGGTCAGCAGTTTAATCAGGAAAATGATTGGTGTAGTCAACAGCCGAATCAAGCACATACTGGTTCTGGTATGTCTAATCAGGGGAAAACCTGTTTATCGTCAACAACCCAATTCAGGACGAACTGGTTTTAGTCAGCAGTATAATCAGGGAGATACTGGGTATTGCCTAAGAAACGATCAAGGACCAACTGAGTTTAGTCAACTGCGTGATCAGGGAAGGACTTCTACTCAACAACTTGATAAGGGATTGACTGGTTTTAGTCAGCAACCCATTCATGAAAAAATTCGTTTTGGTCAGCAGTCTAATCAGCGAGTTGGTTATGGTCAACCACCCAATCTCGGACATAATGGATTTGGTCCGCAACCCAGTCGGGGGCAACGTGGTTTTTGTCAACAGCCTAATCAGGGACACAATACTTTAGGTCAGCAGCTTAATCAAGGACCTGTTGGATTTGGTCAGCAGCCTAATCAAAGACAACTTACTTTAGGTCAACAGCCTAATCAAGGACCTGTTGGTTTAGGTCAGCAACCCAATCGGGGACAACGTGGTTTTTGTCAGCAGCCTAATCAGTTACACTCTAGTTTTGGTCAACAGTCTAAACAGGGAAAAACTAGTTATGGTCAACACGTCAATAAGGACCAAACCGGTTTTGGTCCACAATCCAATCAGGGACAGAGAGATTTTTGTCAACAACCTAATCATGAGCAAAATCAGCAGTTCAATCAGGGAAAAGTCAGTTACCATCCACACCCCAATAATGGTCAAACTGGTTTGGATCAACAACTTAATCAGAGACAAGCTGTTTTCGGCGAACAGCTTGATCAGAGAAAATCTAGCTATGGTCAACAAAGTTCTCTAGGAAAAAGTAATTTTGGTCTACAGTCTAGCCCTAGAGACACTGGTTTGAGTGAACAACGTAATCAAGCACACCCTGGTTTTGGTCAACAGTCCGATCAGAGACAAAGTAGTTATTGTCAACAGCTTCATTACAAAAAAAATAGTTACGGCCAACAGCCTAGTCTGGATCAAACTACTTTTGGTCTACATTCTAGTCCAGAACAAACTGGTTCTAATCAGCATCTTAATCGAGGACAAACTGGTCCTAATCAGCTTCTTGACCGAGGACAAATTGGTCCTAATCAGCTTCTTGACCGAGGACAAACTGGTCCTAATCAGCATCTTGACCGAGGACAAACTGGTCCTAATCAGCTTCTTGACCGTGGACAAACTGGTCCTAATCAACTTCTTGACCGAGGACAAACTGCTCCTAATCTACTTCCTGACCGAGGACAAACTGGTCCTAATCAGCATCTTGACCGAGGACAAACTGCTCCTAATCGGCATCTTGACCGTGGACAAACTGGTCCTAATCAACTTCTTGACCGAGGACAAACTGCTCCTAATCAACTTCCTGACCGAGGACAAACTGGTCCTAATCAGCATCTTGACCGAGGACAAACTGGTCCTAATCAGCATCTTGACCGAGAACAAACTGGTTTTACTCAACAGCCTAATATTGGAAAGAATAGTTTTGGCAAATTGAATGATCTGCAACAAGCAGGTTTTAATCAGCAGCATATTCAAAGACACTTTTCTTTAGGTCAGCAGCATGATCAAAGACACTCTGCTTTAGGTCAGCAGCCTAATCAAGGACCTGTTGGTTTTGGTCAGCAGCCTAATCAAGGACCTGTTGGTTTTGGTCAGCAGCCTAATCAAGCACCTGTTGGTTTTGGTCAGCAGCCAAATCAAGCACCTGTTGGTTTTGGTCAGCAGCCTAATCAAAGACCTGTTGGTCTTGGTGAGCAGCCTAATCAAGGACATGTTGGTTTTGGTCAACAGCCTAATCAAGAACCTGTTAGTTTTGGTGAGCAGCCTAATCAAGGACCTGTTGGTTTTAGTGAACAGCCTAATCAAGGACCTGTTGGTCAGCAGCCTAATCAAGGACCTGTTGGTTTTGGTCAGCAGCCTAATCAAGGACCTTTTGGTTTTGGTCAGCAGCCTAATCAAAGACGTGTTGGTTTTGATCAGCAGCCTAATCAAGCACCTGTTGGTTTTGGTCAGCAGCCTAATCAAAGACCTGTTGGTTTTGATGAGCAGCCTAATCAAGGACATGTTGGTTTTGGTCAGCAGCCTAATCAAGAACCTGTTGGTTTTGGTCAGCAGCCTAATGAAGAACCTGTTAGTTTTGGTGAGCAGCCTAATCAAGGACCTGTTGGTTTTGGTCAGCAGCCTAATCAAGGACCTGTTGGTTTTGGCCAGCAGCCTAATCAAGGACCTGTTGGTTTTGGTCAGCAGCCTAATCAAGGACCTGTTGGTTTTGGTCAGCAGCCTAATCAAAGACCTGTTGGTTTTGATCAGCAGCCTAATCAAGCACCTGTTGGTTTTGGTCTGCACCCTAATCAAGAACCTGTTAGTGTTGGTCAGAAGCCTAATCAAGGACCTGTTGGTTTTGGTCAGCAGCCTAATCAAGCACCTGCTGGTTTTGGTCAGCAGCCTAATCAAGGACCTGTTGGTTTTGGTCAGCAGCCTAATCAGGGACCTGTTGGTTTTGGCCAGCAGCCTAATCAAGGACCTGTTGGTTTTGGTCAGCAGCCTAATCAAGGACCTGTTGGTTTTGGTCAGCAGCCTAATCGAGGACAAACTTCAGTTCATAGCGATATTGAGGTTCAAACAGAGACTTTGCCGAATATTGCATCTAGAAATCACAGTCCCGCAACGAATGCCATGAACTCGTTTAATTATTCACCAAAAAATTCAAAATATGTCCCATTAAACCCTAGTGATCCTTCAAGATTGATTGATGTATCACCCTCTCCTCTCGCTGTCTCTAAAACATCTCAGGACGTTGCTGTAATTCATCAAACATCCTTTGGTGAGTCTGGCAATGAACAGAAGTCCCCCCAAACCCTGCATGTTACCAATCATACCCCTAATTACCACACACGTACTCCTGATGACAATCAAAATCCCAGTAAATCTTCATCGGAACAGGAAGGTCCTATGCATCCCCAGCAAGTACAAAGAATGTCCTTTCCCGACGCAAAGCTATGTCGTTCAGTGAACAATCTCTTGATACAGGGCGAAGGAATACCACGAAATTTGACTGTTATTGACCCTAGTGTTTTTGCCGAGGGTGTGGTGCGTGGACTACGAGATCTTTGCGTGACTGAGCCTAGCTCGTTCCAGGGTAAGACTTGGCCAGCTGTCTTGCGCGGTCGCGACATGTTTGCAATCCCCGAAACAAAATCTGAGAACAGTTTGACATATCTTGCGCCCATCGTGACTTTGTTATCCAACACAGCGGCATATTCTGATCTACCTCGTGGAAATGGGGTAAGTAAGAAGACTTAGGAGAACATTAATAACTAACTTGTTGATTTGTATCTTGATAGCGTTATTGTGTGGTTAATTTTGTTAATTCATTTGGAATGGGTTTAAAAAATGATAATATCAAAGTTACGTCAGCTCTTTAAGTTTAAAGTTCTTATTACATTACATTACATCAGCATAATTACTTCAAAACAACCTAATGACATCAAAATAGTCTAATGACATCACCACAATCTAATGACATAACATCGTGCTAATGACATTACAGTAGATTAATTATTTCATCCAACATTTCCTCACGACAACTTATCACATAAAAACAACATTTAAACATAAAAAACCAATTGCATTATCATAATCTAAGTGCATAACAGCACGCTAAATTAACTATGTATAACCTAATTTCTATAATATAAATGCATTACAACAAGCTAATCACATCATTATTACCTAATTACGATAATCCAAGTACATTACAAGAGCTAATTATATCATTACAACCTAATTGCTGTAATCTGAGAGCATTCTAAAAAGTTAAGTAGTCCGCAACTTTTTGGCATCACATCATCATCAGTGGATACAGCGTTCGTCAAAATAAATTATAGCTCCTCAATTTTTAATTCAAAGTATATTCAGAAAACCCCTATAGATTTTGAATTTCTAAAGAATATTATTTTACCAATGGATTAGCCTCTAAGATGCTTAGAAAAGGTAAATATATGCTAAAATGTGCTTCAGTAATTTATTTTGACGTACACTAATTACGCCGCTGCGTCACATTAACCTGACCCACGTCACAATAAGCTAATGCTACTAATTAAACTAAGGAACTAAAACTCTAGTATGTGGAAATGAGAGAAGACTCGCAAATTTACGCCATCCGAATCTATTTATATTTTATTAAAATCGGTGTGAGGTTGCACCTTAAGCTTTGAGCAGATTAATGTGGTGCAGTTTCTTCTAACCAGTAGAACTTGTGACCAATGTCGTGCTTTAAAGCTTAGTTTTTGACTTCAAGGTGGATCCCTTTGATTTAATGAAATAATTATAAATTTCTGCTGCCAATTAATTTTCTGCCATGCATACCTGAAATTAGTCTTATGTAGATTATATGTACAGAAAACATTTTGTACTTCATCTTTGACTCGACATTATACATGAAGCTATACTTCATGTAGGCAATTGCTCTTGTCTTGTGTGACGGATGGCTTAGAGCTACGGCGATTTACGAGCAATGCCGAAAGTTGACTAAAAATGTTCGAATGGTCCGAGTGCAGATATTGTTCGGTGCGGGAGCTGAGGACGAGTGCATTCCTAACTTGATCAATGGATGTGAGATTTTGATTGCTACTTTACCGTGCTTGCTGCGCATGCTCAGTAAGAAATGTACTCGATTGGATAGATTATGTCATCTTGTGTTTGATGATGCTGACGTTCTTGCTGCGGAACAGACAGAACTTGTCAAGAAACTGATGAGAGAATGGAGTGGTAAGTTGACTTTGTGAGGATTGAATTATGGATAAATGTGGATCATGTTGGATAGCTTCGTATAGATCTATTGGATTGCTCCATTAGTATTAAATTCTAGAGATTTATCCAGTAAAAATAAACCTCTCCATGATCCAGTGCTACTGTCAAAGGAAGCGTAAACTAAATAAACTATTCTTTCCAAAATAGCTTTATTAGTTTTAAATTGTTCGAGTCATGTTTATGATGTACTAATATAGTTTGTTACTGACTCAGAATTACGAGAATAGAGAAGCCTAAACATAACTAACTTTATCTTAACTACACAGATAGCTTTCACTGTTGTAAATAGTTATTTCACGAGATCTGTTAAGGAAAACTTGTTATTGACTCAGTGTTACTACAGGAGGAAATTTAAACTAAACTAACTTTCGAGGCAGATAGCTCTATCAGTTCTAAACTGCTGCTTCTGTAGATCTAGCGAAGGTATTTCTTATTGATCTAGTGTTACTACAGCTTTTCTTCTGAAAAAGGTCCAAAAATGTTAATATTTCAATAATAAACTGTTACCAAAGAAAAAATACCAAATGTAACACGAATTTTTTGTCGTTTAGCTATTATAGTATCGCAACAGACCCGCACTTGCCCGAAGCAATGTATCGCTATAGCAAACAAGTGGACACCAGGGACTTGTTCCCTAGTCAAAGTGTACATGGGTAACCCATTGGTTATTATTGGCAACCCAGTTGAAGCGGCTATGTTCAGTAACGTACGCCAGTATATAACATATATATCGTCAAGCAAGAGAGATACAGAACTCTTAAGTAAGTAAACATGGTGAAGCCATATTGTTTTATCATTAAACATGTTGGCACGAGAACGATTTTATAGAACTGAATGGTCATGTGGTCAATGAAACCGAACCTTTAAGGTTGTTAATGGTGAAGCTAGTCCCAGTCCTTCAATTTTGGTTAGGATGTTAGGGCCGTCAATATGATTTTCAATTGAGTAGTTGGAATTCAAAATTATAAGATTTAATGAATGGTAGTACTCTTACTTACATTCACTGTTTTTAAGACTTCATCACAAACTGTTAACTGAATGTTTTTCCTTCGTCACACATCTTGTTTTGCTTTCTCGGATAAACCGTTTTTGTAAAGTCCTGGATAGCGTTTAATGGTGAGGTTGTTTCAAAGCGTGTTATTGTTTCATTTTTTTCACCAAAATTCTACGATATTATTTTGGATTTAACGTTGTATTTTATCGATTGTGATGTGACTTGTAAATGTTTTTGAAACAATTAAAAAGTGCTGCAAGGGATAGTAGTATTCTTGGTTCTTTTAACCAACCTATAACATGTATTGTTAGTCTTTGCCATCCAAATTACATAAACACACCGAAATCTTTTCGATAGTTTTACCCAACATATACTTTTAGCCACTTTAGATAAACACACCCTCGACGGTGAACACGAAATCATAGTTTTCACTTCAACAGCCAAAGAAGCTGAGCGCCTTATGGAGATGTTGCGTTATTACAGTTTCACAGTTTTAATGGCGCACGAGTTCCTTCTTCCTGAACAGTTGCTTGCAATACGACGACAATGGAACACTCCACGCGGTTCAGACAGCTTCTTTGTACTGGGTGAGTCGAATATAAAAAAATTGTTTTTTATGCCATCGGAGAATGTGAAAATTGTTTTTTATGCCATCGGAGAATGTGAACAAAAACAACTGTATACACTTTCAGATGCATTTTTCATTAAAAAAATGTTTGCACAGGCTTACGAAAACCGACGAGAACTTTGAAAGAATTCAAGAGAAGATCAGCGCACTCACGAAACCAAATGTGGGGTGTTTGCACATGCTTGAGAGTTCTCACAAACGTCTCCGAGGCTTGCATAAACCTGTGCAAGAAGAAATCGATTTAGAAAATAAACTGTTATCTAGGATTCACAAACAACGCTAATTTGTTTTTCCTTTTCTTTTTTTCATTGTGAATTTGTAATGTTCGGACAAGACAGAAATCTTTCTTCCAAATTAAATTCGGCCAGTGCATCGAACAGTTTCACTAAATTCATCCGTAAATTTTGGTTCATCTTCTCAGCTTTTCTTGTTTTGGTTGATAATCTACGATGTAATTTGTATAACAGCTTTTTAACAATGTCTACTCATATTTACAATACTTCTACGCCTTGTTTATCTCCGCTCAATCTTTCTCCGTCTTAACCGTCTCTCCATAACTCGTACCTACCTACCTAAAGATTCCTTGCTCCGCTATCTTCCAGTGATGACTGACGGTGTCGTAGACAAGTGTAATATCAGGACAGGAACGTTTATCATTCATTACGACACAGCAACTTCTAAGAAATTGTTTGGAAAGCGTCTGTCTTGTATGTCGTCGTCATATCCCTCTACAGACAACAAAGAATGTTTCTCGCTTACTCTTGGAACGGAAAACAGCTTGGGATGCGCATGCGTCATGAAGGAATTGGTGCTCAGATCTGGTGGTCATGTGCCACCAACGTTGGACCAGATTTGCGAGTTCGCCAATGAGGTTTGTGATTGCAAGAAAGCTGACCTCAATCGTGAGAGGTTTTGTCGAAATTTTTGCAGGCTCAGGAAAGATAGACATTTTACAAAGTGATAGGGTACTAAAGTTTGTTAAAAAAAACGGAAACACACAGATTCGCTAAAACATATCGACGAAGGTCTTGTATTTAAGTGGACTGGGACGAGACATTCTCTTCACTGATTTAGTTACGTAACTTATACTTCATTTTAAATGACAATGACCAAGCCTTTCTTATAGTTTGTGTGTCATTTTAAATGACAATGACCAAGCCTTTCTAATTAGTTTATTCCACAAAGTGGATACACTAATTCCATTAAAGCCAGCTGACCTTCTTTTCTTGTCTTAGGATTATGTTTTAGGATTATTCTATTAACTAGTTTTGGTTATTGGATTTTGTATGAATTCGAAAAAGTTTACAATTAATTAAGTGGAGCCAACTGAACGTCTGTTTAGCTGGATGTATATTTTCTACATTTAGGAAAAAGAAGAGAAATTAAAGAACGATGAACTCTGCTGCAATCTCAAAGCTTTTGGTCGTTGCAAGTATGAAAAAACATTAATTTACTTTTAACTCTGACCATTTACAGCTTTATTGACGTTTGTTGTGTACACTTAGACAACAAACAAATTGTACCTCTCGCCATGTTGTCTTTCCTGACGTCGATATCTCGGATCGACTACCAAAGTCCGGAATTGTGAAGGTTTGTTTTGTCAAGTTGTTTTTTCATTAACCAGACATGGAAAACAGCAAACGCTCCTTGATGACAGCCGTGTCTATTTACGATGAAGTCAGCTTATGTCTCCTAGTCTTTGATAGTTTCCACTTTCTCTACAGTTTCTGCACATATAGTAACACATATGTTATGCCTAAAAATTTGATACAAAATTGTGTTTCATCAGAATGTGTGCATCTTTGAAATTAGTTTTATTTTTTTGTCTTCGACATAAGTTGTGTATATAATATGAGCAAATCCATGTATTTGTTTCTATCTCTTTAAACAAAGCTTTATAAGAAAGGCGACATTCTATTTCAAGTAGATCTTTCAGTATGTCTTTATCTTGGAAAAAACGTTTTAAAATGCTGTATTGAGACTGAAGCGTGGCCAGCATTTTAACGATTGAAATTAGCGCTCTAGCTTCGTCCCTGATTGCGTGTTTTTATTTTCTAGATTTTGGTTTTAGCTGTTCTTACCGCTTCTCGATATTTTGTGCGAATACTCGAACATCGAAACGCAAAAAATGAAATTTCTAAATGCTACAGCGGTGCAACGTTTCTGAAACTGGCGTTAGATTTGAATGACGTGTACAGCTCACGTGATAACCGCCGTGTTCTCTCCAGAATCCAACTTCAGAAACTTTGTGTTATCGAAAGTGAAGGGTCCTTTCATAGGTGAGCATTTGTTCGATAATTATCAGAATGTTTTTATTTGCAATCTGTTTTTCATTTTTACTAAATAAGATTTTAGTGCTCCTTCCGGCAGTAGCGAAGTTTTTAATGCGGCGCAATCTTCCATTTTTATGATGGTTTAAAGTTAGCAAAAAAATCCTCTTTTTGTTGGACCTTGCCCGTCGTCAGACATGTCCGGAACGATTTACATTTGTGACGTCATGCAGGTGACTCCTTAATATAAAATATATACACCAACTACTTTTGATGACGTCTGAACTTGGCTAGACCCAGGCTTCATGCTACGATCTATAAGGTCCATTGAATGACAGTCTCAAACCACCATACAAAGAGGACTATTTGATAAAATTGAATTTTTTTACTGATACGTTGCAAATCAGACCTCGTTCTCAAAACATCAATAAAAATTTGATAGTAGGGGCATTATTTAACTTAACTTTGTTGTGTACTTTGATGTTTAATAGAGTAAAAATTGTCGAAATAACTCAGAGGGACATGGAAACAAACAGAATCGTTGAAGTTCAAGTGTACTTCATCGATCGCGGTTTTTACGAAAATGTGCCTAGCGCAAATCTGTTTGAAATCGCGCCACAGTTTGTAGATCTTCCTTATCAAGTGAGTTCGTTATTTATCTCTAGTCTGTGAAGTCACGAATTCGGGAAGTTAAGTGCGTTTTCAATTTTTAAAGGAGAGGAAATGTAATATTTCCTTGCGCTTCGAACACGTCAAGTTGACCCTCAATCCCAACCCTAACCCTTAATATTACGAACCACAGTGGCTGGCATAATGGATTAAGGATTAATTAGCGTATTTTAGAACACGAAATTACAACGGGAAAAAGCAATGCTGCTTGATTGATCAGTGGGAGAGCTAGAGTGCTTTTTTGAACACTAGGCAACAATGCAGTTACGCTGGCACTTTTCCTGCTTATCCTATTGTATACTTAATTTAAGATAAGAATAAGAGCCCCCGATGGTTGCTGAACTGTGCATTTGCATCTAACCCGATTTAGTTGCCGAAGTATCCATATTCTCTAGAGCGGTAGCGGATCCAGCGTTAGTCATTATAAACCATAGTTGCTTGCTTTTAAATTCAAAGTACCTTCAGAAAAAACACTGATGGTTTTGAATTTCTAAAGAATATAATTTTTTACCTAAGGACTTGTCTCTAAGATGCTTAGAAATGTAAACATATTTCAAAATGTGCTGCAGTAATTTATTTTTACGTACCCTAGATCACCCAATGCTCTATAGAGTCTAAAGCGTAAAGTGTCCTGTACATTGACATCTTGTGAAAGTTATAAAAACCTTTTCAATTTTTTTTTAAAGTCAATGACTTGTGCATTCATAGCTTATACTAATGTTCATTTGATGTTTTAATACTGATTTGATTTGTTCATTTTACAGGCTGTCGAAGCTTACTGTTGTCGAGTGAAACCGTTTGACGATGAAAAACACTGGACAAAAAAAGTTAGAAACAAAATGTTTGCTCTCGTTAAAAACGATTTTGTTTTTATGTGAAGAAAGAGCGTTTAATTATGTTTTACAGCTGTGAGTTTTTTATAAAAGATGTTTGTTTTGTTGAAGACTTTCCGATTTTCATTTCAGTCGGTGAAATTTGTCGCTCAGCACATCGAAGGACATGAACTGGAGGGAAGAGTTGTTATGGGGTAATTTTTTCTGCAAATAAACACGTTTTGCTCTGTTTTTTTTTAAAGTGCTTAAGACACGTAATTTTGTCACTATTTTTTTTATTGTATTTGAAAGAACGTATAAAGTGACTTTATAACCTTATCAGTAAAATTGACTTATTGTACTTTTTTCAAGAGATATTAAAATTTTTTCTTCATGCAAATGACATCGTTATGACATCATACAGCATAATGCCATTTTAGTATTCATCACTTTTCAACATCGTTAGAACATTTCATAAACAAATACAACGGTTTGATGAGCACATGCGAAGATGAATATTTGTAAAGATGCAAAAAGTTAGATATATTATTGCTAACTGTCGAGAAAAATAAGTTTTTCCTAATGCTAATTATGCAAAGTGATGTCATAACGATGTCATTTGAATATTGATGAAAATTCGCATATCTCCAAAAATAAATGAAACAAGAGAATTCAAATTGTTTTCACACTGCAATCAAAAAACACTATGATAAACTTTGGGGACATAAACACTTTAAGGTTCAAACTTACTAAATATGGATTTTCTATCTTGGACATTTTTTTCTTCAGTTATAGAAACAACATTAAACTTAATAACTATGGATTTTCTATCTTGGACATTTTTTCTCCAGTCTTAGAAACACCATTTGGTTAGATCCGCTTGTTAAGAAAGATTATTTGAAAGAAATCAATGTGTTCACAAACACTTTCAATGTTCGCCTCGATCTCATAAAGAATGGCCTGGCTTTACTTAACTCCGAGGTAATTAGCATTAAGATTAGTCTTAGCCTTAATTGACCCGAGGTAATCAATTCTAAGAGTTACCTGGATCTAATTGACCCCGAGGTAATCAATTCTGAGAATAATGGCATGGCTTTAATTAACCCCGAGGTAATCATTTTTAAAAATGGCATGGCTATAATTATCCCCGAGCTTATCAATTTTAAGAATGGTATGGCTCTAATCAACCCCGAGGTAATAAATTCTAAGTATGGCCTGGCTCTAGTTAACCTTGAGGTACCGGGAATTTTTTCCTATATGTCTAGAGCAACTTAACACCGAATTAATCAATTGTAAGATTAGTTTAAATCTAGTTGACACTAAGGTAATCAATAAGTACACCGATGCCCAGAACTCGTCAATAGCATGTACTACTTGGTTCCAGCTCACCCGGAGCTAATCAACGATAAGAGTATCCTGGCAGTAGTTTATTCAGAACAAATCAGAATTAAGAGTGTTTATGATGTTAAATTTATGTTGTAGGTATTGATGAATGTCGTCGATTGTATCGAAAGTATTCCCTGACTCTTTTTGTCAACTCTAAAATGGTTTTTTTTCTCTCACGCACGCCAACAATAAAATTATTCTGTTTTGTAGCATGTTGATAAATTAACGAAGCATTTTCTATCGTTTGTTGAAACGCAACTTTTTACCTCTGCTGCAAGCATAAATGGGTAAGATTTTCTGGAGTTTTTGTGTATTGAGATATGTTTCTCGTTCATTACGTCTATTTTGATATTTCTAGCTTCGCAGATGGAAACAAAATGGAGAATTGTCATCTTGCTGAAGATGATTACGACATGGTTAAAGTTTCGTCTATCGTCAATCCTCAATTGATTTATCTTCGATTGGATGAGAATTCGAATAGGTTGTCTATCGATACTTTTTATTTAAAGAAAATAATGAAAACTAGAAATTGTTTTAAGACCTTAAATGTTTCTCTCATTTAACTGTATATCAATTGGAAACTATGTTTTAGATATTTTCGTAATATGAAAAACAAAAATTATGAGTTAACGATGGGATAATGCTTCTTGACGTAGCAAATTCTCCATACTTGTTAAATGAAAGGAATTTTTCGGCGGGAAACTTACTGTTTTCCTCATTCACGTATAAATATACTTTAATTATAATCTAAGGGAGAGGATGTAGGTCTTGCTATTCTCACTGTCTGTGTAGGGCCGGTATCTTTTTTAGTATTCTTTTGAAAATTTTTTTTCAAACTTTATACATAGTTTTACTTAGAACTGAAAGGAAAGTGTATTTAACGCAGGAACACAATATTTTGGTTGTTTGATTAAATATTTTGGTGCGTGTTTAAAAACTCAAAGGAAGCATCAAAAATTTCTCCCTGAATTCAAAGATAGAAGTACGATATTTCCTGAATAAAATATCCCCTTCATTCCCTGTATGACTAATCGTTCCATATATATTTGAATTAAAGTGCCTCTGTCAGCAAAAATTTTTTCGTTGGCGATGGTAAATACAAGTGTGATCTTTAACACATTATTAAAAAAAGTTTTTTGATTTAATCCAATCATCCCATTTTCATAATGGTTTAAAGTTGACAAAAAATGCTCTTTTTCATGGACCTTGTCCTTTGTCAGAAAAGTCTGGAGGAGCGACTTGCATTTGTGACGTCATGCAAGGGGCACGTCAATACAAAATATATGTACCAACTACCTTGGTTGACGTCTGAAGTTTGCTTGACCCAGACATCATGCCACGACGGACAAGGTCCATTTAAAGACGACTATAAACCACCATAAAAATTGGAAAGATTGGACCTAATTAAAATTTTTTTCACCGATATTCACACTTAGATTTAATATTGCAAATAAAAATTTTTGCTGACATTGCGTTTTAAATTAATCATTTATATTGAAATTCCATCTTCATTTTCATCTTCTCATTTTTATTTTTTAGCTTGGAAGATCTTGTCGATCAAATCACAGAGGACCTGGAGACTAAAGCTGCATCCAGTCATGAGCAGTTCAGTGTTGGCTCACTTTGTGTCGCCCAGTTCTCCGATGATGAAAGGTGAAGTAATGATAGGCAAAGTCGACATTAGTGGTGACTTTTGTCTCACCAAAGAACATCAGTTTGTTAGTTGCCGGGTTGAAGTTCGGTATCTACCCTACATCATAAATTTTTTATGCTTGGTTCAAAAGGCATGATGAAATAACACAATAAAACGCATGCGCTGTGTTTGCGTTAGCCTGTGCAAACCGATCTGAGTTCGATAAATTAAATCAACGAAAGAGAATTTGAAAATCAATCATCAATACACATGTTAGATGAAAAATTTATACGTTTGTTTTTAATTTATGTGATTCGCATCATTGTTATTTTATAAAAGAAATAAAAGATGTTTTTCTCGTTTGCACTGCCTTATGTTAACCTCAACTGTCAGACCTTGACCTTTGGTCTGGGGCCTGTACTGATCTGCTTTCAAGTTATTCCAAAGGTCTGTACAAGCCTGTGAAACACAGTAAACATCTTTTATTAAACTAAATTAGGTACAATATGATATGAAAATGAAAATGCAACCATTTATGTTGAGCAGGTACTTCATGTTAGTTCTTGTATGTGATATATCAATATCGTCTTCAGATGGTACCGTGCTAAAGTACTCAGCATACGGCCTGAGATGGAATACGACGTTTTCTTTGTGGACTACGGGGATCGGGAGTGGATAACGAAGGACAGAATTGCTGCAATGCGTCAGGAGTATTTACAGGTTAATTAATGGTCATTAGTGGTTTGATATGAATGTTATAGGATATTGTCCAAGTAACTTTATATAAGTGCCATTAACCACCGTCTTTGTATTTTTTCAGTTACCTTTTCAGGCGATTGAATGTAGTCTAGTGGACATCAGTCCAGTTGGTATGTATCGGTCTGTTTTTTACAGACGTCATAGGTATTATTTATTTTGATCAACAACGACAACAACTGTTGATCATTCATTTACTCTAACAGTTAGTTGTTCCTAACAACCGATGCTGTTGTAAACTTGGGCTGTCTTTCGTTGTATGATTATGTAGGGCCTCATTGGACCGACGAGGATAAAGAGGGATTATGGAAGCTGGTCGAAGATAGACTTTTGTTCGCCAAGGTGAATTTACGCTTATTGTAGGATCGTGATGTTGATATTTCTTGATGATCTGTACAACGAGGTTTTTGAATTACTTCATGTCGACTGTTTTAAAGGTAAAAGCGAAATGTACCGCATTGCTTGCCGGGAAGTATCGATACGATGTCGAATTGTTCGACACCTCGACCGAACGGGATGTTGTAATGAACCATGAGCTCATTATTGCTGGGCATGCGCAGGCTACGCTAGAACATCATAAGGTACCTGAATTGTTTTTGTGAACTAACGCTTGTTGTCGATGACGCGACGATGCGTCGTAATGGCGTTGCTTTCTTTTGGCGTTAAAAATCACTTAACCATTTTTATAACACATTTTAGACTCTGTTCCCTGAAGCCTTTAACTGGAGGAGTTTGGCCAAGATAAAGGTATGTTTCTCTGTAATTTTATTTCAAATTACGATTTATTTCATTATTTCGTTTTCCTTGTAGGAGCAATATGAAACCATTCCCGAGCTTTGCTTACAATTTTACCGTGAAAAGGTTATATTTATTGAATTATTGCTTGTTTTGTTTAGTGAAACATACTTGTGAAATATTTATATGTTTTAGGACGTCGACAGTCAACTTCGTTATGCTCGGGAAATCAAGAACATCGTTTCGGAGAACATAAAGTATTAAAAATACATGTAACCTTATAATGTATAAAACATGAAGTATATCGTGTACTTATAACGCATCTCTTGATCTGTTCTTCAATCTACACTTGATGTTACACTCAATATTTTAATTTGACGTTCAGGCTAAAAGACGAATTCCGGGAAAGCGGTGCTGTTCGTTGTATAACAAGGTTACTTTGTTTAACAAAGAATGAAAGTATCCAAGAGATTCTCATCTTTACATTGGAAATTCTCGCTCTTCAAAATGACATGTATGTTCTTCATTGAGTACTGATGGTAGCTCTAGTAGATCCTTAGCATTGCCTGATGGATGTGCTATTATCGGTGTTTTTTGAAGCATATTTTCTTATTGTGTAGGAATTGTGATGAAATACGTCGTGAAGGTGGTTTGGACAAACTTTGTGATTTATTGAACCAGGTTGGTAATGCTTCATTCTTAAGTCCAACGCCCTACGTAAGTCCTGTGCTACCAAAGAAGGAGAGGTTTACTTACTAGGAAATATATTTTCTTATAATTTTTTTATTTACTCGTGCGAAGTGATGTTTTTTATTTCCTGCAATCTAATTGGCTGCAGCACCGGGCGGCTTTTTACCATATCTTGACCGCGATCCAAAATTTTTATTTTTTGCAATAAATTTAATTTTAAAAGCGAAATTTAAAAGCCATACAAATTGTTCAACAAGAAAGCAAAATGTACTCATATGGTAGCAATGATAGCGAGAGGGAATTTTACAATCCAGACGAAACAATCCATTTTGAGTCTTTACCAGCTTTATCGACCGTTTTACAAAATGAATTGCTTTTTGAAAATATAAAAACACGTTATTTGCATTTTAAATCAGTCCGTACTGAAAAATTAATATCCCCGACCTTTGGACTCTGTCCGCTTCTGAGACTTCATAAAAATATTTTTTCTGTAGACCTCCCTGCCGGTAGATAACATCTATACGTATATTTTCTTTCAATAATCTTATTCCTTACAGACGACAAATCCCAACATGCTTGAGCACACGGTCTGGGCCTTGAAGGTTCTTTCTGCCAACGAAAGGTTTGAATTGATTTTGAATCTGCTTTCTGAAGAAGAAAAACAACACCAAAGACTTAATTTCATGTCAAAATGAATTGGTATTAAATATAAATATTAGAGCCCAACATATAATTTTGAACATAGTCATAAACAATTTGGTTTTATGAAATTTATTGAGAGTGACGTTTCGTCTTTACTCAAGACATCTTCAGAATAATTAGGAAGTTAACAAGAATATAGATATATATAGAGCTATTTACATAGTTTGAGGTATCAGGTTACTGTGAATGTGTAAGTGTGATGTGATGTATTGTTAGGGTGAGGTGTTGAGATTAGAAAAGCTTAAGAGGGATGGAGCTGCCTTGGGTGTTAAGTGAAGGTTTTAGTTTGGAAATGAGGAGGCTTTTGACTGGAAAACGCTATACTAACCCATTAATGTCAAGTATTCTTTCTCATAGTAACTCCTCCAACCACCCTGCTTCGCCAGACGATTTTAAAATCATCTCATCCTGCTCCGACACATTTGACCTCATGATCCACGAAAGCCTCCTCATCTCCAAACTAAAACCTTCACTTGACACCAAAGGCAGCTCCATCCCTCTTAAGCTTTCCTAGTCTCAACACCTCACCCTAACAATACATCATATCACATCACTATTTTATTAAATTTCATAGAACCAAATTGTTTATGACTATGTTCAAAATTATTTGTTAGGCTCTAATATTTATATTGAGAATCCGTTTCCCGTCTGGCACTTCATTGGCAACAATATTGGTATTAAATATATAATATTTGGTATTTGAAGAAGTGGTGCAGCCAGTAAACTATTTAGTCTTGCAATGCTAATTTTTCTGTAATCCTCCAATGTTAAAACAATAGCTTACTATAGAAATGAATAATGATAATATTGGAAAGTTTACACAGTAAGATTGAGACTTGCGGAATGGCTACGCCACTCGTTCCATGATGACAACTTAACAACGCATTTGTCGTATGGCAATTTCAGACATCATGTCGATTCATATAAAGTCAATTTCATATCAGTATTCTTCTTAACGTTGCAAAGTTTATTTGATGGATTAAATTTTTGCTGGGAAGTTAATATAACATCAAATCAAAACAGGCTTTAATCCTGACTTTGCAATTTGATCGGGATGGTAAGGAAAACTTCAACTTTTCAACGAACTTTGCAACTCTACGCGGAAAGTCATATGAAATTGACTTAAATCACTTATGTTGATAGCATATTCAATTCAGGCATGTTTGCTTTTAGAATTCGAGAAGCAATTCGAGAAAAGGGAGGAATTAAAAGTTTATGCAAAGTACTCGCGAATACTGAAGACGAAAAGGTTTGGTTGACTATCAAAAAAGGTCTCTTCAAGTTCAGCAGATGCGAACGCTGTAACAACACTACAGTGAATATACAGTAGGTCCATACTGACTTCTGTTTATTTAATTGGATTACTGGCTGCCGTTAGCCATTTCATCGTTCCCTATTGGTCAAAAAAAAGCAATTGACCGGCTGCCACTATGGTAATCACATGCGTAATAAGATATGCGTGAAATGAAAAAATTCAATTGAGTGGCCCTACTGTATGTTCACTACATTAGTCATATTGGACTATCCACTTTTTCAGTGCGTTAAATATTTTTTATATAACAAACTGCTACGCTCGCACTCAATTTGGATCATCTGTTTTACTCTTGGGATAAAAAAATGTTATGATGACATGACTGTAATAAAACGGTTTTGGGCAAAAACTCATGTTTTATAAATTTCATATGGAAATCTTCTCCCGTTGTTAAAATATCATAATAAAAGATTTGGCATGATTTCGGAAATATAAAACAACAAAAACACAAAATACGGGAAGAATTCATTACAAAATATATAATAGAAGTGGATAGTCCAATATGGCCGCTGTTGTCAAAAGTTTGCTTTAAAATTTTCTAGGCACCAGAATTAGGTTGTATTGTCCAGTCTTTATATACATCAGTGGTTGTAACCCAACAGAAGTTATTGTGTTCAATACTTATGTTAATCTTGGAATACGTAATGAATTCTTCACTTCGTTCAGGTGCAAGAAAACATTTGCTGGGGCTTCGTTTCTCTCTGCAATGACAACAACAAGTAAGGATAAATTACAACTGATTTATAAGTCAGAGGAGCATGCTGGCACGATTTATGACCAGTCATCGAAACTTCATCTTGTTACCATAGCAATTGTGATGCAATCAGAGAAGCGGGAGGCTTGACGTCATTGCTAAGGTTATTAGAGAAGCGGCAAAGTTATTACGTTGTGTGGGCCCTTTCTTTGTTGGTTTACAACACCAGGTAAGTTTTTAAAAAATTTTTATCATTTGTCGTTGGATATTTTGATAATTTTTTTATAATCAGGCAGTAGCACTGCTGCCTGGAAAGTTTTCATAAATTTGTCTCTCGTAGAAAATTTTTCGAAAATATAGAGCAGATTTAGAATACTGGTGTATGTAGGCATTGTCTGTTAAAGTGCTTATGTCAGGGTCAGGGAAATACATTCTTCATATAGTCAAATAAATTTCAAGAACTTTGCAATATATTTGATAAGACAAAAATTTTATGTGACTCTACACCGGATGCGAGGGAAAAGGAAACACTATATCATTGAAGATATAGCTTTCATTATACAGAAAATCACTGTTATATAATCTCTTATAGCATATTTTTGCGAAGAAATCTTTCCCTCAAATTTAAGAATCTGCATAGGTGTGTATTTTGATGAGATCGTTTTAACGACTAATCAATGAAAACGTTTAAAAAGTGGAACTGCGTTTTCTCCTTTTTACGTCACTTCCGGCGCTGAGTAACTTACTTGTAGACCCAAAAAGTTCATGAAGATAGCATTTTCAACTTATCAAATATATTGCAAACGCTCTTAAAATCGATTTTATTTTTCTGAAGATGTTATAAACCTGCCAACTGCGAACGTTTGTTTTAAATGGTTGTTAATGAAAAATTTTAAATTTTACAGGAAAAATTTAAATCCACCAGGAAATTTAAGCTTTAGGAATTTGCTTACTTGAAGTAAAATACTTTATTGATGAAATGTATTACGATCCAACTTCCGACTAACATCGTCAAAGAAACTCAAGATTTAAGTTGCTAAAATTACATTAATGATCTTGATATTATTTTCTCTTTGTTTATAAATCAGTGCTCAAGCACACCACAATTATATATGTCTTGTCATTTTGATAACTAAAATTTTGAGTTTCCATAATAATTATAGGTTATTTCAATTGTATTTTTAGAAATAAGAAGGTTTTCGCGAAGAAGGCGGTATTGAACAAGTCTTCGATGTGATCAGAACAAATCAGGATGAAAAGGTGTCTTTAAGTTCCTTAAATCTTTCAGTGTATTACTTCATGTAACTAAATAATATGATCATTTATTTTGTTTGTCATCGTTCTCTATAGGTTTTAGGACATGCCATTCGTTTATTAAAGACTTTGTCGAGTTACAACGACGAGAACCGCCAACTTATGTGTCGTTTGGGAGTCATTGATTTCATGAGAAGGTCAGAATGTTTTCATGATCATACATTATATGACATTTTGGTTTCTTTGGATGTTTATAGCGGAAAATGCGTCTTATACCATTGTAAAATTACTGCTTTATGACTGTATAATGATGTTTTCAGATTTACGTAAAAGCGCAATTGTAATTATGAAATGTAAAGAACAAACTTATTTATTACATACATGTTTCGGCAATCTTATAAAATGATTAACATCAACATCTCTATTGTCTGTAAATATCTAATCGAATTTCATCTATAGTATTCCACATTCATGTAACAGATCATATGTTCGCGCTGACAACGGCATAGCATTGCTGAGATATGACAGTAATTAGCATTGTAAGAAATAAAAACATTAATGTGTAAGCGTGAAAAGAACCATTATTATTTGGACCTTACATGTAACAATTAGCAAAATTAAAATATTAATTAATATATTAGCATGATAATGTACGATAAATAGCATCATTAGCATAATTACAAGCATAATGTACGATAATTAGCATCAATTTTACGATACTCTGTTAATTTCTCCCTCACGTTACTTAAAACAAATGGAATTATTGTTCTCTTGTTTCTTTTTAAGACTTTCGAATGCTGAAAGTCAGTTACCATTCAACACTCGACGTACTTGTCTTGATCTCATTCAGAGACTACTGGGTCGAGCTCCTGATGTTCCACTGATTGAAGCATCGTCTATTACGTCACCACTTCAAGAGCCAATCAGATCCAAACCTATATCAGTGACGAAGAAAACGAAAGTTGTGGGCAATGGTTATCCTATAAATTCAGACGTTGAGAATGGTGTCGACCTGCAAGTGTTGAATGACACAATCGATATGTTAGTATCTGTCGTTTACCGTAAATGATCTAATAAACGCCCTGGGCGATAAATAGATACTGGGTGTTTAACAAAGAAATGGGCAGCTGTATTATTTCTATCACTTTAGTGTGTTAACAAATAAAATACTAAGACTAAATATACCCTTTTTGTGGTTGTGGGCTTCTGTTACAGGGGTGTTTATTAGAGGGAGGCGTTTATTTGACAAGGAGCTTTTAATAGATCGTTATGGCGGTCATATTTTCTCGTCTATACTGTTTTAGTCATTTGTTATGATAAGTGTTAATGCAATGACGTCGTTATACTAATATATAATATTTTTCATAATGACGTAATGGTATAAGATGACATGATGACGTAATGATATAAACGTTGCTATGACTTAAAGTGCCCCTTTCGGCAAAAATTTTTATTAGCGATAATAAATTAAGGTTTGATTTTCAACGTATCAGTGAAAAAAGTTTTTAATTTTGTCAAATCGTTCCATTTTTATTGCTATTTAAAGTTAGCAAAAATGTTCCTTTTAATGGACCTTGTCCGTCGTTAGAAACGTCTGGAACGATTTACCTTTGTGACGTTATGCAAGAGATTCCTCAATACAAGATATACATACCAAATATCTTGGATGACGTCAGAATTTGGCTAGACCCAGACTTCATACCACGACTGACAAGGTCCATCGAAAGGCAACTTTAAACCTCCATAACAAGAAGACGATTTGACCAAATTGAAAATTTTTTTCACCAATACGAAAAGTTTTGATATCGCTAATAAAAATTTTTGCTGATAGGGGCACTTCAATGATATAAGTTAGCATGACGTGTGATACTGACGTTATTATGTAGGTTGACGTAACTTATCGATGATTGAGAAAATTATTTTCTTTTTATACCTAAGCGAGAAGACCACTGTTCATCCAATGACAACGTGGGCTCAAAGTAAACGTTTTATTTCTCTGTCAATCAAGCTTCGTGGGGTTCAAAGGATAGCAAAAAATATCACCGAAAGAAGATTTTGCTTCAAGTATGCGTTCTTAACTTTATTATGTCGTGACTATTATTTGAGTGGAAAAAAATTGAAAATTTCGTTCAGTTATTTAAGTCGCGATGTTTGGTTCATTTTTCTAACTTTGCCTTTACTTATTTGAACTACATGATCAACTTTAGAAGTTATGGAATTATCTGATCTCTTTAGAACGAACCATTTTGAAAAAGTGTACGAACTAAATCTTGAGTTGTTTGGTCAGATAATTCCCGAGGTAAATAATATTCGATTTTGTTTACATCATGATTTGTATTCCCTCTCCTCAAGTTTAATATCTTCTATCTTGGTGTTTTCTTCTTAGGAGAGCAAAGTAACGATACGTGGATCTGAAATTTTGGTCAACTTAAAGAAAGCAAAGCCAGAACCATGGCGACGTCTTCTTTTAACAACACAGAAGGTATTCTATAATAACTGGAGCGGCTATCTCTTACACGGCTTTAGTTAGCGGCTGACACCAAAAGGATGGAGGAATTTACCTATTTCCGCTGAGATTTACCGAAATTGATTGCTTTGCAGAAAATTTCACAATTTCTCACTCCCCCCTAGAGAAAGAGTGTGGAAAAACGATTTGTATATTACGCATATTTGGCAAGCATTTTATGATGAAAATCACGGTAAAAACATAAATTTCATAAGAGCGAGACTGTTGTGATTGCTAGTTATCGGCTTCTATGAGAGATCCTTTTAATAACTATAGACGAACGAGCTATTTGTTGGCCAAATATGAATGCAGATGTACGTCGTAACTGTCGTCTAATGTTTGCTCGATCAAAGTTGTAGTCTACACAAACAAAAGTGTATCATAGTTCACCTCTATGGTTTATTCATTCTCATTACTTTTTTGCTTTCTTTCATGCAGCGACCTTTCGGGTGACTTTTTGGGGTGACAATTTCTTTGTAGTACTTATCCATTGAGGTAAAAGAGTGGGATCTTTTTGACGTCAGGGAAACTATTTTGCGAATAAATTGGAAAATTTACCGTTTCATTCATTGATAAATAAGTGGAAAAGTATGTTGAGTTTTAAAAGCAAAAACAGGAAATCATCAATCGCATTTTATAGCTTTTCAAGTTCAATCACTTTTCATTTTTTGATGAACAAACAAAACAAATATCTTACCTGTGAAAGCGATATGTTTCTATTTGTGGACACTACGATATCCAAAATTAAATGATTGAGGAGTTGAAATATGATGAAAGAAATGCCAAAATAGATATCGTGTTTGTTTTTAAAAAATACTATATGATAAACTATAAACATCTGGGGGAGGTCGAAAATATTATTTTTCTGCAAAGCGAACATTTCAGCGGAAATTGGTCTATTGGCATCCATGTTATTGGTGTCAGGTCCCAGTCCACTTAACCGCTCCAGTTATCATAGAACTCAATCTCATTAATTGCTAGAATGTCTCTTAAAGGTTTATTACACGAGCCCAGATTGCCTGGATTCAGTATAGAAGGATATTGGTAAATTAAAGCCATTTAAAACGGTCCAGTATTTATCATCTAAGAAATCTATTTAAGTATTTTTGCAATAATCGGGCAATAAATGGATAGCTTGACCTCGTTAACTCTAGTTTCATAAAGTAAGAGGCGAATATTTTTAAGAAGCATATTTCAACTTTATTGTTAATAAATAAATAAAACATATTTACTGTGTTTGCACAGGCTTATGCAACCGAGGAGACCTTTTGGAGTACTCGAAGCAGATCAGTGCAAGCCTGAGACAGAAAGTTGACAGTTTGCATCTGCTCAAGAGTTCTCACAACCAGCGTCTTCCATAAGCCAGTACAAACACGAAAAACATCTATGTTTCTTTTATAAAATAACAATAATACCATACAGAGGAATTTAACACAAACTTTTCAACATATTTATAGCACGATTTCATGTTTGACTTGAAAATTTCTTTCATTGATTGATTGATTTAATTGGTTGAGCTCAGATCGGTTTTCACAGGCTAATTCAAACACAGCTATAGACCAATCAGCGCACGCGTTTTGTTGTTGTAATATTATAAATAATTATCATGCTCATTTAGCCTCCGTTTCTGAGCGTTGATTTTGATCGTTGGGAAATGGACTCGGATTCTGAAAAGAATGAAACTGATTCAGGTTTGCAAACTCACTGCATGCTTGAAGTACTAAATATCGTTTGAGCAAACTTTTATTGTAAGTCCTTGGTTGCAATTCTTTCTTTTCTTTCCATAGTCAAATCCGAAACCTCGCTAAAGAATGATAAAAATCACCCGAAGGAGACAGCCCGACCATTTGACGATGATTCTCCGGACTCCAGCGATTATTCGTCTGAAGAAGAGGAAGTCCGTGATGGTCTGGGTTTGGATTTCTCGTGAGGGCGAAATTTTCCCTTGGTGATGCGCGTGTGAAAAATTAGAAGCTTTACTTGAAATGTGGATTTATGAAGTGGAAGTATTAATCTGTCTGGTTTGTATTGTGTTTTTAAGTTAAGTTACCAGCGTTTCAAGATGCCTGAAAAAAAGATTAGTGAAGATATTGTTATGCATTAAACGAGTGGAAGAAGAAACGCTGAATTGTCTGAAAAGTGTAATTGTAATTTTGTATTTTTTTTGACAAGACAGCAATGACTTTACTCTTAGCAGTTTTGAAGGATTAGATAGGGCGAATTGTTACCTGTTTAAATCTATTACCAAATGATATATTTTGTTCAAGAACTTGTAACTCACGAAAGTCTATCCTTTCACTGAACTGTGAGAGCTAATCATACACTTACATAGCTGTAGGATTTTCGTTCCTGCATTCAGATGAACATATTTGGTGCCGTGAATTATTTGATATTTGTACTTGTTAAGTAGTTATGATGCCGTTCGTGCATATTGTGAAAAATGATTTAATACCATAGCATTATTAAAGAAAATGTAAAAAAATACAATGACGCCTGATGCTGTTTTTTTGCGCACTTTTTATTCAATGATTTTGTAAAGCTTTATGAGTTAGTTCATGTGTTTTTCCCGAAACATCTCAACACGTTAACTGTGCAGGCTGCGGTCAGCTATTTAAGTGTTCCTATTGGTGAGAAAATCAGTGGCGTGCGGTCATGCAAGCGTAGGCAAGCGCCGCTTGCCTAAGCATTTTACCGAACAAAAATTTTTTTGGATCAATCTCTGAGCAAAATCAGTTTAAATTTTTCTGTTCTAAACAATGTCAATGTAATCTTTTGTCTAAATTGTCTTTACAGTTGAAATGCTTGCTATTTATACGCGATTTACTGTCGTGGTTTTCGGTTTCACTTTGCTACACTTGTAAGATGAGTCAAGTGGATTAAATTAAGTGGATTAAATTAATTATTTATTAACCAAGGCAAGCGGCGCTTCTAAGGGCGCCGCTTGATAGCGATTGGTCAACAGTCTTGTACGCTCGCAATTTTAAACACATATCAGCGCACGAATAATATTCGTATATTCAACACATTGGACATCCGAATTATTCACGCCGTTAATGTTATCGTTTATTAAAAGATGACTGAGAGCGAAAGGTAATGTTCTGATTTCTAATTCAAAGTAGTAGTAGATTTCTAATTTATGTATGTAGAAGATATTATCTGTAGCATGTTATACTTTAGCGTTATATAAGTCTTGCGTATGAGCTCTGAACGTGATTTCAATGTACTAGAACGCTATTAAATTTTGTGATTATTTTATTCACTAGCAAAGAAGTTATTTACAACAGTCGTGACTATTCTATATGTTAGAATTTATTTACAGGCTTTTTATATATTTTGATAAACAAGGTGAAGTTATTACACAGCGGATAATGTACTTGAAATTTGAGTAGTTTTACGTAATTATAAAGTTAAGTGCGTAAGTTTAAGTAGCGCGTTTGAGTAAGTGTAGGATTGGCTATTTCCTCTATTGCTAATACATGAATCTAGATGAGTAATGTACGCACGTTATGTACGTCACTACAAGATATCATGTAACTGATGTAAGGTATAAATAAGATTGATGTTCCTATAAAATATATAGCATAGGAATTTTCATCCTTTTATGTTCTACTTCTACAATTCGGTATTTTCACGACACCTGTACAACATGACTGAATGCATTGTGGAATCACTGTCAGCGCTTGCCTATTAAAATCGGTCACCGCACGCCACTGGAGAAAATAGAGTTGACTGGCTGCCATTGTGCTATTCAAATGCGTAATCAGATATGCGTCATACAGACATTGCAATGACGCTGTTATATTGTTTGTTCTTTGATCGGACGATGGAATCGTCATTAATTATTCATTTCCTTCAAATCCATCTCATGTTGCAAATGTGAACAATTTGGGATATCGTGGTACGACGAACAACGACGACAATCTGTCCTCCTTCTGCTGCTCTGCTAAAGTCGGCTAAGTCTATTTGTGAGTGTGACATTGTTCAACAGTAAGTTTTAATTATACTACATCGGAATTATCGTTGTAATTTCTCTAACTTTATTGACAGTGTACATTGAAATTAACATTACCAGTATATTTTAACATGCTCGTTCTAGAAGCCCTAAATTTAAGAAAGTTAAAACTCTCACTAAACACATCTTTATTCACCGAGACTGTTTCATGTTTGTCATATTTACATTTTCCATGCTAAAACTTTAGAATTGAGAAAATACATAACATTCTAAACTTACACACGTACACTTTGTCATGTCGTGTCAATTTTGTTGACCTTCCCGAGTAAAGTCTAAAGTCCAGATTGTCATTGTGCTCTTTAAATGCATCTTCGTAACACGTGAAGAGGAGAACTGTAAGTCTAAATGATGAGTCTATTCTCTAAACAGATAAACTACTGAAAACACGTTCGGCCGACTAGCGACTTTCAGATTTAAAGGATTTTGTTTTGCTTGAATGTAAATTTGCATCCGATTCATAATATGTATTATTTGTTCTTTCTGCCGTAAATATATTCAGGAAAGAAAGGCTCAGCATTGACTATGAACTTATTTTCTCGCGTAACTGAGTTTACTGACGAAATGCCATCCAAGACTACTTTTCAATGTGATAAAGACGTCTCGTACACAAAGGAACCTCTCCCTCTGATACAGAGCTCGGCCAATGGAAAGCTCGTTGTCAACTCAAGGGCTCGTAGTATGTTGGCGAGAATCGAAAAACCGCTGGTTGTCATCAGTATTGCAGGCCTGTATAGAACAGGTACACCATCAGTATACTTACAGTGAAGTGAATATTCATGACCAGAAAATCTTCACTCTTATTTAATAGGAAAATCCTTTTTGATGAATCGACTATTTGGCTATTCTGGCTTTTCAATTGGTGGCTCAACCGAGGCAAACACAAAAGGGATCTGGGTTTGGTGTAGGGATCATCCATATAATAGGGAACATTGTTTGGTAGTGCTGGATAGCGAGGGTTTGGGGATACAGAAAGGAAGATGGGATCAATCAGGATGTTCACGTGTTTGCACTTGCTGTCCTGCTCAGTAGTTGTGTTGTTTATAATAGCTGGAACGCTATTGATGAAAATACAATTCAAAATCTCAGGTAACGATCCAACTGCTTCTTTTGAGTAATGGAAAATAGTCTCCTGACATCCATGTTCTACTATTTAGTCTAGTTACCCAAATGATAGAATTTATTCAACTCAGTCGTGGTGACGAGGATACAGATGACAATAGCACTTCCGGTGACGTCTCCCCGCATTTTATTTGGGTCGTGAGAGATTTCAGCCTTAGTTTAAAAATTGATCAACGTACTTGCACAGCGGACGAATATTTGGAGCATGCGCTAAAAGATAAACCTGGCACACGGAACTCACAGAGGAATGAGGTTCGGAAAAAGATCCGGGAATTCTTTCCAACAAGAAAGTGTTTCACTTTGAAAAGGTAGAATCACTCAATTCAAGTTGATAGCATCATGAAAACTTTTCTTTTTCCCCAGATCCAACCGGCACGTAGCCAGCATGATATGTGGGGGTGGGGTGGAGGATAGCGGGTTTAGGGGGTAGACAGGGTGACAAGTGACCCCCTTGCCTTAAAACGATTTTTTTAAAAAGGTATTGATGTTGTTTGTGGTTCATTATTACAATTAATTAATTCCCATTTCCAGTGAAAGTATTTTAGATAAGATATTATTTATCGAATATTATACACATTAGTTAATTCACTTACGACGAAAATATTTGCGGCATCAAAATGTAAACGAGGCAATTTTCTTAAGGTGATAAGCATAAACCAATGAAACTCTGGATGAAACGCTGACAGTGACGTAGCCAGCCCCGAGTTTTGGTTCTGCTACCTAAACTTCAAAAGAATCATAGTTCATCTCTTTAAAAATATTTTGTGTTTACAGTGATTGAAAACAAAAAAATTACATAGCAGGACTAAATAAGCATGTTGGCCACGCTGCTGTACACAGAACACATTGGAGGTTTTTATGAGAACATCGAAGATTTTCAAGAAGAAAAAATCAAATAAACAAACAGCTTATGAAAGCTATAATTTTTTTGATGCTCAAAAATAGTCATTTAAAAAATGATTTTTAAATTATATAAAAGAGGTAAGAGTTGTGCAATATCTCTCCAAATAGAATCTTCCATTATCCCCTCTTCACATCCGCCACCCAATGCCCAAATCCTGCATCCGTCCCGGGGGGGGGGCAAAGGTTTTGTATCATTATGTGATCGGTAAGAAATAATGGGTTTCACCTATGCATACATGAATACTGCTTTTATAGATTCATTATTACTTTGAAAGAAATCTTAAATTAAACCAAAACGTAGGTACTGCTTAGCCCTGATTTATCACATTAGTCTTAATAACTAGCCACCACACACAGAAAACTATATTGAACAAGGCGCCTATCAGAGGTCCACTCGAGAACAGTGTTTGGTTAGATTTGCCAATGATTATCTGCTACAAATGATCTTAACTATGATTTATCTTTATGTAGACCTGTTGTTGACGAAGAGAAACTGGGAATGCTCGATGAGTTGACAGAGGACGAGTTCCGTCCGGCGTTTCTCGACGAAGTTCATCGTTTCATCAAATATGCTTTAAGTTACTCACCATTAAAATTCGTCAACAACGTCGAAATAACTGGACATTGTAAGTGATGAGATCTTTGATTCTTTAGCTTTGTTCAAAAGCAAAATTGTTTTCTCAATTGTTCCTCTGTTTGCATGTCAGTTGATGGAGTAAATGTTTGCAGGAATGTATTGGCACTTTGTGGAGCAAAAATTTTAACAACGAGAGCTCTATGTTTTATTTCTTTCTGTCTGGCCAAATGACATTTAAGAAATAAACGATGTTAACTGTGTTTGCACTAGCTTAGGAAAATTTAGTAGACCTTTGGGAACACTCAAGAACAGATCGGTGCAAGAACGAGGGTTTGCACCAGGTTGATAAAAAAGATTAAAAAGTGTTTTCATTTTCTTCGAACATGTATTATTTTTCATATATCATATCTCATTATAAAATAAACACAATGAAATGCGTGCGCTGATTGGTCTAGAGCTGTGTTTGCGCATCAGTTTGTGCAAAATTATTTGAGCTCAACCAATCAAATGAATCAATCAATCAAAGAGAATTTGCAAATGAATCATGAATACACGTTCAATAAATATTCAAACTTTTGTTTGTTTTGCATTATTGTTATTTTAGAAAGATAAAAGATACTTGTCGTGTTTGCACTGGCTTATTCAATCCTCGAAGACGTTTGTAAGAACTCTCGAGCATGTGCAACCCTCGACCTTCGGTCTCAGGCATACACTGATCTGCCCTCGAGTTCTTCCAAAGGTCTCCTCGGTTTGCATATGCTTGTGCAAACACAGTAAACATCTTTTATTTCTTAAATATCTACGCACCAGTTCCTCCATGCTTGATAGTTAATCGGTGTTCGAGAAAGAACTATTATTGTTCGTATTTTGTAGACTTCAACTACCTCGCAGAGAGTTACGTCACGTCGTTAAATAATGGCAGTACTCCAAGCATTCCGAGTATTATTAATCATATTGTTGACGCGGAGTTTATACGAGAGAAAGACGCCATTACAAACTATTATAAAAAGATGATGACTGAACGATTAATCAAGCCAATGTCGATCGAAGAACTACAGGATTTTAGTGGTCAGCTGAGGGAAGATGCGCTAAGGAGATTTAAGAAACATAAAGTATTGCAAAAAGCTTCAAATACAAGTGAAATGGAACATAAACTATCCGTAAGTTGTGATTTTATATTTTACACGAAAACTAGTTATTTGATTACGAAATTACCTTAATTAATGCCTTCTTAATTTATTAAAATGTTCTTAATTTATTCAATCATTCTTCTAGGAATCGTTATGGGAATTAAAAGTACATTACGAGCGAGAAAATAAGCGTATTTCCAAAGAGTTTTGCTCTGATCTTATAAAGACGCTATATCAATCGATAAACAGAAGATTGAACAACGAAGAATACAACATGTCCGGTGGCTATAAGGCGTTTCTTCGAGATTTAGTTCGTCTTGAAAAATCTTATCAACATACGTCGAATAAGGGACCGATGAGCGAAGAAGTCCTAGGCGAATTTATAATCTCATTAGAAGGTGTGAAAATGCTCATTAGGAGTGGTGTCGAGATAATTAGCATGGAATTAGAACGCAAATTGGATTTGCAAAGACGCGGGAACTACATGCCTTGGTTGAAGGATTCTTTAGTCGGCTCTGTCAGTCAGTTAACTTCGTTGTTTGGTCAAGCTGTTAAATCGGTTACTTTGACGTCGAGCATGGCCGCTCCAGAATTAGAAGCAGGCACATCAGACACAGACAAAATTGAATAAATTAATAAAATAGCCAAATAGATTGCATTATTTATATATTTCATCCTTAAGAATTGTTTTGTAATATTAATATTTTTGTACATAACATAGTAATAGCTAAAAAAATTATTATATGAATTTGAAATTTATAAAAAGTGCGAAACAAAATAAGTTAACTAGCAATTAAAACATATCTTCTGCTTCAGGAGGAGTGTTTGTTTTGTTTCCCGCCTGGATTGTTTCCGGGGGGGAAGGGCACAATGAAAAATTATACAACATGTCGGCTAGGAGAAACGTAAAATATGTGGATCAAGAAGAGCCGTCATTCTTGAAAAAATTCAAGGAAAGAGTTGGTTATAAAGAACCAGCAGATATCAAAGATAAATATGCAGAGGATAAACCGACTGCAGTAGAGGAAAGCGAAGAAAATGAGCGGGAAAAAGAGGACGAACAACCTGTGGTTGTTCAACTTAAAAGTGGAGATTTGAGCGCTGAAGAAGCCGCTAAATTAAAGCAAGAAAGCAATAACGAGGGAGGTAAAGCTACAGATATTATCTATCTTCGAGCTATCCTTACTGCATTGTCAGGGAAATATAAGTTTTTTGGAGCTAAATTAAAATACCCATTTTTATTACTTGAGATTGCTGGGACAGCAAAACGGACAAACCCAAGTTCAAGAAACCTGAGAAGCGGTCATCCTGCGAAAAAGATGCTGGAAAAGACAAAAAGAAGAAGAAGATCGAGGTGAAAGCCGTCAAAAATAGCAAACTATTGTCGTTTGACGAAGATGATGAAGAGAATGACTAGAGAAAGAGATGGATGGCCATTAGCCAGATGTGCTGAATTTGGTTCATACCCCATTACCAAACATGGATACTCACAAATATTTACAAACTAGAATTCCTAGAAGGCAAATACTGCTGTCTGTGTGAGTATTAAATTCCCAATGAGTCATTTACACCAAAACAAAAATGCCAATTGTTGACCTGAAGCAAATGCTAGTTAGAATAAATGCATGAAGGATGAAAGATGTGTAGATAACTATTAGTTGTTGATGCATAACTTCCCTTTTGTATAAAAAAAAACCTGGTGTACATAGGTCGCAAATTTCATCAAATTTGACATTATAAACACTATTAGCCTAAATATGTAAACTGATTGGAAATTGTACCATTGTTTTAGGAATTTGAGCCTTATAAGTTTGCTCTTGAAAATTCAAGCCACTCAAGTTAATAGCCAAATTTGACATATGCATATCTATGAGTGCCAAGCAAAAAACTTGTTGAGAAAATTTCCTTATCATTACCTCATACTGCTGCATTTACATTGTGAATGATGTGAAATACTCATTTACAAAGCAAATCCATATGTAAATATAACAAGTGCTTGATCTTTATGATTTCATTAAAAAATTGATGTTCAACATTCATTTTATGCAATAGAGTTTGGTTGGGAATGTCCAGTATTTTTGATGGTCATACTCTCTCTATACCCATAAAAACACAAAATCTTGATATTTAATTTAAGGAAAACTTGCTGTCTGTCTAAACATTGATATGATTAATATTGATAAATAATATTGATATAATACTGAAAATATATCCATGCTCTGGTTAGTTGATGTGTCACTATAGTGACGACATTCTTCTCTTTCTTTAAATTTGGATTTACCAGTGATCATTGACATCACCGTTGGCGAAGTTGGTGGTTTGTGTTTAGATTCACTTTTAAAGGGACAGTTATTTTTGTTAATTGTTGTATTTGCAGCAATCGGTCATAGTCAATCCATTTGTAATGGCGAATGTAAATTGTAGCATTATTTTGACACTGTAAACGGCATCAACGAACCACTCTAATGCAAAAATTTCAATGCATCATTTATCACGTGACTTTCGAAAATCATGTCGGGGGCTCATGACTTTCGAGAATCATTAATAGGGGCTCATTCATTTATGCATATCAATAGCTTCAAAATAATTTGCATAAATGAGCCTTTTACTTCCCCAATTATTGATCTTCCTGCTTTATCTCGGACCATAATACTTGCCAACTCGACTTGCGTGTATATATCGCTCGTTGACATAGAACACGTGAAGGAATCTGTTGCTGTTATTGCAACGTTGCTACAAGTTTTATTTGTAGCATTATGGTAACCATAGCGATGACATTCACTAAAATTAATGACCAAATTAAAACCAAAACTATTATTACTGTTGCCACGCGGGCTATTCAGCACGTCTTTTATAAACATCACACAAAAATAGTCTCCTGAAATATACTGTTATGATAAATTATAAATGAATGTATCTATGATCATAGGCGCGTACAGGGGGCACGGGGTTAGTCGGGCGAAAATACGGCGGAACATTCTCTGTGAGTTGGGAAATATTTACGCCCCTACCCCGAAATGATAGTCCCGTACGCCTATGTCCATGAAAGCTGTATTTGATGGTGACAGTGATCTCGTTAAGCAGTTTGATTAAGATTGTCCGCATTGTATCAAAACAGCCAAAAACTCAGGCAAGGGAACTCAAAAGCTATTAAAAGGAAGCATGATTACATTCAATGTAGATGTTTACTTTGACGTCAGGTTCCATGACGTAACCGGAGGCGCAGTGGCCAGGTCCCCTGGTGAAATTCTTGTCCTTCCTAAAATAATATGTTTTAGGAAGAGCAAGGACCTGCGCAGTAGCTTTCCATGGCAGAGATTCTAGCTACTAAGTACAGAAAAATTGTCTGTATACTTTGTCTATGTCTACCTTTATGTTTACTTCATATGTCTTCCTTTATTTGTACCTTTGTGTTTTACTCTTTATCTACGTTTATGTCTACCTTTGCGTCAATCTTTGTTATTACCATTAGTCTGCCTTAATGTCTACCTTAATGTCTACCTTTCTGTCTACCTTTATATGTCTACCTTTGTGTCTACCTTTATGTTTTTCTATGTCTACCTTTATGTCTACCTTTATGTCTACCTTTGTGTCTACCTTTATGTTTACCTTTTATGTTGTCTACCTTTATGTTTACTTTATGTCTACCTTTATGTTTACCTATGTTCCTTTATGTCTACCTTTATGTCTACCTTTTGTACCTTCATGTCTACCTTTATGTCTACCTTTTGTCACTTTATTATCTACCTTTTAACCTTTATGTTCACCTTTATGTTCACCTTTATGTCTACCTTTATGTCTACCTTTGTGTCTACCTTTATGTTCACCTATGTTCACCTTCATGTTCACCTTATGTTACTTACCTTTATGTTTATGTTCCCTATATCTGCTTTTGTGTCTACCTTTATGTCTCCTTTATATCACCTTTATATGTCTACCTTTATTTCTATCTTTATGTCCACTTTTTATGTTTACCTTTCTTTTTACTTTATTTATCTTTATCTCTATGTTTACCTTCATGTCTACCTTCATGTCACCTTTTGTGTCTTTATGTTTACCTTTATGTTTTTCTTCCTGTCTACCTTTATGTTTACCTTTATGTTCTCCTTTATGTCACCTTTATTTCTACCTTTATGTCCCTTTATGTTACCTTTATGTCTCTTTCATGTGTCACTTTTATCTCACCTTATCTTCATCTTATGTCTAATCTTCACCTTTATGTCTACCTATATGTACCTTATGTTTACCTTTATGTTTTACCTTCATGTCTGCCTTTGTGTCTACCTTTATTTCACCTTTTACCTATGTTTATGTCTACCTTTGTGTCTACCTTTATTTCTACCTTTATGTCTACCTTTATGTCTACCTTTATGTCTACCTTTATCTCTACCTTTATGTCTACCTTTCATGTCTACCTTTATTTCTACCTTTATGTCTACCTTTATGTCTACCTTTATGTCTACCTCTTCAAGTTTAAATGGATAACGTATAGGACTTTTTACCATAAAAAAATTTGATTAAAAGACTAAGTTTTTTTAAGAGTGTTTTTTTGCATGGGATCCTATCTTTTTTTTCTTTGCCTTCCTCCTCCTCATCAGAGAGGAAGTTTTTTCTGAATTTATACTAAAAGTCGCAATCCATTATCGAAAAACTCAGTAATAGAAATGCCAATTTTGTAATGTTTAGCAGCCCTACTTTACAACGACTACACCTTTACAGCAGAATAATGAAATTTAATAAAGACGACATGAACGACATTTCAAGAAGACGACATGAACGACATTTCTAAAAGGTATAACAACTTTATCTTCACTACTTAGAAAGAAAATTAGTGCGTTTTCATGTTTACAAAAATTTACCAAAAATATGATTCAAGGACTAGAAGCACATAGACTTTTTCAAATGTCGTTTATGTCGTCTTTTATGAAGTAGCTATAGAAGGTTTGTTTAGCATAAGTCTGTTTATCTGTTATGAGCATATAACATTTTCAAGTGATAAAAAAATTGTGGCCACAGCCGAGCTTTCAATTTCGTGTTAATTTTTTATGGGCCTGTGTCATCATTAACTTTGTTTCTATAGCAGATAAGAAAAAGTTCTTTGCTCATTACACGAATCATTTTTGACAGAATAACACCGTACACTGGATATAGTCTTTCTGTAATTCGAGAAATATGACTGTTTTCTTACCAAAAATTTACTTCGTCATCTTCGAAACACTGTTTTATCACCAACTCTAATTTATGTGGTAACTTTTTATCTTTTATCGTAAACTTTTACAATAAGAATATTCAATCTCCATAATTAGGGGGGGGCGCAATATTCATATTTGCATGTCATAATCCGCAGAAAACAATTGATTTCAAAGAATGTTGATACGGAAGAATATGAATATATAAATCCCACCACCCTACCAATGATCGAGTCAGCAACGGCCTTGCACTGAAATCTAGGCTTTGCACAACCTGGCCTTACAATACCAGCATAATGACGATACACAAATATATGTTGGCGAATAAAAAATGGGAAATTTGAAGATTAAAAACGGATGCAAACTACCCAAAATGACCATTGTCACTACATAGCAGTTATTTTGCTGTGAAATCCATAAAATGTTCACTGAAAAAATTTCACTTTACTCGAGTCGTGCGATAAAGCTTAGAATTCACAAACCAAATCGATGGGGAGTACGACGAGGGGTACCAGGGGTCTTAAGACCTGGCGTGGCAATGTGTGATCTGTTAAACAAGAGTAAACGATTTAAGAAAAGGTGACAACTTTTACAGGGATATTAGTTCAGTTGTTTACCTACCTGACAGAAGAAACTCTTTCAATTTTTTCTGCAGCACGTGCCTTAAGTTGTGCTGTAGCTTCGGCCATTTCTCTTCCATTTCATTCAATTTCTCTCTGGCAACTTGACGTTTCTCCTAGTTTATCATCGAAGTGTTAATGCAATGAAATTTTCCTATACTTTTTAATTAGATTGAAAAAATATTTAAATGTTTACAAGCAATTTAGTATGTTTATGTCCATTTTACAGTGAATGGAAGTCGACTAATTTCAACTTCAAAAGTTGTTCTCTCGTTCAACTTTTATTGACCACAATGTTTGCTTATTTGACGTCATAAGTAATACGGAAGTCGCCCAGCCAAAAGTAATGCCTGCTGCCATGTTCAAATGTGCACTCATTGTGTGCACTACTTATGACGTCAATTTAGCAAACATGGCAGCCAGAAAATTTCACACTGGACATGTCGAAAATCGCCACTTTGGGCGGCTATTAAATCGGTCTAGAAAAACCACTTTCAACTCTGTTTCCATGAAAAAGATATTAAGAGCAAGTACTTTTGATTAAACAAATAAAACAAGTTATGAAAATTTTGCATTAGCCTTACAACTGAGAATGAGACTCGGTCTTTGACATTCAAGTAAATAAAGAAAGCAGAACTCTTAACTTACATGTCTCGTCTTCAATGATTCCTTCACTGTGTAGAACATGGGACCGAGTTCGGCTAACCAATATCCATCTACTGACGTCACACATTGCATGTATTCCTACGAAAGAGAGTAGTTTAGAATGACCTAGTACCCAGTCTACTAGATACCTGACTCCGCCGAAATCTTACAGTTACGAGAGAAACAAACCGCCATCTTGAAAGGTGCCAAACTTATGATATTATTTACAAGTAAAATCTGCTTTTCCTGAGTTGGCACTCAGTTACTGTGAGAGAGTTGATACTCAGTTACAGAGCAGATAATCTAGGTTTTGTTTTTAAAATTTTTAATAGATTTGGCTATTTAAGCTTTCTATTAACTTATTCTTGATTTTGAATTCTGCTTTTCGCACCTTTAGAAATGGCGTCCATGCCTCATCTGCACACGGTAATAAGACATCTAAGGGACTGGGTTCAAATCATTGGTATTTTAGAACCACAAAGACAAAAGACAATCGATATTCAAGGCAATCGCTCAAACAAACCTTGGAAGTCATGACCAGTTCGTGGTAGACAATATAGTCGGGCGTGAAACCCATTCCAAATAAGGCACTAGTTGGATGAAGATGACATGGCATTCCAGTGCGCATGTTCACGTACTCTCCGATCCCCTTTAATACATAGAAGATACTCATTGATCTACTTCGATCTACGACACAATTACGCAATAAGAAAGTTTGAACAAGGATCCATATTGGATACTTAAGTTGCACAACGATGAACAATGCTTAAATGTATCGTTTTGAAGTAAAACGATAATTTAGCATCATAGAAAAAGTGCCAGCGAACAGTGGCAAGCGGTTCCTACCTTTAGTCTTGCAGCTTGATGAAAGTATGATGAGCAAATGCACTTTCTCACGACGTCCCAGTCATTGCCACATGATTTCAACTCCATACGATGTTGTACCATGATATCCTTAAGCTGTCCCCGAACCTCCCGCACTTTGCGGATCGCTTTGACGTGAATGAAATGTTCCGAACACCAATGGCTGGAGTAGCTGAAGAGAGAGAGAAGAAATTCTTCACATGAGAATTCTTTACATGGATGTCATCAAATAAGTTTTTTTCAACTTTATGTTTGCTTACTTGTTCGACCGCCATTGTTGGTAGACATGGAGGTATGTGAGATGATCGCTCTCGGGAACAGAAAACTTCTCCCTTGCCGCATCACTTTCTTCCTCTCGTCCTTTGGGTCGATAGAATATTGCAGGAACTGACAGCATCGAGACTATGGTCTAAACAGAGAATCATTTCATGGACAAACTGTTACTTCGTGAGCAAACGCTGTTTTGAAATAATGTAGGATGTCATATTTGCAACACGAGAAAGAGTAAAAACTGTAAGAAGAGTACAATCTGTCGAACACTTAAGGAATAAAACATGTTTACTGTGTTTGCACAGGCTTATGTAAACCGAGGAGACCTTTGGGAGAACTCGAGAGCAGATCAGTGCAAGCCCGAGACCGAAGGTCGAGTTAAATCAATTTATCGAAATATCGCCCAACCCTAGAGTTAAGTATGTTTGGGTGTTGGGCACAGTGTATAAAGTGAATGATTTAAACACAGGGGCATCGTTACATGTTTGTAGATGTAGATCTTCCAGGTTGGTAGAGTCCTGAGAAGAACAGTTGACGTTTCGACATCCTTAGTCAACTTCACAGTCAAACTCTAACCTGAAACTACGCACAAAGACTGCACAAGTCATCTTTGGAGTCGAGTGAGGAGTAAATGTAAGCTTCGCTGTATTTGTTGTCTTGTTCAAACGTCATCGTATTGTGAACAGAGGAAATGTGTGGGTGAATCAATTGCGTATTGTTAAATGTTTATGTTATTGTGGGATTGAACGATATGAAGCAAAACCACCGTACCAACACTTCCTCGCTACACTCCATATCCACAGCAACAATCAACATCTTCGACATTGCTGGATCGAGAGGAAACTCCACCATTTGTCGACCGAGTGGTGTTAGGCTACCTGTGTTATCAAGAGCTCCAAGAATCCACAGTTGATACATAGAGTTGAGGATGTTGTCCTGTTGAACAATGAGACAGAAATTTGAGTCGGCAGTTATACGCTTACGCATGTTTTCAGGGGGGAGAGGACGACCGGTGTGGCTGCACACTACCTGTGGAGGTGGATCCATAAAATGAAACTCGAGTAGATCTTGAACTCCTAACGACTTCAGCAACAAGACAACATTTGAAAGATTTGTTCTCTGGATCTCCGGTACCGTTGATATCAATAGTTCATTTTTGTAGTTGCTCTCCGTATAAAGACGGAAGCATTGACTGTCAATGAATGAAACATGAAATCATTCAAGAATCTTTTCACGTGATCAACATTCGTCACTACTCACCCAGGTCCCGTTCTGCCTGCTCTACCCGATCTTTGATTGGCGTTCGCCTGTAAGAAAAAAGCGAGTCGTGATTCGTATAGTGGGCTTTTTTCTCAGGGCAAGAAGAATCATGGGAACGCACCTGACTGATAGGATAGACCTGGAGTGCGTCCATACCTATCTTTGGATTAAACACCTTTAACTTACAGTAACCGCAATCAATAACAAAGATGATACCATCCACTAAAAAAATAAAAACACTCGTATTTTATTTTGTAATGTTTTCACCATATGGTTAAGGGAAGACTGCCGCAAGTCCACGATCATCATTGTGCACCCCTAGTTATCCAGAATCTTTGTTTGCATTTCCTTTAACTAAAATAATATAGGTAAGTACTACGACTGTCAAAAAGCACAAAACGATTGACACTCTGAAAAAAGTAACCATTATTTATTTTTTATTTGTATGCACGCAAAGTGATGGTTTCTGACTTCCCGCAATCTGATTGGCTGCAGCAGGGGGCAGCTTTTTACGATATCTTGACCGTGGTCTAAAAGTGATATTTTTTTGCTATGTATTTGTTTACAAAGGGAAATTTAAATTTTAAAATTGATTTAAAAGCGATGTAAGTTTTGAACGAGTAAGCAAAGTGTATTCAGATGAAAGTTATCAAAGCAAGAGTGAATTTTACTATTCACACGAAGTGAATCTTGTAGCTACAAAAACAAAGCAATTTCAGTATAAAAAGCCGCATGTCAGCCATTTTACAACGCGAATTTCTTCGTTATGAAAATAAAAATTAAATATGTTATTTGCCATTTAGGACGGTACGTACACAAAAAATATCTCACTCGGTTTCTGAAGCGTTCTGAGGCCGACTTTGCGAAAATATTCTTTTCCGTACGAAACTCACAGCCGGTAAATAACATATATTTATTGAAAAGCATTAAGAATAAAAATTGTTTACTTTTTACAGTCAATCGTAATGTGTTTTACTAAGTATTATTCAATTGATAACTTTCTATTGCTCGATTATCCAATCAAAGACCAGTGCTATTATCCAATCAATGACTTCAACTACTATCAAATCAATGATTTATGCTATTATCCAATAGGCGACTTATACTATTATCTAATCAACGACTCGTCAATGTTTTATTCAATCACCAATTTGTTCTATAACCAAAAAATGAAATCATCCAATCAGTGACTTGCCTGTCAGCGAAGTTTCGGCAATATTTGTAGCCACGATACACTTTCGAACACCTTCAGGGGATTTCTGAAATATCTTCGCCTGGAGATCCGAGGGTAATTGGGAGTAGATAGGGAGAATTGCGAGTAACGGAGCATCGTCAACTTCATCCAGTCGTTCTGCGAAAAAAAGGAACTGAGCTCAGCAAAATATTCGAGTTACCAATTCAAGTATTCATTCCTATGTGTGGTCATTCATACGATGCGAGTTTACAAGTACTACACTCTGGTTAATACTTATACTAATTTACACACACACACGCACCCACAAAACCTGTTTTATAAAAAGATAGAAACACGAAGAGATTTCTTCGACTCATCCCTCCCCCCCCTCCCATTCTCAACAATCAAGCATGGTTTACTGGTCAATAACTTTATTGTCAACAGTTATTATGACTTATGATAAAAAAAAAAACATCATAAATCATCGAGTGAATTGAAGTGGGATAATTTATATGTCAATTGCCAAAAGCAAAAAGTTATACTTATGTTTAAAACATTTTCCGGTCAAACACCACGGTATTTAAAGGAAATGTTTCGACATCGTAAATAATAGTACTCCAATGGCAAGTTGCTCTTTCCCAGAAAAAAATATTGATTATAGCATTTTTTCTCATGGAGTTGAGCTTTTCTTTGGAACAACTTCAATTTGCAAGTGTCACTTAGTTTTAACGTCTACTCAAACGGAGTTTGAATGTAAGCTGGAGTATCTATATTTTAATTATAATTGTACTTATAATGAGCACATTATTTTTGTGCAAACTAATGTTCTGATGGTTTTAAATCCGTGTTTAAATAAAGTCAAATTGAAATAAAACAGAAATGGTCATCATCTCAATAGATAACGTTTACATACCTCGTATTAAAGCACAAGTAACTTCGATATCTTCCTGTCCTGGCATAAATATCAACAGGTCACCTAAGAATAATTAACAATTATTGGACGAGACTGATGATCAGCTTCACTTCAGCAGACAACATTGACCGAGTCTGAATATTTCTTGACATTATACGAAAGCTGAATTCGATAATTGTTTTATTATTCACCTCAACTAACTGAAATATCATCAAAACTGATCAATGTAAAAATTTTCCAACCTTCTCCAATTTGTCCTTGTCAAACTGTTTTTTCAAGTTCTTCTCGTTTAAATATAAAAGGTTTTGCATTTCGTTTTTAGAAATCGTGTCAAACCTCGCTATTATTTGATTTTTTTTCAAAACCGGCTTCTAATGGGGTCAATAATCGTAGATATAGAGAATTATTTGTATGTAGATGACCAATCACAGCCGACATTGTTTACATAGTGAATAATAATTAGCAATTATTAGACGAGGTTGAGCATGATACGAAGAATTATTAAGAACAAGGTCAACGTTATCTGCCGAAGCAAAGCTGAGATCTGAATAATTATTGATATACATAAGAAAACCGAATTCAGCAATACTCGTCGAAGTTAAGCCAGAGCTAAGACCATCAAATCAATCAATCAATCAATGAGAAATTGCAAGTCAATTATCAATACATTTTAAAAGAAAAATAAAAATGTCTGTTCAAAGTTTTTCTGTTATGCATTATTGGTATTTTATAAAAGAAACAAAAGATGTTTTTCGTGTTTGTACTGACTAATGCAAACCTCGGAGACGTTTGTACATAAGAGCTCTCAAGCAGATGCAACCCTCAAACTTCGGTCTCGGCCTTGCACTGATCTGCTCTCAAGTTCTCCCATAGATTTCTTCCTTTTGCATAAGCCTGTGCAAACACAGTAGAGATCTTTTATTTCTTAAACAATAATACACAGTAAATGTCTCTAACATTCAATATTCAAGCAATACAACCATTTCTCTAGGTAGCGAATTGAAAACTGTTCAACTATGTCTATGTTACATGTTTATAATCGTCATGTTAGTAGAGTCCTGAGGACTGTTGTTGTTGATGTTGACTGACGTTTCGACAAACTTAGCGGTACAACAACGACAACAAAAACAACAACAACAACAAAAAAAAGTCCTCAGGATTCTACTGACCTGGACGATCTACATCTACAAACATGTAACGATACTCCCATATTCAAACCATTTACTTCATGTCTATGTTTTTACCTTTTGAAGGTGTAAGATGTATTTGTAAAGCTTGTTTAACCGCAGCATCAACGTAATCTTCCACAACGTTTTTGCTAAAGAATATCTCGACCGGAAATGTTCGACCAGGAATCTAAAACGTCATTAACACAGTGAACGTCATTCAGCCACAAGGCGAAAATCACTCCTAATCATTACCTTATAGACAGGGGCGTTCCCGAAGAACACTGCGAATTTGTCGGAGTCCATCGTGGCCGATGTAACTATCAATTTGAGATCACGTCTTCTCCCGATAACCTTGATAAATAAACATGGAAATTATTCACCGTGGTTCGGCGCAGGGTTGGCAAAATACCCGGCATCACAAGCTGCGTTGTCGCCAGGAAATCTCTCACTAAATTACTCGCAGGAAATATATGTATTCTATTCGGTAGAAAATTTCTCAAAAATATTAGAGTAGATTTTAAATACCGGTGCATCAAAAATTAAGTTAGATTACACTGTAAATTGACTACTTTGTAAAATAAACAATTTCACTAAGGGATGTAGAGGAAACTGCTGACTGACATTTGCAAACATGTTTTTCCAACAGATATCAATGAAGAATTTTCCAGGAAATCTCAATTTTTTTAAAATTTGCTGCCCGGAAAGTAAATACTTTATCCAGGCCTGATTCTGTGAACACACCATCGTGAAACACACGGCTGTAAGAAAATAGCCATGTGATACAGACCTCCCTGAGAAGACCAAACAAGACATCTGTATTCAAAGATCTTTCATGAGCTTCGTCCATAATGACTGCACTATAACGATCCAAGTCGGACTCGTTCAACGATTCTCTCAGTAAAATACCATCCGTCATATATTTGATCATAGTCGACTATATGACAAAATGATAATAAAACAACCCTCAAGCGGAAAGTCATTCTAAGAATATACAACAAAGTATCATACTTACTTCCGCTGTACAGTCTTCAAAACGTATCGCATAACCGACTTCCTCACCAAGCTCTACCCCAACCTCCTCGCTCACTCTCTTCGCAACTGACATTGCGGCAACACGTCGAGGTTGTGTACATCCAATTATACCGTAGTTACTGTAACCATCTTCGTGAAGATACTGTTTTAAAGTGGAAGATGAATGATGGTGTGAAGATGGTTATAATGATGGATTGAACACGATGTTAATGTGTGAACAATGATGGATCACATAATGTGACCAATGATAGATCAAACATGATGTGAGAAGACTAGAAGGAATGAACTATGAGGGATCAAACATGATGTGAGCAAACTTGAAGGTATGAACTCATTATGTTGTTATGTTAACCAACCTGCGTGAGTTGAGTCGTTTTTCCAGATCCCGTTTCACCGACAATAATCACAACTTGGTTGTCACGGATAACATTCAATAACTAAAAACAAATATGACAGAAAATGGATTGTTCATCATAACTTCAAAACTTTCCATAGACATACCCTACGTATCATATGAAAACCCTCCCACGACGTAGCCTCCCGTTCGCATAGTTTCAAATTGTCCTACAACCCAACCCTACCCCGCGCATTTTACCTCTTGTCTGACGGAGAATATCGGCAAAAATTGTCTCTGTTCTTTTAATGTTTTCTGTGTAGCAAATTCACTTGTGCTTTGGCTCTTGTCCTTCATGTGATCTGCAAATCTTTGATTTTCTTTATAATCCTCCCCTCCGGCCTGATCATCCTCCTGAAACACAAAGCTTTCGTTAGTGGTCGTGACAAGAAGGCAAAAATGGATGAAATTTTCCGATCTGCTTGTTGTTAACATAATTAAATTCTAGTGACACATTACTTAAGTGTATTTTACTATATTACTAATCAAGTTCTATAATAATACCTAATCTAGTGATATATCAATAACTCATCTAGTAATACGTACGTTGATAGTTAATCTTGTTTTACATCAATGACTGACCTAGATATATAATAATTCCTATTCTAGCAATGGTAACAACTAGTCTATGCTACGTAATAACTTCTCTACGTTATTAACTAATCTAATGACACATAATAATCTATTAATACATTTATAGCTAATTTTGTGCTTTATGAAAAGCTAATCTAGAAATAGAGATACACGAATAACAATTTTGCATCAAAAACAATTTTGGTGATCTGACATGCAATGAAGGTTAGGAATACTGATGACGCGCTCGTCTCATTAACTGCTGTTCATATCAACTGTGTGTGTTAACGTGGGAGATAGGTTTGGGTTATGATTCGACAAACACTGATTCTGCAAACCTTTATAATTTTATCCTCAAAAATTAATTCCACAGCAATATCACTGTGAAAGACAGTTACGTATACTGTTCTGTCAAAAAATCATTTCCTACCAATATAATACAATCTACTTCTCACGATCAAGTGATCTCTGCTGATACAATCATACAAACCTCGTCCTTCTTTTTCTCCACCCCAAGAAGATTGCCAAGTTTGGTTCCCGCTAGTTCCCAGTCTTTATGCTGAGCCTTCTTACGCTCTTTCTCCTCCCTATACCTCCTCACGGCCAGACATCCTTTACGGCTTATGATCGCCATGTCAGACGAGGCATCCTTGAAAAAAGAAAATATTTTATCTTTTTCTCAGTTATGCAAAAAAGCCGACACTATTTTGGCAAATGGGAGTAAAAGATCTGCAACAATCACCAAACGAAATTGCAAGCAACTTTTGAAACATTCGCCACCTAAAGGTTTAACAACAGATTTTCTTTTGCACTGTCAATACCGTACTTTTCCGAATGACCAACCCAATTTCCTGAATATGTTGATTCTAAAAATGGGGGCGACTATCACAAAAATATCCCCCTCGCCACAGCAATACCCTGGTATCCCAGTCGCTGGCAACAACGCATCAGCAGTACAAGGACGATTCTCGTCTCCTTTTCATTCAAACCTTACCTTGACAGGAATAACTGGTTCAGGTTGTTTAGTAAACACTATTCTTCCATCAAGAAATGGAGGAACCATGTTATGAACAAGTAGATGAACTTTATTTTGAGTTTCTTCTTCAAAATCTTCGTCGACTTCCAAACGCTGTACCACACCACTTGTTAACATTCTGTTTGTTTCCCATTTTTCGATGTCCTGAAAAGTTAAAAAAAACGATGAAAAACAAGTTGGGATGTGAGGAGTGGATGACACAAAATGTTTTTGTTTACCTTGTTGATCTGCCGTTGCTGTGCCGACATTCGTTTGAACTGTTTCTTCGCTATGGCTTCTTCTTTCTGTGCCACATATTCATCGCTAACATTTGAAAATGGATTATGGTTTTCATCTTGTCCACTGTCCATGTCATACCATGCTCGATCCAGACGCTGAAGAGCAAAGAACAACCTGGTTAAAACATGCCCATTTACTCACATCCTTGATTTACAACAACAATATTTTTAAATCTTATAATTTATTTTAGAATCATATTGTACGCACACGATAAAATTGTATAAATTTGGAGTATCAAAGTCTCCAAGGCATGTACTAAACTACAACGCACTATCATACTAAAACATTTGTTTATTCCACTCGCTGTTCTTGATTCAGTCAAGTCCATGGCTTGTGACCGGAATATACGTAGCAAATAGTTTGGTATGATTGTATGTTATAATTTAGTACACCATCAGAGAATATACATAATATTAATCCTTAGGATTAATATTTAGTAGACGCCTTATAGATTTTGTTTCTTTCAATTCACGTATTCATGTTCTCCCATATTAACTTCTTTTGCACCCCCGCCATCAATTGTGCTGGCTGCAACAGTCACACTGACTGTGGGCCTAAAAACTTTAATACATAGCATGGCTGGAGAAAGACTTACTAAATACTAAATGTTACCAGAGTTGTACATATTTCAATTTTCAATTAATTCATTGTTTCCATATCTACTGGACTTTACACACTCAGGACTGTAATTGGCCGCAATAAAAATCTTTGAACAGTTCTCTTTTTGCGACCAGTATACGACAAATAAAGTATATACCATAAATACAAATAATGTACATACCATAAATAATCAGCTACCACATATTTATATAAACGTGATGTGTAAAAAAACAGGACCTTTAGAAAGTGATGTATTGTGATTTCACTGTCTATCATAATGCTAAGCCAGCAAGTGCGTTGAGTATCCATTACCAGCTGAAAATTTTATGTAGTACAAAATGAAGCATATTCCAAATAAAAAGTTCATGTTTAACTCAATATTTGAGAAGGAAACAAAACAATTTTTTATTTGAATAGTTATGTTTGCAACAAATTTGAAATAAAACTATTCAAATAAACAAATTGTCTTGTTGCCTTCTCAAATATTGAGTTAAACATGAACTTTTTATTCGGAGTATGCTTTATTTTGTGCATTGAGTATTGTCAGCTAACTTGCATTACGTATATGACATATCTTTGCTACAAGCCTGAAAGCTTTTATCTCGTGGGAATTTAACTTAAATTCTAAGATCAAAACGTGAATAGCAATGCACCATTTGCACCAGCATAATGATTTGACATTGAAATTTTACAATAGGTTACTTTCTGTTTCTTTCTAACAACCTGTATATCATCTGTGATTGCAAAATACATAGGCAACAAACCTTTTGTTCTTCTTCCCAATCTTTTCTCTCACTTTCTGACATTTCTTTCTTATCATGGCCATCATCTTGACGACCTAAAAGTAAGTGCCAATGATAAGGAGAAGTTCCATCACTTCTATTCAAGGTCAATTAAAATCATAACAATGAATCGTCATAACAATAATGTTCAATAGGATTTCAAAACTTTTCAAGAACCTTTTCCATAAGACAAACGTGGAGTTACACCAAAACTTTTCTTCTGGTTTGCCCAACTGTTGTATTTGTAGGTGGGAGTTAGAGCTGGTGTGTCGGAAATATTTTTTGGATGCCTAAGAGTAAAGAAGAACAATAAGTTTTTATGATGAGCCATTGATAAATATGAGTATTAAAAATGTGACTATATACCGTCTTTCACTGCGGTCTCTTCTTGAAATGTCGGATCTTGCAGGTGATGGCGTATCCCAATTTCTTCTTGAAGGTGTTGATTCCTCTTCATCTTCCCACGATGTCCGTGATGGTGTCCTTAGACCTGACATAATAACCATAGTAAAAAAGTAAGCTAGTAAATTTGCAAGCACTTCATGATGTTAATCATACCTCGATTACCATAGCTTGGTGTATATTCTCTTTCCTCCCTTGATCTCCGGCTACTTGGTGTATCTTCCCAATTATATCCATCTCTGGTTGACCTGGTGCTATCTCCTCTGCTTCTAGAGGATCTTCTCGATCCTTTATCTTCCCTACTGTCCCTGTTAGATCTTACCTTATCCCTATGATCTTCTTGATTTCTTTTACCCTTGGTATTTGCATAAACCCCTCCCCTTCGCTGCTCTCTATCCCTCTCATCACGCCTTCTTTTCTTTTCTCTATATTCATCACTAACCCCTCCTGGGTGTGAAGGAGTCTCGACCATTTTTGAACGATAATGTCTATGTTTTGCCAAGGTAGACATGCTGTTTCTTTCATCCCCATCTTCCCAAGTTTCAGATCTTAAATTCTTCCTATTTCTCTCTTCCTCTTCCTCCCTCTCTTTACGTTTTTGCTTGGCAAGTTTCTGTAAACCAAGTTGGCTACCTCCCCCAGTTGAGCTTTTTGTCGCAGACTTGTTGTATTTTTTAACAACCAGCCCTCCAGGAGCATCTGAGGATCCTTCAAGTCTGCTAACAACAGATCCATCAAAACTCATAATTCCTCCAATAAGTCCCTACCAACACGAGTTATTTGATCGATAGTAGCACCAAGTATAAGTTCGGAGCGGTTCACAACTCAAATCTAGAGGCAGGTCATTATACTTTATACATCAAGACCAGCCTATTTCTTTACGTTGAAAAACTCAAAAGAAAACGACAACTTATGTTATGCCGTAATGTTACCCTATCAAATTTATCAGATCGCGATACAACTCCAGTTTAAATAACTCTCGACTTGATATCCAAAGTAAGAAAGTATATTCCTATAGAAAAACGTATAAAAAACGTCAATAAATCGACATTTTGCTATTGTTTTGCTTCAACGTTCCATTGATCAACGACTTCACTGAACCTATATGCGATTCCTTTTCATATATGCGTTTTTCCTTGTTTTCCCAATGTTTTGATATTCCTTAGTTCGACTGAAGGTGATTTACGTTTTAAAAGTCAATACATATCTGTTAACTAATTTCGCTTTTATGCTAAAATGTATTTATTATCTAACTTGTTTCCAAATTTCAGATACTTTCCTCATATGCTGATATGTTTACTTATTAGAATTATTTTTCCACAAATGCCTTGAAATAAGGAGGTGAAAATCTATAACAATATAATAATGCCGTGTGATAGAAGATAATTTATGTAAAAGTTTCAATAAACAATATTGACAGCGCGAGAAGAAGTGAGGATTTGTTCCTTTGTTCTTCTCATTTTCTTTAAACATTCTCAAATGTCTGACAACTCGGATTCAGAATATGATAGCGAGGATGACGAAGACTACGTACCAGGTTTAGCACGAACCAATTAAAGTTTTAAATAAAGGAAATTTTGTTACAAATTTCAGCAGCGCATTTTAATTAAATGTCTATAGAGGAACCTTCTAGTGAAGAAGAAGCGGACGATGGTGATGGCTCTGCGAGCAACAAGAAACAAACAAAAAGCAAAAAGAAAAAGTCTGCGGGAAGGTATTGCATGATGCGTTAATACTGAACAACATTTGCAATGTAATAATCTTCAAACATTGTGATGTAGTCATTTCACAAATCAGTGATTTAATGAATGAAATTGAGCCTTTGTGGAAAATTTTAATACTACCTGTATTGTATTATGTAATAATATTACATCCATTTCAGTTTATATTAGAATTACTGAATGTGTTATTTCTTGCATTTTTCATCACCTTACCATTCTTCATCAACTGTGGCAATGACACTGGTGAGAAAGGCAGTAGGAACATTGATGTTTGTAGGACAAACACGTGACAAAGCACAATTCACCTTGTATCTCTGAGAAGGATAGTAAAAAACTATAACAGCATGCATTTGCTGATAAAGTTATCCTAGGAGACAATAAGTATCCTATACTCTGCAAGGTCTTAATTATTTTCTATGCTTGATGCAATCACACAATTACAGAGTAAATGACACACATGAGACAGAGGAAAATTGTGTTATTTACAATATAACTTCACAATGCTAGAGTAAAATGATTTTCTGTAGGAAAAGAAAAGGCGGAATTAAATTAGAAGATGAGGAAGTCTCTCCTGTTGAGGAAAGTGAAGATGATGATGAAATACTACCAACAAAGGACCGCTCTAGGGTTGATGGTGATTCGAAGAGAGTCGATGATCTCTGGGCTGCTTTCAAAGAAGAAACTTCCAGTGTTCGACAGGCTGGGACATCCTCCAAACTAGAGACAAAAGGAGAACAGGTTAAAAAAGACGACACAAGTACCGAGAAAATAGTTAAAGTAACTGAGATCTTTGATTTTGCTGGCGAGGAAGTAAGGTATTTTTATTGAATGAATTGAGCTTCTATATTGATATGTACGTATTTCTTAATATGACTCTGTTTTAGAGTTGAGAAATCAGTTGATGTATCATCTCCAAAAGTGACTACTGATGAAGTTGGCAATGTTGGTCAAAGTAGAAAAACACTCCTGCCGTGAGTGTAGAGTTCTGTACATGTTTTATGTTTCTTAGCAACATATATTGATCAGTTTTTTGCTTTTGTACTTCTCAATTCAGGTCGAAACGACCTTGCGGTGGACTAAGTAGTGTGCTTGGAAAGATTGGAAAGAAACCTAAAATGAGCACTTTGGTAAAACAAGTTTACTACCATAAAAACCAACTTTTACAATCTCCCTTGCAGTGTGCGAATTAACGGTGTGCAATGTGCAATTTGCACATCGTTTTAGCTAAAATGAAAACAATTGCACATCACTTTTTCAAACGATGTGCAAAAAACTAATTTATTGATTACTACCACATAAATGGAAAAAAATTTTTAAGCTTAATCTTTACTGATCTTTACTTTATAAACGAGTGCGCTGCACGAAATTAAAATCCATGTTGACAAAATGTCATCAAATTCAAAGGCGTTGTCACTTTGAGACTGGGAAGTCTGTTAACAGTCAACATACATGTTGCTTATATGCTTATGACAATAGGTGTGTAATAGATTATTAATGTCGATTTTTGCATTTACGTTGTTTTGTAAACCGTTACGTACTGTTTTTGGCATCATAGCTATTTTGAGTATTTTCAGTAAAATCAGAAAGTATTTCGATTTTGATTCTTAAAAGAAGACAAAAAAAACTTAAATAAGCTAAATTTGAAAAATAAAGGGAATTTTAATTTTCATTAAGCCTTACGTGAGAAAAAGAAGCCAAATATGGCTAAAAATATTAAGACAAACTGGCAACCTTGATTAGCCATACTTTTGCTTTTATATATTGTTTGTAATAAGACGTAAATATGTTGTTTTTATCATAAGTAAACATCAAGGATGTTACTGTTAATAATCAGAAAGCAAAAGTATATTCGGTTATTTTCTTTTCACTTTTGTCTTTCTTGCCATCTTCGTCGAAAGGTTAAAGCTACCAGCAAAGTTAATACAGTAAAAAAGTGGATGGAAAAATCAAATGCTGACTCGTTTGAGTACTAGGATGATGGCCAAGTGATGAATTTATAGCGCTGTAAAGATTGCACAAAAAAAGAGGAGAGAGTAACACGCGCAAAAATTTCTCTCATACATTTTGTAACTGGATCAGCGGTCGTAACGAAAAACACTGTCGTAATCATATGAATTTGTGCACGTTTAAAAATATTAATTTAGCAATTAGCGCTGTATAATAATTAACGTAATATCGATTTGATTATGCCTCTAAAGAAACACTTTCCCAAAAAATTGCACATCGTTTTTTCTCAACTAATTCGCACACTGCTCCCTTGTTGCCAATAAAGTGGTTATAAATAGTGAGTTATGGCATCATGTCCACTAAAGTAGAAACTTCAATCCTTTGCATATTTATATGGGTTACTCAGAGGGTTAATGCATGAACTTCACCTTATGTACCCATTCAAAGTAATGCTACCTCTGTAAAGTTCAGCATTTTGGGTGGTTTTTGAAAATGAGTTTGACTGCAAAAGATTAGACCAAACATCTTATTTAACTGAATTACTTTATTTTCTCAATCTGCATCATAAAGATGTTGAAATTTGTTTACCATAAATGAGTAGTGGCTCAAAACAGGTTAATCTCTTGTTTGGGAAACCAAATTTGGTTACATTAGCCTTGTGGTTGCTCAAAGCAGGCTTCTTTATGCAAAGTGTCCCAGAAAAAATGTTTGTAAATGACTGTTGTTAAACTCAGGTTTTAAATGACTGTTGTTAAACTCAGGTTTTAAATGACTGTTGTTAAACTCAGGTTTTAAATGACTGTTGCTAAACTCAGGTTTTAAATGACTGTTGTTAAACTCAGGTTTTAAATGACTGTTGTTAAACTCAGGTTTAAATGACTGTTGTTAAACTCAGGTGTTAAACTGTTGTTAAACTCAGGTTTTACTGTAATTGATTTACAAATCATTCCTGTTTGACAATGACCTTTTACTTCAGGAAAAATCAAAACTTGACTGGAATTCTTTTAAAAAAGATGAAGGAATCGAGGATGAATTGAAAACTATCAACAGAGATGGGTAAGTTATACTGCCTGGGGATTGAAGTTCATGAACATTTTACAAAAATTAAACCTAATTTCTTTCAGATAGTAGAATATTGCAAAAATTAAATGCCATTTTCTTTGAGATACTTGAATATTGCAAAAATCAATTTAGCTATTTTCTTCAGATACTTGAATATTGCAAAAATTAAACACTATTTTCTTTCATATACTTAAATTTTGCAAAAGTCAAACACCATTTTCTTTTGATACTTGAATATTGTAATAATCAAACACTATTTTCTTTCAAACACTTGAGGATGCAAAATGAAACATTTCCTTTCAGATACCTGGAGAAACAAGCGTTCCTCAGTAGAGTTGATCACAAGCAGTTTGAACTGGAACGTGATGTACGACAAGGAGTTAGAAAAAGATAACTGAGAGTAGCAATTGATGTCACTAAATACCTTTTAGAAAGTACCATCAATGTGGTTGATGTGATTACACAATAACAGAGACTAGCAATCGGCTCAAACCTGTATAATTGTTACAATTCGACATATGTATGTGTTATAAATTATTCCATGACAAAAATTATTTGCAATTGAGTAGGAAAATACTTATTGATTATTCTAGGACAGGCCATCCATAGTTTTATACGCCTGCTTTAGCTCGTGCAATAGTACTCGAAACTTGTCCGATGTCATAGTAAACGATACAGATTGCTCTGAAGAACTAACTGAGTTGACAGTCTCGAATCTCAAGTTAATTTCTGGTTCTTTAACCTCTTTTAACTGACTTGAGCCTAAGACGTAATCCACACGCCATTGTAAGTTTTGAAGTTTATCGAGACGAAAGCTCGTCCTCCTTAAGTAGCTTTGTAACTTGATTAAATTATCCTCGTACACTTTAAACAACGATGTGGAGTGCTCTTTTGGTAGCCCCAATTGCTGTAGTTCATTACACAACGAATCACCGTCCACTGAGTATTTTGCCGCGCTCGACAGGATGAAGGATAAAGCTGCGATTGACGCCTTCACATCGGAATGTTCAAATTTTGCATCGGCGGTAAATTTCTGAACTTTCCCGTAGTCTATTTCATTTTCACCGCACAAATTTTAACAACCTGCATCGATAACAGCTTCATTTTAACGCTACTAATTCGCGAGAGAATGCTGATCTCTGCCAATACCCAGTCTGGGCAATCCAAATCACCGCAAAAGCGAAATTTCATGGCAAAATCGGTGAAACCTTCGAATCTTCCTCGACTTTGATACGAATCACGTGCCGAACTTCTGGACCGTGAAGTATTTCATGTCAGTTTACATGAAGTATCCGCTTATCGAGACAAGCATCTGTTTTTTGTCTTTCCTACATTCTATTAATCTAATTGTTCTAATTAACGTTTTTTACGAAACCTCCATCTTTTTCATGGTTACTGTATGTGATAACAAAATTTAGTTTTCGAAGATTCATATGAAATTTTGCTGTGTTAGGTAGAATTTTAGATTGACGAAAGGAATGCCGTAATATCGCCCTCGAGGAAAATGCAGAAAACAAAATTAGCAATTTTAATTCATAAAAAATGTAAAATTCATGTCTCTTCATGTAAAGTTAATGTAAACATTAAAATGATTGTACTTGTAAAGGAAAATTAAAATTGTAAAAGTTGTGAAATTATTTGTTGTAAAATATGGCACATGCAAACCTCTTTACGAATTCTATCCAAGAGAATTTGGGTCGTTTTTATCACGTGCGCGGAATTGTATGTGTGGTACTGTTCGTTTACTGCCTTTTCTCTCACAGTCAATGGCGTTACAATAATAGCAAATACAAGAAGCTCACCGGTACGATAAATGTAATGAAACAAATGCGAAGTTATGCGAAAGAGCGTTGTAATGAAATGACAAAATCAGGCAGTTCAGGACAAGCAGCCAGTTGGCAATATAGACAAAAGAGTTTGAGGAAAGAACATGTCTCCAAACTCACAACAGAACGCGAAGTGACATTCGTACTGTTAGGGCCGACATTAAATTGTCTTCAGGGAATGATTCGTTGGTTTGTAAATCATCATCGAAATGCAAAGATCTTGATTGCATTACATCTGGGCATAGAGACTTTACATACCCTTACAAGACCGGAGCAAAGCATGCACTTTCTTGGTGGGTTTGCAAATGTGCCAGAGGCACTCAATTATGCAATTCCATTGGTTGATACACCTTATTTTATGTTAATAAACTACGAGGTGGGTTTGAGCAGGATGCCAGTAGATTTTGCAGAGCGTCTTTTGAGCAATGTGCAAGGATTTGATGTACTTGGTGGGGCAATTGTTGATGGGAAGGGTGAGTTTTCAATACCCTGTCACTGTCTTCAGATGAGTCATTGGAAATATACTGAATTCATGCAGTACAACATAAGTGACAATTTCATGCAATGTGATGCAACATCTCTGCCATTTCTGGGTCGAACAGAGATATTTAAGAAAATAAAGGCTTCCAATGTACTATTTGATACAAAACTACCATTGAAATGGCTTGAAGACTTCTTTTTTCGATACAAAAAAACCCTCAAAGTAGCTGTCCTACCTGAAGTTATAGTGCAACAAAACAGCACAAATGATTGTTTTAAACTTGAAAATTCAATACTAAGTAGATCTGAAACAATTGAAATGTTGATACCTTTTGCAAAGAAACATCAGTTATTTTACATAGAAAATAAATCCTCTATGATCGACATTTGCACAGAATCAAGATCTTTACCATGTAGCGAGCATTTTATGCTGCGTAACTGGACTCTACCAAATTGGATCGAAGCTGGCCTCACAACGTACCCCTTTATCCTGCAATCTTTAGAGAAGGCCTTACTTTTTGGTGCCAGGCGATTAGAAGAAGAAGGTTTAATGTATGTCCTAGAAGGTGGAACCTTATTGGGTTTAGTAAGACAAAGAGGTATACTACCTTGGGATCATGGTGATATAGATACGTTTGTGTACACTACTAGACGCAAGGTGATAAACATGGTGAAACACTCACTGAGAAATTATGGCTATGAATTTTGGCTTAGGCATACTGGTTTTCATACCTACGTGACTGATGATCCTAGCTCATGGAATGGCTGTATTGTTTATTTGACAAGAAGAGTAAAACCAAAAGAAGTTACATATATAAGAAACAAAGGAAAACTTTACCCTATGAAACGTGAGGTGTTTACTTTTCTGAGAAATTTTTACGGTTCATCTTTCCTTGAAACTCACACAAAGTATTCTGATCAGAGAAGTCACTGCCTGATTCCTGGTCATCATGCTTGCATGCCCGATTGCAGGTGGAACGGCTGCGGTGGTGGTGGTGGACTATGAGTAGTATGCTTTGCTGATAGAGGTGCAGATCAGAGGTGTGTGACACCCCCTATCTTTTGAGAAATTTGTTTTAAACTTTTGTTTATATCCAGTGACAACTGTGCACTGTTTCTATTCAATATTTATAAAGTTTGTTGCAAGAAATAGAACACCCTAATGCTCATCTACGGAAGGTCAATCAAAATTAACTATAATAGTAATTTAAAATTGAAAATAATATTAAAGAAAATATAGGGTAAAATACTCCCAATAGGGTCAGCTTAAGTGTGCCGATAAAACTGCTGACTCAGTCTTACCCTAGATCTCCCACTGGAACATTCCCAAATCTTTTTGCATTTTTCTCCCCCGTTTTGTTGACTTTTGTAAATAACTCTTTCCAAACCCTATGAGTGCAAAAGAGTGCGCCATTTAGTTGTGCACCTCTTCAACCTTATCATTGTTTTAAAAATTACAATCAAAATTATCAAATGACGCAGTCATGCATAATGCGCACCATTTTGGAATCACAATTCACAAGACCTTTTTCATTTTGCTTACACCACGTTTTCCCTCCGTTGTCAACAAAATGAAACCAAATGAAACTGGAAGCTCTGAAAACGTTTTCTACGGTGCACGGTGTCAAATGTGTTTGACGTATAAAAAAATTTTCTTGTATTTGAAATAATGATTAGGGTCTATAGTTGGAAATTCCGTTGCTTTCTACGTAGAACGCGTCTTTTTCTCCCATTCCTCATGTCGTTTGTATATCGGTACTGTTGTTGTTTGTTCTTGCTCAGTGGAGATCAAGAACTTATTTAAAAATTAAATTGAGTGCCATAACCGAGACTCTCATTATTTACGGACAAATGAAAGACTATTCGACGGAAGTATGCCGTGAAAGTGTAGCTGGGACCAAAAGTTTCGATCAATCAAGGATATCTGACATAAAATATGATAATTCTTCGAAAAATGTCCAGCAAGATGTAACGTTAATTTTGTAAGTTATCCATACTTCTCTTGTGCCGAAAGCGTCGTACGCCAGTTCCGAAAGAAATATCCTTTAATGAAAATAGTCTTATCCTTTCGAACCGTTAGAAATGGTAATTTCAACACGAATGCGTCCAATTATTATTCACTTTTGAAAACTGTCATGTATTTGGGTGAATTTGGGAGTTATGCTGAGGCTTTGCAAAGTTCTATAGCGGTCGTTAAGACAAAGTATTTCATGCTGGTGGACTCTGAACTTGCTGTTGATAAAATGCAGGAGAACTTTTTGGAAACCATTACTAGCTATATGGAAGGTTTCGACATTATAGGGGGATCCATTGTAGATAATAGGAACGAGTTCAATATACCTTGTTATAGCCTCAGGCTAAAAAATTGGACATTTTTCGAAAAATATGAATACAATATCACCAATGAACTTCTGCTGTGTGAGTCGACTTCTCCATACTTTGTAGGTAACACAGGCACTATTTCATCTTTTTGATGAAGAAACCTTTAAATTCTAACCTTGGTGTGCTGTGGTTACATGATTTCTTCCTGAATGCCAAAGGTGATCTGCTGATTGCCACTTTGCCAAAGGTTATTTTCAAAAAAGAATCAGCCATGTCTTGCCTTTTTTAAATTTAAGACAGTATAAAAGAAAGCAAAATGTCAATGACTATTTACCTTTTGTTAACAAGTATCATGTCTTTCATATTATCAAACATGATGGTGAACATTATTCTGTTTGCCATGGCTCTGATCCGCTGATATGCACTGAAAAATATGTTTTCCCGATGTGGAAGTTACGTCACTGGGCATACAGTGGGCTGACAGCATATCCCTTCATAATAGAGCGCTTAACAAACGCATTGCATTATGGGATCACTCAACTTGAGAAACGCAGACTATCCTATGTTTTAGAAGGCGGGACATTGTTGGGGTTCATTAAGGTACGAGCAGTGTTACCTTGGGATTCGGGTGATGTAGATACCTTTGTGCATTCCAATCGTCGACCAATCATAGACCTCGTAAAGAATATTGCATCAAAAGATCACTACGAATATCTTGTTCGTTGGAATACAGCTCACGTATATGTGACACCTCTCAAAGTTGCACGTGATGGCCTCATTGTGTATTCGGTGGTTCGGCGTCATCCCGGCAAACTGGTGAAGGTTAAAATACGCGGTAAACTGTTCTCGGCTCCACGATCCATGTTTACGTTTATCAGGGAATTCTATGGTTCGTCTTATTTGGAAAGTCGTAATCGTTTCGGTAATGAACGTGTGTCATGTGGCTACTCGGGACACCATGCATGCATGCCTGATTGCAGGTGGAATGGATGCGGCTCGGGTCGTGGTCAATTCCCAGGAATTCTCTCATGATCAATTGTAGGTGAAGATCGTAGAAGATAAAGAACTGTAACAGAGCTCCTACACGATTGGCTATTAAAATGTCGCTAAAATCGAATGGTACGGAAGTCGTACTGTGAAAAGCACGATGAGGTTGACGCTTGTAGAACGATTATTGGGATTTACAAAATTATAATAACAGAAAAACACAAAATTTCAGGACTTTCGAGCGATTTATCGCGTCGCTCATTTATTTAACCGTTTTGATGGTGTAGAATTCGTATTTTTGAAAGTACGTGCAAATGCCAGAGTATAATTTGAAACTTTATAAAAAAGAGACTGAGAGTTAATTAATTAACAAATTTTACTTTCACTTTGCTTTTGATTAATTAGTTACAATGAGGTAATGCATGACTGAATTCATGGAATTTTGGACAAACGTTATATTCAAAATGTTTAATACATTTCCGTGCGCGTAAGGTTACAAATACACCAAAATAACTTCTATGATTAATGTCTTTCTCAAGATCTCCAAATCTTTTCCGTTATCTTTTCCCATATCCATGTCGAAAAGCTCAATTCCTCTTCTGTGTCATACAGTTCTTCCTCATACACTTCTGTGTCATACAGTTCTTCCTCATACAGTTCTTCTTGAATGTTCTCGCCGTTTCTTGCTGTCAAATCCCTCTTCGTCGTCATTTTGTGCACTATCATTTTACTATCAACTCAACCCCTGCGAAGAGTTCTCTTGTAACCAAGCAATGAGTGAACTATAAACAGTAGTCCCCCCCCCCCAGAAAAAAGAGGGCAATAAGATATGATTTTGTTTTGAAACAATCACAGCAATGAAAGGTTATTTGCAGTTTTGACTCCATACCAATCCGATTTCACGAAACGCTTAATCGCAACATACATAAAAACTGCGTGGTAATTTTACGGTTAATCATGAATGTAGTGTAAAATTGACATCTACTGTCTACACATAGCATAAAGTAGGCAGCAGGTGGAAAAAAGCATGTTGCTCTACAAAGTCCGTCTTGAGTTGTAAGTTCATAACTTGAGAGGTTAAAAACGAGTAACTGAGTTTGATTAACGTCGGCATGAATTTCCTTTACACATGCGAAAGATCTACTTATAAGTTCTTTACTATAAGTCTGTTTGGGCTACTAAAGAATCACGTCGAGAAATCGTTCACAATTCCTCATTAGTTTATTGATTTGTCATTAACTCTACCTTCTAAGAGAGAAGCAATTCTGGTAGTGGTAATGTTTCTTGCATGTTGTATGCATTCACGCCCTCCCCATAAACATACACATTTTTATTGGCATTCCGACGCCCCGGCGTAATAAGACCGGATAAAGTCACCATACTGTAAATTCTTTTCATAATTACTCATTGCATATATTGGTAAAGGTGAACTGTGACAGTCAAATACAGACTGTGACTTCGAAACTTTCACGACTGTCATGTTTTTAAGAACTGTATTAGGGAAAATTAATCGGAAACGAAATATAATCTTTATTTTGAAGAGAGCACGGCGAAAACATTTTTGATCACTTTCACAACGTCGAAAACGGTCAGGGTTCACGTTCTTGTCCATCAGGAATGAATAGTTTAGTTTGTAATTACTCCGTAAAGATGGAAATTAAGTGACTTTGCTGTAACTAAACCACCTTACTACTTTATTGAATATCAGTGAATAACACAAATAATTCCTACGTTTTTATGTTCTTTATTTTGCTTTGACATTACATTATTTTTTCAGACAAAATTAATAGATTTAGGCAAATTTTCATTGTTCGCCCCTCCCAAATTTTAAGGGTATACTAACAACGGCCCTGGTGTTGTGCCTAAATTATTCACAAACACAAGGGCAACTACTTCATTAAACTGCACAGCATATGAATAACAACAGTAACTCCCCCTCTGATATAATGCACGTTTTCTTCGCGACCGACGTTTGTTAACTTTCTTTTGGCTTGTTGATAATTGAAACGTAAAAAAATTTTATTGTAGTCTAGGACCTGTATAAAAGTTTGTATTCATTTCATTTACCGGAAGTTATCTCAACTGTTTTTGGGTAAAATGACCATGATAAACAACATGGCATACGTGCCATTTGCTCAATCCTGGACGAAAGTCCTGAAACTGAGACCCCTTGAAATGGCAGTGTCGACATAGCTCTAACTTCCAGGAAAAAATAGTAATAACAATTCTGTAATGTTTAAGGTGTTTAGAAGGTTCACTTTTAGGGGTGGTCATGGGAGGAAAAGTTTACATAAGTAATATTTTGCTGAGAAAATTACCATACACCAGCTATGGTCAAATACTAATTTTGCATAAATTAACAAATATTAATTTATGCAAAATTAGTATTAACAAATATTCTTAGCAGAGATTGAATTTTCATATTTTCAAAGAAAAAATCATAAAGGATGAAAAACCACACTCAACTCACGCTAATTATTCGTTATTTCAAGCATTTGACATTGTTTTTGCTGGCATACGACAGAATATATTTCGGATACCTAACTCCTTAACACGCTTTCAGCCATATTTTGCCGTCTTGTGTGCTTTTTTATCGCCGAATCTTGAAAGTATTCGGCAAATCTTGTACATTTTCTTGATCACTGATGACAAAAATAAGATTTCAACCCCAGTTTTGTCAAGTTTGGATGCAATGCAGTGTCTTTTATTTTAGATATCTCGTACACGGACATTCTGTTAATATCGGCGCCATTGCAAAGTGTCGTTGCTTTTCTGCTCGATATGTTCGGCTTCATAGACTTCATAAGTATCTTGATTGCAGTATGGTAACGAAATACATTGTATTTTAGTACCAATCGAAAAAATGAAAAGATTAGCTTTATCCGTAATGGAAAAACCTCCCATAACACATTTAGGATCTAAATTCAAAACAAAGATTAAAAATTAACATGCAGATCACGTGCGATCTTCGTGAAATTCTGTCGGACACCTCTTGACGGGGGTAATGTTTTTGCATTGATTCAAGATTTCTTAAATAAACATTAAGAAGCGTTTTCTTTCCTCTTCACCTTACGGCTGACCAATGTTCTACGTTATTATAGGCAACTCGATTCTTACGAAATATGCAATTCAAAAACAAAATCCAATTGTATCACACAAGAGAAATAAAGTTTTGAAAAAGACATCACCCCCCGTCAAGTGACACGCGACAGAACTCACGAAGCTCACGCGTCATGTACATGTTATTTTTGGAGCAGTGTTTTGAATTAAGATCCTACATATCGTAATGGGAGGTTTTTCCTTTACGGATAAAGCTAATCTTTTCATTTTTTCGATTGGTACTAAAATACAAAGTATTTCGTTACGATACTGCAATCAAGATACTTATGAAGTCTATGAAGCGGAACTTATCGAGCAGAAAAGCAACGACACTTTGCAATGGCGCCGATATTAACAGAATGTCCGTGTACGAGATATCTAAAATAAAAGGCACTGCATTGCATCCAAACTTGACTAAACTGGGGTTAAAATCTTATTTTTGTCATCAATGATCAAGAAAATGTACAAAATTTGCCGAATACGTTCAAGATTCGGCACACAAGACGGCAAAATATGTCTGAAAGTGGGTTAAAGAGTTAGGTATGCGAAATATATTCTATCGTATGCCAGCAAAAACAATGTCAAATGCTTGAAATAACGAATAAATAGAGTGAGTTGAGTGTGGTTTTTCATCCTAAATGATTTTTTCTTTGAAAATATGAAAATTCAATCTCTGCCAAGAATATTTGTTAATTTATGCAAAATTGGCATTTGACCATAGCTGGTGTATGGTAATTTTCTCAGTAAATATTAAACTTATGTAAATTTTTCCTCCCATGACCACCCCTGAAAGTGAACCTTCTAAACACCTTAAAATCACAGAATTGTTATTGCTATTTTTTCCTGGAAGTTAGAGCTATGTCAACACTGCCGTTTTAGGGGTCTCAATTTCAGGACTTTCGTCCAGGATTGAGCAAATGGCATGTATGCCATGTTGTTCATCATGGTCATTTTACCCAATAACAGTTGAGATAACTTCCGGTAAATGAAATGCATACAAACTCTTACGCATACAGGTCCTAGACTATTGTCATTTTTTGACAGATTTTCTGCTTTAAAATTGCATATACTATCTTTTTACAAAAGAACTGGATTGACCTGCCTGGCTTCCCGTCATCTGGTTTCACTCTCCCCCTGACTTTTCGTTCATGCTGGTTGCAGTTATCATGATCAATCCAACATGGCGGCGTCGTCACGGCAAAAGAGAAATGAGATTTTTTGCAGTTTTTGCCCATGTATTATCAGGGAGTAAGCTCAGTTCATTTAGGAGGAGGGTTCAGTTAGACTACAACGAGATGGCGACGAAGATTATTCTGAAGTAGCATCCCAACATTCAAAAGATAATCACTAAATGCAACAACTTCTTGCTGTCTTTACGAACCTTTTGCTGTTTTTGAATCGACAGGTTTGCAGAGCATATTGTGTATTGGTTTCGCCAGTAGTTTGATGGCTTTTTGGTTGATGAAAACATACTTTAATATCAGTGGAAGTGATCAGAGAAGTGATGGCTTTATATTTATCAAACGCCATGACGTCGCGACATTCATAAGTATCCTGAATATTTTTGAAGAATTTACTCCTGAAATTATTACCCATACATTGTGAAGAAAACATGGCGGCGTCAACGAGGCCACAAGTCGAAGCCATATTTTTATCTTTTTCTTTTTACAGCATTTTCCATGTGCTCGTCGTTTTTACATATTTTTCTCTCCTGTAAGCAACGTTTCACATTATCACCTGAAACGCTCCGTAAAGATTTACGGACCACCAACCATTGACCAATACTCACCATCGAACATAGAAACCGTCAGCTAGTCTTGAAAGGTGGTCTTTGTGTCTGCAACCTTATGACGTCATTATACGCTATCGCCAGGGACCTGAAAAGTCAGCAGATTTTCTGTCGAAATAGCCGAAGAATTTCGATCTTGAAAATTATATGAAATTTCAAACATGAAAAATAAACACTTCAAAATATCAAGCTTTTAAAAAAGTAAAAGACAAGTTCTGTATTTTACCTAAAGTAAACGGAATCGTAAAATCACATGGGGATAGTTAAAACGAAAGCCCTTTTACGTGAGAAAGGTTGGTTCCTACTAATCAGCCAAATATTGGTATCGATATTTCGAAGCATCAGCCTGGTTTGGTCTTCTTCAGTTTGAGGTAATGACTTAAAGTTCGTTGGCCATTCTATGGCCCTTGCTGTAGTTGGTCCAAGATTGTTATCGTCAAATGACTCAGATCATGACATGCTCGTTTTCCATCCTTTTTCTCCAGGAATTATGCCTTTAAGATAAATTAAACTGTATAAATTGTTCTAGCAATTGTGGTATGTGTCCTACCTTTGGTTATCTATCTTAACACAGTTGATGTACTGAAATTCCGAAGGATTAATTGATTCAAGATTTTATATATTTTCCAAACGCACAGCATAGGTTTCACCTGGACTAATCAACGAAAGCACTGACTAACTATGCGCATCTCATTCACTGTACCGTTCACTGTTTCGTACTGACGTTGACTGATGACAAGATAGAATCTTGTCTTGCCAAAATAACGACGCCAAAAAGTGGAAGAGACCCATTACAGATGTCTGAATTACCGCAAGCACTGTGGACTAAGCTTATAGACTATGGCTTCGTGCATATACTGGTAGTAATGAGTATCTATTGGTCTTCATCGATGACTATTCTAGATTCTTAATCGTGGAAATATAACGATCGACGTTTTCGAACGCCTTTATACCCTGCCTAGATAAAATATTTTCCAAACATGGAATACTAAAAATAATGACAACGGTTCTTCATTTAATAGTCAGGAATTCAACGATTTTGCAAAACATTTGGGTTTCGTAAATAGAAAAGTCACCCTTTACAGGCCCCTTGCAAATGGTGAATGGGCTTTTCTGCGTACTTTGAAGAAAGTTATAAAGACAGTTGGGATGGAAAATAAAGTTTAGAAGCAAGAAATATTCAAGTTCTTACGTAACTATCAAGCCACACCTCAAGCATTGGTCTAACTATTTATCAAACGCACTTCTCTAATAAGTATCCTTAATCTTTTTGAAGAATTTACTCCTGAAATTATCACCCATACATTCTGAAGAAAACATGGCTGTTGCATCGATGCCACAATTTAAAGCCATATTTTTTATCTATTTTAACAACATTTTCATTGTGCTCGTCGTTTGTAATAAAGTAAATGGTTTGAACCCGGAAGTATCGTTACTTGTTTGTAAATGTAGATCGTCCAGGTTGGTATAGTCCTGAGAAGGACTGTTTTTGTTGTTGTTGACTGACGTTTCGACAACCTTAACGGTAGTCATCTTCGGAGTCAAAAAAAAATGATTTACGTAAAAATTCTTACGGAACTATCGAACCACACGCATCGACCAAAACCCCACCACTCACCCACTGTCCAACTGTCCAATGAAAATCCGTCCGCCCCAAATAAAGATAGAGTCAAACTGAAGGAAGACGTCATGAGGAAAAATGATGAGAAGCCCAAACATGCTAATTTGAAATCTAACGTTAAACCTTTACAATTTTAAAAAAGGGGATGCAGTCCTTTTGAAAACAATGTCAAAAGCAAAACAGTTCCACCGTATGAACCATATATATTCAGAATTGTGCAAAAAAAAAGATCAACGATTATTGCAGAACAAGACTCTAAATCCGTCACAGTGACCGCGAAATTCATCCTCTTTTAAGCAAGTCGTGGAACAAGAAAACGATGAAATGGAATGTCCAGAGTTTGGCGAATCTGAAAAATTCCAAGCAAATCCTAATGTCTCTGGAGGTGGTGTCCCACAGGATCCTGGTGCTGCAATCCTGACAAAAAACCCTTCGGTGAGAACATCAACGCCTATGTATCTAAGAAGAGTAAGAAAATAACCAGATTAATGTCAAAGTGAAACTTACAGATGACACAAAAAAATTATAGCTAATGGTAGTTATTAATAAGAAACATTTAGAAATCAAACTTAGTAGGGAATAGGAAGAGATTTAATTTGCATGCTACGTCAAATAGAAACTATTGGGATAACTATTTTGACATTGAAACGTGTACTATATTATTATTATTGTTATTATTATTTAACTAAAATTTTAACTCCAAGTGAGGGAGAGATGTAATATTTTGAATAATTTAAACATGTTGTTTGGGATATTTCGTAAAGGGAGGATTCAGTTCGACTGTAACGTGTGTGAACATCACAAGGACCACTTCGCTGTTAATCAGATTAATGGTGTCAGTGACTAGCCTCAAGGTAGTTATGTTTCGATGGAAGTCTTTATGACAAACATTTGAACATGCCAATAGTGAGTGAAAAAAGGGGTATGATATGTAAAATTAGAGGAGAATGAAACACTTGTAACATGGCGATTGTCTTTGAATGTGATAGGAAAAATATAATCAAACTCTACAATTCCATTGTGCTTGAATTCAGTGAAGTGTTGGGAGTAACTTGGGCGGAGATCCCCAACATTGGCTGCTGTGAGCCAGCTCACTATTCCTGTAAGTCAAAAAATTTAATCGACTGGGAGGAAACGAGGTAAAAAGCTCATAAAAACTAAAGCAAGTGGGACAAAATAAAGTCACACCAAGATTTATCCCTTTATTCAAAAGGTAAGTATTACTTTATGTGAAAGTAAAAGATACCTGTCACAGTCATATACAGCCTGTGAATCCGACATTTTCATGAATTCACGTCTTTTGTGTCTAAGCACTATATGATTTTCAGAACATGCAAAGATAAATAATCTATGTTTGTAAGAGTAGCAACGTAGATTGTTCAAGTTAGTTAAGTCCTGAGAAGGACTGTTGGTGTTGATGTTGACTGAAGTTGCGACAACCTTAGGGGTACATATCTTCACCAATACGTAACGATACTTACGGGAACCAATTATCACTAAATTGATACAGCATTTAACTATATCACAGTATAAGGATTATACAGTAGGTCAATTTTGTCTAAAACTGGTTGCTGTATATTCAATCGGGTTACTGGCTGTCGTTAGACATTTCATCATTCCTATTGGTCAAAAAAGGCAATTGACTGGCTGCCGCAGCGTCACTGTGGTAACCGCATGCATAATAAGATATGCGTGGCACAAAAAAATTTAATGGTGTGGCTCCACCGTACATTACTATACTGTGGTTATGTGTTTTCTTTGTGTATGTTCTATGATGCGTAAACATTTTTAAGCTCATCTTCATGAGAACGAATTGGGACATTTTATCTTTTTGTTTGGTAAGCTTTGCTTAGTTCATCATGTGACGAATTTCCCAGTTTTCAAACAAAATTTGCCCCGCAACTAGTAATAGTCTCCATTTTGAACATAATCATGTCAACCCATGAAAGTTTGTCAAAAATGCGTCAAAATGAATTAATATTCCCCAAAACGCCGCGATTTCCATTTTCAAAAGTCAAAATCTCAGCTTTTGGTAGATAGATCAACAAAGAATGCAGGTGTGAAAACGAAGGCAAATTTTGATCAAGTAAAATAGTTTTGTTATGACAAAGGCAATTTGAATTGAAAATTAATTTGCTATAATTTATTTTGACTAATGCTTACCACCACTGTTTGGCGTCAATACAAAGACAAGTTGACTTTTGGCACCTCCAATATTTCTACGATTTAAAAAAACAGAAGTTAAAAGCACACACATTTTCAAAATCTGCTTCCTCTAAAATGCGGTTCTTGTTCAAGTCTGACGTCAGCTCCATCTTGTTAAACAAGAAACGGCGTCAGGTCTGAGTTATCTTTACTTATTTCTTATTAAAAAATTGAATCCCCCCTGAGTCTGGGGTCTGGGTTCCTCCTACGTGCCTGATTACGTCCCAAGTCTTAAATTTCGAAATATATAATTCATAATTTTATTGCCCAGGAAACAATTTGGAATTAATGTGGCGATTAAAGCCTGGGCCACACTATCGTCTATATTGACGAAAACGAAAACGAAACGAAAATTCGTGCACGAAATGCATGCCAGACACGACGAAAAATTTCAAGCATGTTTGCAAAGCCAAAACATTATTGGCCAATAAGCAAGAGGCATTTTTGACGGATTAGAAACAATGGCGATCTCTAAAAGAGAAAGATTACTTCTTCTTAAGAAAAAGTTACTGCTAAAATGTTTAAAAAGTAATGGAAATGAATGATTTGATATAAAAAGTTTGTCGGCGGACTATCAATAATACTCACTATCCCACGCCAAGTCCGTAATTTTATTAAATTCATCTAAAACATCTTGCCAGTGATTTCTTTTCTTGTTCCTCGAGTCCTTATAATCCGGGTGACTTTTATCATACAAAATTGGTTTTCTCGCATCAGATTTATCAAAACCTCTTGCCACTCCGCCATGTTTGAGAACAAAGTCTGATATTATCAAGATATTTTTAGCCAATAGTATGCGTTTTCGTTGACGAAAAAGGTCAAAAGTTCAACCCTTCTAATATGAACGAAAACGAAATTTTCGTCGAGTTTTCGTTCAAAATTTTCGTTGCGGAAGTTTTCGTTCTAATTTTCGTCGATATGGACGATAGTGTGGCCTAGGCTTTAGGACATCTTCCGGAAAACCGTATAAATCTTCCGGCAAACGCAGTATAATTTCAAGAAAGTGTGTCTCAGCTTCGAAACTGCTCTAGTTCAAACGTTTGTGAAGCTATTACATATTTTGCTAGCATTGCTCCATTTTTGACATTTATTTGTTTTGCGGCATTCTTTCACACATTAAGCATATGTTTGTTACGTGTGCCTCACCTGTGGTTTTGTACATCATACGGGTGTTTTTGTCAATTTCTATTATATACATGCTTAATAACACTCATTTCAACGTCATGTAGAAAAACTCACAATCTCACGCTGATCTGAAGCAAGCTCATTCTAAATTATTCAAACCCAACATAATCCATTTATTTTTTATGAAAAAGAGGGAAACGAGACAGAATGCATCGCAAAATATGTCTATTTTCAAACAAAGCCCGCAAATTGCCGATTTCCTCCAGCGGAATCTCTTTCAATGCAAAAACTGTCAATACTTGGAAAGGCTAACGCTTTGCGCATAAGTATACCTCACGTCACGTTTCGCTGTGAACTTATTATTTTTTAGACTTATGTCATTTGATGTGGGAAACAAAGAGGAGAAGTTGGTTTATAAAGAACAAGTTTATAAAACTTTCGTTTTAAATAAAATACATGCAAAATTATAGAACTTGTGGTACATGATGGCAATTTGTATTCGTTAGCCAGACGATGCTTTTTCAAATTATATACTGTGGCACAAATAAGGATAACATGATTCTCATAAACATTTGAACCAGTTATAAAGAATTTCTCTCGCCCACGTGTAGAAGCAATTGACAATGTTTTGTTACATCGCCTTCGTTGACCTTGCATTGTTTGCCTATTATCGCGATGCAACTACACGTAGTATCTCCGTAATCTATTAAATATTTGTCATTGCAATGAACTGGAAAACAGTATTTGTAATTCACCGTGTTGATTCGATAAAAATGTGTGAAATCTTACCTAATCTTCAATGTAATGCTTGTTGTTTGTTATTAAATTTCGAAGCATCCTTTCCATAAGTGGCTTGTACCTTAATATATGGATAAATTGTTTTCATTGCTATTGTTAAACACCTCTTTCGCACCTTTGGCACACCTTCAACACGCGAAAAGCAACTGTAGTGGATTTTATTCAGAATAACACAAAATTTCAATCTCCGTGTACTTGTTAATAGATAGATAAGGCGATAATATGTCAATATAGATAAAAAGGTCATATCCATTTACAATATCCTATATTTCTTTATCATACTTTTTCCATATGATGTCATCTCAAGTGTGAATACAGTGATTCATGTGATGATGAGTATGTTTTGTAAATTGCGTCTTTTTAAATTAACCATTGCTCTACATTGAAATAACATACATGTAGCAAACTTTGTTCACGTAAAAGGTTTATGAATGCTCTGTTTTACAAACCAATAAAAAACGCTTGAATCTCTTGAAACTCTGATTTAAAATGTACAAATTTTTGATAAAGTTCTTCCATTGTACTTTTCTTTCCTCACCATGAAATTGCTCGTCTTGTAGACCGTTCCTTTCCACGATGGTACGCTTTCCAACTATAACTTCTAAACTTTCTTCCCCTGTCTTTCTCGAGATAACCGCCGTATAAAGCTCGATCAAAATGTACTTGTGATAGCGGGAGATAATACGGTGACTTAAAGTCGTCTTTACATCTCTCCTCCACTTCTTTTATGTCTGCCAAACAAGGCGAGTACGCTCTGTCTTTGAAGATTTTGGTTATGGGTTTAGTTCTGCTCGTCGTAGTCGGTGGTTTTTTCTCCAGGTTGTAAACGTTCTGTTCTTCAACTTCTGCTTTGTGATGATAGAGCTCTTCGTAGTCACAAATTTTCTCTAACGATTCGCAGTCGGACATCAAAAGTGGCAAATCTTCTTTCGAAGGAGCATCGGTAGAAGGAGAACGAGTTTCCGGCTTCATTTATCCTCCGTGTGACAGCGATATCCACCTCGATCGTCTTGGCTTTCACTAAATTTAACAGGGCATATTTAATTACAAGCTCGTCGCATTCCCGTGGGGGTGTAATCATAGCTAAAATACTTATGATAATCACACATGTTGAACAAGACAAACTCTCTCTTATGATCAACATGATCTTGGAGAATTTTTTTCTTCTGATAAAAAGAAAGTTTGTTGCCCTCCAACGTTATTCGATACTATTTGGTTTGTACACTTGCAATGGAAACGAGTCAGTGACCATCGTCCAGCTGCATTTAGATTGTTTCGCTAGTTGATAAACTCGACTTTTTAATTGACACAGTTGGCACCATGTTTGCACGTAGCAAATTATAAGTGTTAATATGTTACATTTTTCCGATCATTACTCCTGAGCTAATCGATAATAATTGCTATGTGATGACCTTGTGAAATATAAACGTATTAATTGCCTTTACTTGGGTCATTGAAACCATTTTAATTTAGAATTCTATTTCAAGCGTATATTATTTCATACTACCGGAATTATGCTTTTATAGAATTAAGTTGGGCGAAATTCTCCTCGTCCTAGTGATGTTTTCCTCGCAGAATTTTGGCTTTGTGCCACTCAACTGCTTCAGCACGGGTCCGATGAGCCTAGTAGTTTGGTCGAGCGTGATTGCATTTCTAGTCGTTTCATGACTTCTCAGAAACCACGTGACCTAATGACAACATACGTACATACATACATACCTGATTTATATTTGTTTGCTCCAGTTAATCTCTACGCAAGCCGTAAGGCACTTGACGAGTTAGTGTAGTTATCAAGGCATATTTGCCTTTCTGATTTTATTATTGGCATATTTTATCAAATATTTTATTGGAAGTGAGGTGCGGGCCATTTTTATCAGCTTCAAACGATAACTTTCTGTCTTCGCTTGATTATTTTTGTGCCATTATGCGCCTGTCACATCCTTCCGTACCTATCTAAAACAACATAGTCATCGTGCTCTCTTGCATCAGTTCGTTTGCCGTTTTATATGTAAACAAGAAGTACATTTTTATCCTACGCATCAACCTTCAAGATTGATGTTTAAAAAAACACACTGTTTTATCTCGCGACGAATAAAAGTGTGTTCAAGACAGCTAATATAAAAAAATATTCATCTGTTGAATGTTGTTTATCTTTGTTTTTGTATTGTTGCACTGATTCAATCTCGTTGTCATTATTGGAATTCAGAAGTTTAATTATATTCTTTAGCAACGCATGATGATTTTGATAAATAAAAAACAACACGCAAGACCTGTTGTATCATTATTTTCATTGGTAAGCTAGCAACTTAGAGCTGCTCATAAAATCGCTTCGTTTCGTTTGTGATTTCCGTGCCACAAGTTGGCGCCATTTTAGTGCAATAATTAAAAAAACAAGCAGGTTTGCGATTACTCCTCGTGCGAGGTGGCATGACAATATGACGTCAATGGTACGTCTTTCGTTTGTTTTTTCCGGCAACTACGTCTTCCAGCCATGCTGTGATTGTTCTTTGCAATTGACAAAAAATAATTGTTCTAAATTAAAAGTTGTACAACCCGCTTGTTTTTGTCAAATTCGTCACTAAAGCGTGGTCTTCATCGGATGCGAACAATAATTGCTACATTTTGCGTGTTTGTGTACATGTATCTTTTTGTTATTGCAAACGCCGTTCAATCTCGAGGTTGTAATATTGGAGCGTCAAACATCAGAAAAAATAACGTCTGTTTCTATGACTTTTGTAATTAATATTTGATAATAATATTGGTTTTATTCGGAGGCATTCAGTTGAAGAAATTTGGCAAAGTTCCCGTCTTCTAATGTGTTTTGCGATGGAGGAAAACATAATTGCGTGTTAAAAAGCTATGCCTCTTATCAATTAAAAGTTTTCTGTTGACACCCCAATACCTTGATTTTTATTTCCCTCGACATCCTGACAAAGCAGTTTTCTTCACGCTTCTAGTTTAGTTGTGATTTTCGGCCATTTATCATGATTATTAATCTGGTCTTAGTACTTGAACTAGACATTCAATGGTATTATTGGTTTATACAAAGGAATTTAGTTAAAAATTTGCCAAATTTCCTTTCTTCTAATGCGTTTCACAATATCTCTGCCTCTTTATCAATTAAATATTTTCTGTTGACAGCTTCAACACCTTATTTCTATTTCCCCTGATGTCCTGTCGTGGCAGCTGTGTCCACCAATATTGTAATTTTACTATCATTTTTGGCCATTTTTTTTCATGATTATTAATCAGGTGTTAGAACTATTGATATTCAATATTAATGATGGTTTATACAGAGGCATCCAGTCAGAGAGTTGGCAAAATTCCCAGCTTCCAGTGGCTTTGCAATGGGAAAAAAACAAGACTAATTGTTAAAAATCTCAGTCTTTTGTCTATTCAATTTTCTTTTTTCCCTTACTCTGATTTTTATTTCCACCGAAGTACTGACATGGCAGTTTTTCCTGCTATACTAGTTTTACTGTCATTTTTGGCCATTTATCTTGAATGTTATCTGGTCTTAAAATTTTGAATATTCAATAGTAATATTGGCTTACACAGAGGCAATCAGTTGAAGAGTTGGCAAAATTCCCAGCTAGTGCTAAACTTCTGATGGATTTTGCCAAAGGACGAAAACATAGCTAATTGCGTGTTAAAACGTCTCTGCCCCTTATCTATTCAATTTTTTCTGTCGACAGTTCGACACTCCAATACCCTGATTTCTACGTTCCCCGACGTCCTGACAAGGCAGCTCTCCTACCCTTCTAGTGTGAATGTCATTTTAGCCCATGTATCTGGACCATCAATCTGCACTAAGGACTTGCGAAATCGTTTCGCAGCTGCCGCTTGTATATTCAAGACAACTTGAACAATCCTAATAAAACTATAATTATTCCAGCGACGTTTTTCAGATGCATGTGCGTCACGATGTACAGGCAATTTTGCAAAACACATGGCTCGGATTGCTTCACAACAATTAGTTTGAAGGAATAATTGATTTCATTTTCAAAACCATCTATTCATTCGAGTTTTTTGAAAATTCAATATTAGTTGCAATTTTTCGACTCGATTATTGAAAAGTACATTTTTGCAAATTTCGTATCTATTCATGTAAATGGCGTGCTCATAAATTTGCGAAAACGATATATCACTGTAGCAACAATGTTGTGGCAACGGATTTCTTACAACGAAGTCCAGGCCGGATTAAAAGTTGATTGTCAACAACATGGGTTGGCGAATGTATCTTCTTGTCCTTTTTTTAAAACAAAAATCTACCACAAAAACGTCAAATCCGGAATTATCATCGGTGTAAATCAATCTCATTTGTTTATTCATCCAATAATATGTCGTCTTAAAGCTAATTTGCGCAATTGTTCTGGTGGCTTCTAGAATGTTCATTGGTCAGACACTCGCATGACGTACGAATTGCGTCACCAGCCACTTAAGTAATCAATGTTGACACACGATAACCCAAGTCAGAATTAAACAAAAAGCCATTTGAAATAGTTTACAAATTCAATTCAGAAGTCAGATAGGACCGTTGAGGCTCGATGATAAAATGTGCAAGTTTAGGACACTGAACGACGCTCCGGTAACATTAAGGCAATGGGAGCAGGCCGAAAACGTTTACGATTACGAGTACAATTTCGAAAAGAACGCGAGCGAAGAAGAGGTCGAGGCTATGCATAATCACGAATCGGTCGAAAGCCCCATGCCGTATCGTAAGAAGAAAGCGATTACTAAGATATTCCGTAGAAGTTCATACTTGCCAAGCCTCGAAGATATCGAAGAAGGTGTTGAAGAATGCGAAAAACACGGGGATGCATTAGCTACTTCGGTTGGAAACTCTGAAGACGAATATGATTTGTCGCTGTCTGCTATTCACCAGGAGCGAGCATTTCGATACTGCGCTCGCCCGACCTTTGATTCTTCTCCACATTCCAGAAACCATAGACACCGGCGACATCGTAAAAGAACTCCAGAAGGCGATACCGAGCATCATAGAAGGCGAAGGCGCCATGTAAAAAGTGATGCCATCGGCGGTTGATCCTCGTCGTTGTGTAGGCCATTATTAATTTGTTAAAATCGTGATTTATGGCACGCATTTAAAGAATTGTCGATAACGCTGTGAACAGACATTAAAGGCAGTAGCAGCTACTAAATTGTTCTTTGTTTTAATACAACATTTCCAAAATGTACTTTTGCCGTTGAACTTTATTTCATAAACATACTATAACATCTACCGTGATTCATTAAAGGGAACTGAATTCGTCATTCGCGACATGTAATTCATCATATCGCATACTGTTGTTGTCATTGCTGTATTTTTAGTTATTTCCTAGACAAACTGTTGGTTATCGCTATTCTTTACGTAGTTTTAGTGGGTTCAAATTCTGGGTTTATTTTCGAAGAGATGCACAAATATGATTTATGTTAATTAAAAAAACTTTAAATTTAGGTGTTGTTTCCGGTCGTCAGAAAATTTTACCACGCTATTCCCTGATATTACCCAGTTCTACATGCAAGACACGATAGATACTGCGTTTGTTTTCCTTGGCAATCTCGCTATCTCTAAAAACAAAGTGGAATTGCATCGATACGAACCTTACGTAACATCTCTCAAGACTTTGAATGTCCGATATAGTCTTTGTAACGTAACACCACTGCTTATATTTCAGGTTTTTCTGGTTTTCATAATTCCCTGTTCCAGCCCTGAATTACTGTTATCTGTAGCATGCGGGAGAACTATGAACCAAAACTGTCTAAAACCACTTCATTTCTTTAAATGGAAACAATCAGAATGATATGTCGCCATAAAAGCTTGATTGTAGACTATGGCATGGGAAATGTTTATTAATTAATTTTCGACCTGTGTAATGTTTTGGAGAGGAAAAGCTTTAGTTTTGTATGGCTATCTGATTTAACTGACCATAATCCATGTGGTCATGTGTCTTTCCTGTTGCCGTCTCTATCTTTTCCAATGATCTTTTGTGTTGTAAACAAAATAATTGACCAATCAGAAGAAGGTGATGAATTGCACACGTGACATTGTTTTCGTGATGTTTATTTCATAAAGAATGTGAATGCAAATTACATACTACGGTGTTAGTGTAAGGTTTTCATGTTTTATTCGAGGACCTTCCTCGAGATGTACGAAAACATGTAGGTTTCTTTGCTGTGTTGTACCACTTTATTGGTCTGAGAATGGTTGTTGCTAGTGACAGCGCTTGGAGGATACCAGACCTGCGATCCGACGACGTTTGCAGTCATAAGAAATCCCCATTTTGCATCAATGAATTGGAAATCGTAGAAAGAAGTTTTGTTAATTGTAATCTCACGAATGAACGTCGCAAGAAGCCTATCAGTAAGATATTTCGCGATGTCGTTTACCGACCATCTTTGGAAGACATAAAGGAAGTTGATGGTGAGGAATTAGCCGAAGTCGAGGACAAATTTGACCTGACTTTGTCGTCGTTACATCGCGAACGAGCTCTAAACTCTGGTTGTTTTAAGCCAAACGAAGATCGCAAATATCGTAAGAAAAAGTACAAGAAGTCACAGCCTTCTGTTGATCGCCGTCCAAGATCTCAAACTCTGTAGATATTGGCTTATTGTGTTTACAAAATAACTCTCCTTTGCTTAAGGATTTGATAAGTGTTTAAAGCCACAAATTACTTCATTGAATATCAATGTAAATATATGTATATACAGTAAAACTGGCATGCTATATCGAAAACAAATCATGTTCAATCACGTTTTACAGATATAGTTGGCCCTCCAAAAAAATATATACAGCGTGAGTTTGGATAATCGAAAGCTGTTTGTCGATACTCGACTCGAGTTTAAGTTACTAATGCTTGTTTGGACTTAATAAACAACGAATGAAGCATCTGCATTGTCAACCAAATGTTAATATTATTGAAACGTTAGATTCTACATTTCACTGATATTAACAAATTACAATGGTGTAAATAGTCCTATATCCGTTTGCTGTCGTTAAATGTCCATCAACGTTGATAAAAAATACTTAATTTTGTAATTAATTTAGTTTATATATAGTAAAATATTAATGGTTTACCTTTGATGTAAGACATATGATGTAAATATATCATTGATTTCCTAAGATTATACTTTAACCCGACACATTTGCATTCTTGGTAAATCTTTAATAAGTCTAAACTATAACAGAGTTGTTATTCAAGTAATTGTTTTTAGTTGCGGTACATTACAATGTTAATTTTAAGGAGCGTTGGTTTTCTTTGTTCTAAAGTAAGTTTCCTCCTTTAAGAGGTAAAATCTTACCAAATTAAACGGTTTCATGAAGCACGACGACAAAACAATTTAAAAAAATTTATAATTTACGATATGGCCGTGCCAAAGCATTTTCAAACCGCTTTTTCTCACATTGCAGATATTTTGCCGTGTGTTTAAACATAATTTTGTCTTCAGAACAAAACAACATAGACTGACAGGTCATGAAAACACAAAAACAATACGTGGGAGTACTGAAATCTTTATATCTAGCCAGAGTCGTTAGGGTCGAAGTTTGCAGATGCGAAAAGTCGAAGATGTATACAAAAATTGGTTCATTTCAACATTTTTTGTTCACAAACCCAGCTATTTTACGAAGGCCCCGTTACATCCTACCTCACACCCTCGCCAAAAACGTAAGACGACACGGAATTAATTAACTTGATTTTACACTTACAATCTCACTTGTCAAGTTATATTTCTTAAAATTACTCTAACGGGTACAATTGCTTTAACAAACAACATGAGGAGAAAATATACCTGTAATCTGTTGTTTTCCCTGCCTGCGTTTCTAAAACCGAACATGATGCATGCAAATATGAAGCGAAAATATGCATAAAAGTTGGTTAATCACAGCGACTTGAAAGCCTCAAAACCACAAAAAACATTTCATCCTACAATATTTTTCGGTTTCTGGGGCAAAAAAGTCATAAGGCGCTCTAGTTGCCAGGCAGGTTGTATTGTAGGATTAGTAGCATTTTTTTGGGAAGAATGGGCTTGTAAAACATACATCTTTAAAAATCTTTAAGAATTTATAATCAAGAGTGACAACTAAACAAAAGAAGTTGATATAAACAGAGTAAAAACAAGCTTTGTGGCTAAGAAAGCAAAGAATTTTACAAATCTTTAGTCATATGACTGCTCAAGAATCAGTGGAAGATTAATCAGTAGCTAAGTACAACTCAGGTCCGGACTGTCGAGAGGCCCAATGTATCTAGACATATTTAGTTTTTAGTTTCTGCCATTCCAGACAAGTTAAATGTCTTAATTTACACTATTTTTGCGGTTAAAAACCTGTACGGTTTTTCAAAATCTACTCTTCAAATGCCCGATGCTCAGAACTCGTGAAGTAGTGGGTTTTCCCTGAAATAGTACTCCGCCACTGTTATGAATTGACTATGTACCAAATAAATTGATAATCATTGGCAAGGCTGTATAATATGGCGGACCGTGGGACCATTGATCAAAAAAAATTTTTGAGTTTAGCTAACAAAAATTGGTTAAAAGTACAAAACGTTATAGAATTCCCAAGGTAAAGAAACTGAAAATAGACAAGATTTACTCAGGCACATTGTCAGACTGTAATCTTAGCACTAAGAAAATCAGAACAAAGTAAGGAAAAATCATCTTCGCAGTTCTTACAAGTCATGTTTTCATCCACTGCATTTAATACCACTGATTGATCTGCGGTGTAGCCACGATTTTCTGTCATGGTTCGCCAGTTAAAAGGGAAAGGGGGTACGATTTTAAACATTGTAATGTAAGTAAAACATAATTTAAGGGGGGGAAGAACTTTGCCACGGGGGCTGGCACTCTGCTTCCACCCCTCCTCTAGCTATGTCACTGTGATTGATACAAATGATTTCATTCATATTGGATAAGCAAACATTCCAATGACGCATTTTCTTGGAGAAAATAATTTTATTGGCTAGATGGTCCGAAAAAATAGAATATTTTATGGAGACTTCATCATTGATGTGAAAAGGATTTTTAGCTGTCATTCATGAAGTTCCTAAGGCAAATTTCAATGGCAGCTGGTGTGTTGCTGATATGTAAAATTTTGTTGTCAGCTGAGCAGCAAACCTGAATTTTCTAGTTATGAAATGTTGCCCTAGATAATGCATTTGGTTGAAATTTTTCTTTCAGATGCTCTAAAGAATTTATTTAAGTATTTAGTTGAGAGAAAAGACAGCCTAGTTATAAAATGCATAAGACATATTTCTACTCCCAAATCATAGCCAAAAGCTTAAAATGCAATTATGAATACTTTTGCTGATATTTCCTCTAAAAGACATAACCATTTGGCTACTTGTTAGTACTTGGCCTTATCAAGGGTGCTAAAAGAGACATGAACTAAATCCATGATATAACTGCACTGACGTTTAAAGAGAGAACTGAAAGGAAGATGGAAATTGTTTAAAATATAATATCAATGATATAATATCAATAGGTACTGACAATAAAGAAGAGCAATAGCATTCAAACATATTGTTATTTGCCCTCATCCAGGCTCCATCTTCATAGATGTTTGCTAGCATAGAATGTCCACTTTTACATGAAACATGATGTATTAAAAATCATCTCATTTTGTATGATGAGAATATTGCAGTATGTAACACTTCTATTAACCATAGTTTGAACAACTTAAGTAAACAATTTTGCCAACTGCAGCATCTGACATTAATAAACAAATTAAGATAAGCCAACACATATTCAAATCATTACTTGCCATTTGCCAAAATGCAAGAAACCACTAAATAATCTAATTTAAAGAAATATTCATATCACGGTTTGAAATAATAACCAAATTTTGTCACATTTCCATAAATGGTCTTATAGCTCCACACTAAACTAAATAAATAGTGAATTACTTGGTGAGTTGATGTAAATGTGGAGAATCAGTATGAAGTAAATCAATATATCAATCAATAAACAGAATTTGACAGAAATGATCATGAATTACATGATTCATGACAATATAAGTGTTTGTATGCACTTTATCTTACAGGAAACAATCTCTACTGTTTTTTTTTGTATTAAAATACCATGACAGTCAACATGGCATAAATGCCAAATCCTTAATCCTGGACTTAAGTGCTGAAATTGAACCCCCCCTGAATTGGCAGTATGACATTGACATCCCATGTTAACACATTTGTTATTATTCCATGGACTGTACAATATTTCACCTACCTTCCTCCAATTTTAAGAACACGGTTTCAGCAGTGGTTTTAACTTTTCACTTTTTACTCATATATTCCCGTATTGATGTTATCATGCTATTGTATGCTTTCTTGCCGAGTCTTGCAGGCATTCCAGTTTATTTTCATATCCATTGATGACAAAATAAGTTTTTCGACAGTTTCATCAAGTTTGGACGCAGACACGCAGTGCAATGCCTTTGTCATATATATTTTGCACGCTGACACCTGTCAAATTTGCCGCCATTGCGAAGTGTCGTCGCTCCTCTGCAAGATAAATCACACTCCTCAGGGTTTATATGTATCTTGATTGTAGTATTACTGAGACATTGATTGTACTTAAGTCAACATCAAAAAATTGAAGAGATTAGCAGTATCTGTAAGTAAAAACCTCCCATGGCACATTTACGATCGGAATTCAAATCACAGCTCTAAAAATAACATGTACGTGTGACACGTCCCGCGAGTGATCTTGTCTTGTGTGGAAACATGACGGAGGGGGGGGGGTGCGTATTTCGACCATTCGACTGGTTTATTTTCTTGCTACAAAACATTAATGCATCATAACTTACAAATGTTTGTAGGTGCAAAACATTATTTTCCTGAAACTTCGATTTAGTTTCATAGGTATGTAATGTTTTTACGTGTGATAATAAGCCTTTAATAACCGAGCGCGAGGTCTTTATGGAGAAATATCAGACCGATGTCTTTCTGTACAGACCGAGCCCGTAGGGCGAGGTTTGTACAGAAAGACAGAGGTACGATATTTTCAGTAAAGACCGAGAAAGCGAGGTTATTTAAAGGTTTTGTTATATGGCATTATTTGACCTGAAACAAAGCTTGCTTTTTACATTATTAGTTTTTTGAATTTTGAACATAAAAGTGCCATCTGAGATTTTACCTTCACGGGTATAAAAAGTATACATGACGGCAAAATGTGGCCGAAGACGTGTTTTGGAAGAAAGATAGATTACTTTTGTCCACAAAACAATGTTAATCGCTTTACAATGCAAATGTAGAACCTGCTTTGACCATCCCTAAATGTGAACCTTTCAAAAACCTTTAGGAAATTTAGAAAGATTAATTTTTTTGCTAGAAGTTGGAGCTATGTCGAAACTGCCATTTAAGGGGGGGGTCTTTATTTTAGGACTTTCACCCGGATTGAGGACTGTGCTCGTATATGCCATATGCTTATCGTGATAATTGTATTTTAACAATAAACTGTAGAGAATGCTTTCGATTATGGGGGACACCCAGTAAGTAAGTATTTTGCAGTGACCATGAAGACTGTGGTCACATATAACAGTAAAAAAGCGGGAAAATAGAAATCAATAACAAAACTTAAGACAAGCGCCGTTTCACCCCATAACGTGAAAAACAAAGCGACGTTATAAAAATATAGTTTTTGAAATGGTTGAACAAAACAGGAACATGCAACATACCATGAAGGTTTTTGTATTCAATAAAATGTCATGGAATTTCTCACTTTACTGTATACTACTACTACTTTTTTCCTTACTTTTTTCTTAGTTTTAAATGCTGTTTTTATTTTGTACAGATAATATTATCATCACACTTTGCTATATAGCATTTGGATATAGCATTCATCAATATGTAAGTATGGTTGTTCTTGATATAAAATGTGCAATTGCATTGTACACAAAGCTTCGGTACAAGAAATTGTATTTCCTTTTAATAACTACCATCAGAAGTTGAAAACACCTTTCTGTTTTAATTCATATTGATATAACAATAGCTGTTGGTTTGAAACAAATTACTTCTGTTTAAACACGGGACAAAGATAAACCAAGTTAATACTCTGATGATGATCTATCAAGATTATAGTAATGCACCCAGCTTTTCCACTGTTTCTGAATTTAAATTCTCCAAAACCATACATGGCGAAGTACATTGCCAGATGCTGCAAGGAAAACCGCCTGTCCTGTTTGTTAAAGAAGCTGTTGGTTCAAAAACTTACGAAAGTGAGTCTGCTTTCCTGTCTTTAAAAGACAAGAGTAGCTACTTTGTTTCAAACCAAAAGCTATTGTTATATAAGTATGCAATAAAACAGAAAGCTGTTTTTAACCTCTGAAGGCAGTTTACCACATGGGAATACAATTCCTGATACTACAGCTTTGAATAGACGGCAATTGGTACATGTTAGAGACTTTTGTTAATTTAATCTATATATGTAAGAAAGCGATCCGAATAGAGGCGTGTTTTTTAATTGTGTACTTTTAGATACAATGAAAGGGCGGATCTAGGATCTAGAAAACTAGTCGCTTTACAAAATTGTAACCTCTTTTTTATATCGGCAAAGAGGGAAACAAACTGAATATTCTTTTAACTATAAAAGCAATCTTTCTCCTCAAATTATCTCGTAACTCACTTCTGATTTATCAAATCAACCAGTCAGAAGCAATCTTACTCTGTTCCCGGTTGACACGCGCGTGCCCTTTTTACTTCACAGGCTGGAAACTAAGTGCATTCGGCAAAATGTTGATGTCAGCGGTTCTATACCTGTACACTTTCTACTATTAAAGAGTTTTATTTCGGCGTTTACGGCAATCGCCAAACCTCAACCCGTTTGCCGTTGAGGTTTGCCGTTGACGTTTTCCGTTGACGTTTTCTGTTTCGAAAAAATTTGATTTTAGTTTGGCGTGTTGCATTTGTATTTTAAAATTTGCTTTGCCACGAGCTAAATTTCATGTTTTACTAAAAGTTGGTCGATGAAAAGGGCTATCTGTACTGTATACTACCATAAAATAATTGCATTGAGCCATAAACGTCACTTGCTTATATAAGTCAAATGTTCTAAAAGCACCTACCGCAAGAAGGGCCTCTTGCCGTTAAAATCTGAACCACAAACAGCAAAGCCATGATCATGTGACTTTATGCGGTTTGCCGTTTTCCTTTGACACCAATTTAAAACTCTTTAATAATTCTTTGTTGTTACAATCCATTTTTCTAAGGATAAAGGAAGGCCACGCGTTAAAAACACATTGTATGATATCTTATTTTTGTACAAGTAGGAAGTCACTTTGTGAATTCGACTGGATGTAGAAAATTAAATAAAACAAAAATTTAAATTCGTTGTTAAGAGCAGTAATTCATTCCCAAAGATTCAGACTCATAAATTTGAGGTAAAATTTAGTCGAAAACTCATCAAACTGTTGGTTTTAATCAATACCTTGCTGATACAGTCATACTTTTATGATCGTAGCATTCAAATACAAATGTAGTGTGAAGAAAATCCACAGTTTTATAAACACAATCACACAACGACGATACGCCCTAAAACATTAAACATGGTGGGTCAATTATGGAAAAAGATAAATATTCTACGGCAATTATATATGATGCGCTCTTCTCTGAATTTACTGACATTAATATGGGTGTCGAGGAATCCACTCCTCAGCTGGTTCACTAACACTCTTCGTTTTGAACCTTTTATTTTACAAGCTAAACAAGCTACAAGTACATCACTGGAGTATTTAACGCTATCTTTTTGAGTTAATTATTTACATGTATTTATACTAACGGTAATTACAACAAAACATTAGTCAAGCTTTCCTTTTACGTCATTAGCAAGTACTCACTCTTTCATTGCGTTTCAAGTTCTCACGCGTTGCAACAAAAAAAGAAGAACTAACTAAACAAACAAAGAACTTAAAAACATACTTTAAAAATAAAGAAATGTTAAAGGCAAACTAATATAGCTACGACAATTTTATTGCTAAGCTCAAAAGAACGCAATATCCCACAATGGGAGAAAATATGGTGGATAAAATCCATGAAAAAGTGGATGATGGACTGATGTAAAGCTACAAAGACTTTGATGATTGTTGTACATACCACTTATTCCACAATAAAATCCATGAAAAAGTGGATGATGGACTGATGTAAAGCTACAAAGACTTTGATGATTGTTGTACATACCACTTATTCCACAATAAAATCCATGAAAAAGTGGATGATGGACTGATGTAAAGCTACAAAGACTTTGATGATTGTTGTACATACCACTTTTTCCACAATAAAATCCATGAAAAAGTGGATGATGGACTGATGTAAAGCTACAAAGACTTTGATGATTGTTGTACATACCACTTTTCCACAATAAAATCCATGAAAAAGTGGATGATGGACTGATGTAAAGCTACAAAGACTTTGATGATTGTTGTACATACCACTTTTTCCACAATAAAATCCATGGAAATGTTGATGATGGACTGATGTAAAGCTACAAAGACTTTGATGATTGTTGTACATACCACTTTTTCCACAATAAAATCCATGGAAATGTTGATGATGGACTGATGTAAAGCTACAAGGACTTTGATGATTGCTGTACATACCACTTTTTCCACAATAAAATCCATGAAAAAGTGGATGATGGACTGATGTAAAGCTACAAAGACTTTGATGATTGTTGTACATACCACTTTTCCACAATAAAATCCATGAAAAAGTGGATGATGGACTGATGTAAAGCTACAAAGACTTTGATGATTGTTGTACATACCACTTTTTCCACAATAAAATCCATGAAAAGTGGATGATGGACTGATGTAAAGCTACAAAGACTTTGATGATTGTTGTACATACCACTTTTTCACAATAAAATCCATGGAAATGTTGATGATGGACTGATGTAAAGCTACAAAGACTTTGATGATTGTTGTACATACCACTTTTCCACAATAAAATCCATGGAAATGTTGATGATGGACTGATGTAAAGCTACAAGGACTTTGATGATTGCTGTACATACCACTTTTTCCACAATAAAATCCATGAAAAAGTGGATGATGGACTGATGTAAAGCTACAAAGACTTTGATGATTGTTGTACATACCACTTTTTCCACAATAAAATCCATGAAAAAGTGGATGATGGACTGATGTAAAGCTACAAAGACTTTGATGATTGTTGTACATACCACTTTTTCCACAATAAAATCCATGGAAATGTTGATGATGGACTGATGTAAAGCTACAAAGACTTTGATGATTGTTGTACATACCACTTTTCCACAATAAAATCCATGGAAATGTTGATGATGGACTGATGTAAAGCTACAAGGACTTTGATGATTGCTGTACATACCACTTTTTCCACAATAAAATCCATGAAAAAGTGGATGATGGACTGATGTAAAGCTACAAGGACTTTGATGATTGCTGTACATACCACTTTTTCCACAATAAAATCCATGGAAATGTTGATGATGGACTGATGTAAAGCTACAAAGACTTTGATGATTGCTGTACAGACCACTTTTTCCACAATAAAATCCATGGAAATGTTGATGGTGGACAGATCAAAAACCATAAAGACTGTTAAATACCAAGCAAAAGTCCCTAAGAAATTGTGACGTATTATTCATCAAGATGAACTCCAAAAATCACAAAATAATAATAATAACAATAAATCATAAATTGATGCTTCATTCTGATTAAGTGATTTAGTTTATTTTGTCCCACAATGTTTCCTAGTCTAAAAATCTGCATTGACAATTCTATATCTGAAGTAAATAATTGCAAAAAAACTTTGAGCAAACAGCAATCAACTTATATCGGCGTCCACTGTAGGCTAAAGGGAAACAAGAAATTATCTGATACAACTAAGACCAAAATTGTGTTTATCTAAATGAATATCTACGTTAAACCTTGGTTATGTAATTAAAAATCATTGGATGAGGTTGAGCTTGATATCAAATATTATTCAGACCGAGGTTGAAAGACGACGATTTCTCACTGTCCAAAGAAAAGTAAAGTCAGGAGTAAAAGACGACGATTTCTCACTGTCCCAAGAAAAGTAAAGTCAGAACTAAAAGACGACGATTTCTCACTGTCCCAAGAAAGTAAAGTTATAGAGCTAACTTGACGTTACTATACAGCAAGCTTGACGTTACTATAGAGCTAACTTGACGTTACTATACAGCAAACATGACGTTACTATAGAGCTAACTTGACGTTACTATACAGCAAGCTTGACGTTACTATAGAGCTAACTTGACGTTACTATACAGCAAACTTGACGTTACTATAGAGTTAACTGGACGTTACTATTCAGCTAACTTGACGTTACTATAGAAATAACTTGACGTTACCATGCAGTTAACTTAACGTTACTAAGAGCTAACTTGACGTTACTATACAATGAACTGGACATTACTATAAAGCTAACTTGACGTTACTCTACAGCTAACTTGACGTTACTATAGAATTAACTTGACGTTACTATACAGTTAACTTGACGTTACTATGCAGTTAACTTGACGTTACTATACAGCTAACTTGACGTTACTATAGAATTAACTTGACGTTACCATACAGATAACTTGACGTTACTAAACAGCTAACTTGACATTACTATGCAGTTAACTTGACGTTACTATATAGTTAACTTGACGTTACTATATAGTTAACTTGACGTTACTATATAGTTAACTTGACGTTACTATATAGTTAACTTGACGTTACCATACAGTTAATTTGACGTTACTATATAGTTAACTTGACGTTATTATACAGTTAACTTGACGTTACTATGGAATTAACTTGACGTTACTATATAGTTAACTTGGCATTACCATACAATGAACTGGACGTTACTATAAAGCTAACTTGACGTTACTCTACAGCTAACTTGACGTTATTATTAAGCCAAATTTAGGTTACCATACAGTTAACATGACGTTATTATACAGTTACTTGACGTTACTATGGAATTAACTTGATGTTACTATACAGTTAACTTGACATTACTATGCAACTAACTTGACGTTACTATAAAGCTAACTTGACGTTATTATACAGCAAACTTGACGTTACCATACAACTAACTTGACGTTACTATACAACTACCTTCACGTTACTATAAAGCTAACTTGACGTTACTATACAATGAACTGGACGTTACTATAAAGCTAACTTGATGTTAGTATACGGCAAACTTGACGTTACTATAGAGCTAACTTGACGTTACCATACAGTAAACTTAACGTTACTATATAGTTAACTTGACGTTACTATACAGTTAACTTGACGTTACTATGGAATTAACTTGACGTTACTATACAGTTAACTTAACATTACTATACAACTAACTTGACGCTACTATAGATTTAACTTGACGTTACTATCCCACTAACTTGACGTTACTATACAGCTAACTTGACGTTACTATAGAGCTAACTTGACGTTACTATACAGCTAACTTGACGTTACTATACAGCTAACTTGACGTTACTATAAAGCTAACTTGACGTTACTATAGAGCTAACTTGACGTTACCATACAGTTAATTTGACGTTACTATACAGTTAACTTGACGTTACTATACAGCTAACTTGACGTTACTATACAGCTAACTTGACGTTACTATAGAGCTAACTTGACGTTACTATAGAGCTAACTTGACGTTACTATAGAGCTAACTTGACGTTACCATACAGTTAATTTGACGTTACTATACAGTTAACTTGACGTTACTATACAGTTAACTTGACGTTACTATGGAATTAACTTGACGTTACTATACAGTAAACTTAACGTTACTATATAGTTAACTTGACGTTACTATACAGTTAACTTGACGTTACTATGGAATTAACTTGACGTTACTATACAGTTAACTTAACATTACTATACAACTAACTTGACGTTACTATACAGCTAACATGACGTTACTATAGAGCTAACTTGACGTTACTATAGAGCTAACTTGACGTTACCATACAGTTAATTTGACGTTACTATACAGTTAACTTGACGTTACTATGGAATTAACTTGACGTTACTATATAGTTAACTTGACATTACCATACAATGAACTGGACGTTACTATAAAGCTAACTTGACGTTACTCTACAGCTAACTTGACGTTATTATTAGCCAAATTTAGGTTACCATACAGTTAACTTGACGTTATTATACAGTTACTTGACGTTACTATGGAATTAACTTGATGTTACTATACAGTTAACTTGACATTACTATGCAACTAACTTGACGTTACTATAAAGCTAACTTGACGTTATTATACAGCAAACTTGACGTTACCATACAACTAACTTGACGTTACTATACAGCTACCTTCACGTTACTATAAAGCTAACTTGATGTTAGTATACGGCTAACTTGACGTTACTATAGAGCTAACTTGACGTTACCATACAGTAAACTTAACGTTACTATATAGTTAACTTGACGTTATTATACAGTTACTTGACGTTACTATGGAATTAACTTGATGTTACTATACAGTTAACTTGACATTACTATGCAACTAACTTGACGTTACTATAAAGCTAACTTGACGTTATTATACAGCAAACTTGACGTTACCATACAACTAACTTGACGTTACTATACAACTACCTTCACGTTACTATAAAGCTAACTTGATGTTAGTATACGGCTAACTTGACGTTACTATAAAGCTAACTTGACGTTACTATAGAGCTAACTTGACGTTACCATACAGTTAATTTGACGTTACCATACAGTTAATTTGACGTTACTATACAGTTAATTTGACGTTACTATACAGTTAACTTGACGTTACTATGGAATTAACTTGACGTTACTATACAGTAAACTTAACGTTACTATATAGTTAACTTGACGTTACTATACAGTTAACTTGACGTTACTATGGAATTAACTTGACGTTACTATACAGTTAACTTGACATTACTATACAACTAACTTGACGCTACTATACAGCTAACTTGACGTTACTATAGAGCTAACTTGACGTTACTATAGAGCTAACTTGACGTTACCATACAGTTAATTTGACGTTACTATACAGTTAACTTGACGTTACTATGGAATTAACTTGACGTTACTATACAGTTAACTTAACATTACTATACAACTAACTTGACGCTACTATACAGCTAACATGACGTTACTATAGAGCTAACTTGACGTTACTATACAGCTAACTTGACGTTACTATACATCTAACTTGACGTTACTATACACTTAACTTGACGCTACTATACAGCTAACTTGACGTTACTATATAGTTAACTTGACATTACCATACAATGAACTGGACGTTACTATAAAGCTAACTTGACGTTACTCTACAGCTAACTTGACGTTATTATTAAGCCAAATTTAGGTTACCATACAGTTAACATGACGTTATTATACAGTTACTTGACGTTACTATGGAATTAACTTGATGTTACTATACAGTTAACTTGACATTACTATGCAACTAACTTGACGTTACTATAAAGCTAACTTGACGTTATTATACAGCAAACTTGACGTTACCATACAACTAACTTGACGTTACTATACAACTAACTTCACGTTACTATAAAGCTAACTTGATGTTAGTATACGGCTAACTTGACGTTACTATAGAGCTAACTTGACGTTACCATACAGTAAACTTAACGTTACTATATAGTTAACTTGACGTTATTATACAGTTACTTGACGTTACTATGGAATTAACTTGATGTTACTATACAGTTAACTTGACATTACTATGCAACTAACTTGACGTTACTATAAAGCTAACTTGACGTTATTATACAGCAAACTTGACGTTACCATACAACTAACTTGACGTTACTATACAACTACCTTGACGTTACTATAAAGCTAACTTGATGTTAGTATACGGCTAACTTGACGTTACTATAAAGCTAACTTGACGTTACTATAGAGCTAACTTGACGTTACCATACAGTTAATTTGACGTTACTATACAGTTAACTTGACGTTACTATACAGCTAACTTGACGTTACTATACAGCTAACTTGACGTTACTATAGAGCTAACTTGACGTTACTATAGAGCTAATTTGACGTTACTATAGAGCTAACTTGACGTTACCATACAGTTAATTTGACGTTACTATACAGTTAACTTGACGTTACTATACAGTTAACTTGACGTTACTATGGAATTAACTTGACGTTACTATACAGTAAACTTAACGTTACTATATAGTTAACTTGACGTTACTATACAGTTAACGGACGTTACTATGGAATTAACTTGACGTTACTATACAGTTAACTTAACATTGCTATACAACTAACTTGGCGCTACTATACAGCTAACTTGACGTTACTATAGAGCTAACTTGACGTTACTATACAGCTAACTTGACGTTACCATACAGTTAATTTGACGTTGCTATACAGTAACTTGGCGTTACTATGGAATTAACTTGACGTTACTATACAGTTAACAACATTACTATACAACTAACTTGACGCTACTATACAGCTAACATGACGTTACTATAGAGCTAACTTGACGTTACTATAGAGCTAACTTGACGTTACCATACAGTTAATTTGACGTTACTATACAGTTAACTTGACGTTACTATGGAATTAACTTGACGTTACTATAAAGTTAACTTGA